TAAAAAGGGAAATGACGCCTTTCAATGAAGTGGTGGGTGACATCACGTAACGTACGTTTACAGCAACTAAAATTATATTTTATCGAGTCATTTACATCACATTGAGGTTAAAACATTTGTCGATACAAAATAGACGTTGGATGCGTAGGAGGTGGTGACATTTTTTTTCAAGGTAATGTTTTATAAACTGCGCATCATATTTGTTGCATTGCACAGAATGCTTTTCTTTCTTTTAGCCAACAAATTATCAAGTTTTGAGATGGTTAAATGTAACTGTTATGGAGCGTGCTAATTTCTAGAAGGTTTCTCCTAGTCAGTTATCACTCATTTTGGTGGTTAATGAAATTTACATCATTATATCAGTTTGTGCCAAAATTTTTCAGTTTCCCTGTGGGACAATCCTTGACGATGCAAAGCTATCGAGAAATTACCGTCCTTAACATAACTATAACACAAATTCTAGAAGTTTTTGTTTATATCAACGTTCAGCATTATGCGACAAATGATGTTTAGGTGCGTTCAATCCTCTAGATTAACTGATTAAGATTGCAGAAAAAGATGCAATTAAAACATTACTGAGATGCTGGAGCTTTGCGTCAAATCATCCTATTTTTGTTTTGCCATGTTTTTTTTTGTATCATAGCAGGGTGACTCAATGCATTCGTGATGTTTGTATACCACAAATGATTTAGGTCCAAATTGGGCGGCCGACCCTCGGGTCACAATTGTTCACCACAGGTGCCTGTTTAAAATAATACTCTTAAAATTTTGCAATTATGCTTTAGAGAAAACATATCAGGCCTTCGTGTTATTATCCTTTTTAACCAACATATTCGTTGGTGACTTTGCAGTCCAAACTTTAAATTTCCTCAGCCCGTTAAATTGTCGTTACATAACCCTCGACATCATTGTTTGTGAGTTGTGTAGCTTGTGGTCTGATTTTGAATCCTGTTTTAAAGCTTCCGAGGCCTACTCTGGTTATTACGAACACTTATTACATCATCACCCTGCTAAACATTAATTCATAATTTTGACATATTTCCTCAGAACTCACTATTCATTTACATCTTTGTGAACAGCTACGGATCGTATCCTACGTTCCCTCTTATTTTTACGTATTATGAGAAGCATATTACGTTTTAAGCGAAAAAGACTTCAGTTCTAGATGAACACCAATATGATGATGAAGACACGGTAAAAGGTTGCCTTGCACAGTAACTTTCCTTATGAAATAATTCCGCATATTTCCGTATCATTATTTTGTTTCTGGCCTAATCCGGTCTCTAAAATTTTCATTAGTGATGTTGTATCACATAAGGTACGCTCTTAAGTACCTAATCAATTCGCCCAAAGCGAACCCATATTAACGATCAAGATGTTGCTTAATCGTGACAGTTGCCTAGCAAAAGTATGACCGGGAGAAAAGACTCCGCCCAAGCTGGTAAATTCCCGAGACAAATCACCTCAAGGCTCTGTAAATCATTGGAAGCGGGTCAAAAACATCCTACTTGAAATTTTTGTTTGTATTGGTAAAATGGAAATCTAAGAAATTTTGTGTTTGGTCGTCTGGTAAGACGTGCATTTGACATTTCCCATCATCGTCATCATTTGCAAACAATTTAAAGATTCTTTTAGATTTAAACTCTTTATTTTACATTACGAAGAAGGATACAAAACTATTTCAAGGTTTCCTCCAGAAAGGACTTCAAGTGGACGTCTGATAAGGTACAAAAACATCGATCATTTTTCTATTGCAAACAAGTTATTGGCCAATTATCTTATGGCTCAGTTTTTCAACATTAGCAGCAATTGTCGGGCCGCTCTCTATCTTTGCGAGGTTTTTTTCCTGCTGTTGATGTTTTCAGTAAATAACTCTCGTACGTCCAACTTATGATCTTCCCACGATTTCTTCAGAATGATGCTTCATTACCTTTCTGTAATACGTACATTAGGAGAGAAATTTAACAATGATCTCAGCCGTCTTTACGTATTTACTTTATGACGAAGAATAACTGTTTTGTAGAGTAAAATTGAGGAGGAAAATTGAGATTTCTTGTAGTTTAATAGAAACACTTTTAGATACATTTCCTGTCAAAAAATAAATCCACACAGCAAAGACACTTTCTTCTTTTCAGTGTTTTACGTAATGAGTTAAACACTGAAAAGAAGAAAGTTTTAAGAATATCAAACCATCTGAAAGATCAAAACAGCTTCTGAGAAGATAATTACGCGTGAGTAAATATTCTTTTATATCTCACCGAACTTCGTTTTAAATATTCATTATCACCTTTCGACTCGAGGAACTGCAATTGAGTTTATAACAAAATACTTATGTATTTAGAGAGACATTCTTGTCAATTTCACCAAAATTTCAACCAGGAGTATTGCGAAATGTGTAAGCCGAGAATAATGACTAAAACTGATTTCACGGCCTTATTCGTGACACTAAACTGGTCGGAAGGTTGAAGTGTGTATTATAAACAGAACCATCAACCATAGTATCAATTTATTTTTGTTTTTGACGACTTTTACCTTCTGAATAGTCATACGTAAATGTTTTTTCATGAAACTACTAAATAATTGAAGAAATCTCGCTATATTTCTAGTGACCACTACTATCAACAAGTTCTGTGAACGTTGAAATAGCGATAAATTCTTTTTTAGCGAACGTTGGAGGGAAGGGCACTATTCTGTGAACCAGGAAAAAGGAAACACTTATATTAATTTTTGTGAATCTCGTTAAAAATAGCCCTGTGTTTATTAAAAAAGGCAGCTGTTTTCACTGAAATACGAAAACAAAGTTAACAATGCCCAGCAAAATGTAATTGAAATATACGGAAGGGGACGATCCGGTTTCTTTCTACCAGAAATGTTTATTTCTGGGCCTAATTTTTCAAAGGGAACTGAAGAGATGGAGTACGCAGAAAAGTGCAAGGACAAAAAGCTCAATGAATCAACAGAAATTTTGGGGCCAAATATCACTGAATACAATTAATTCATTATTATTCTGACCGGGCTCATTATAACACTGTCAATAATAAAGTCATTTGTATGCCATCCATTGAATCTTTTGAGGCGGCTTTGCTTCAGTGATTCAAAAGCGCAAATAACAACATTGTTGTCAAGAATCGTGAACCGTCCTTATTGAAGAAACAGTCTAAACATCTGATGATCAAAAATCGCCGCGAGTGAAGGTCCTTCATACAGATGCAAAGCGCTTAAAAAGTCGTGATGGTGTAAAAGCTGGGTTCAAGTTAGACAACGAATGGTAAATATTTAGTTTAATCCTTCCTAGACAGATGTAAGTAAAGATTCATCACTATTGAAGGGTTTCACGAGGCACTTAACTGTTCGTTAATTTGTGTTACTCTAAGACTTGCTCTTTTAGCGGTTAATAAGTCATAAAAGATCAGCTCGCAACAATTTCGGTTTCTCAGAGAAATGCATCATGGCTGTTGGTGATCTGGCTTGAGTATTTTAGTAACCTCTGAACAGAGGCTTTAATTTGGTTTTACCGATTCGTGCAAAGTTGAATTGTTCATCTTACAGATTATCATCACTGTGCGTCAACACATGCAGCTCAGATTAATTGCACCATCAAGCGCCTTTCAGTGATTGTGAAATTGTGCACGAGAGTCATTTCACAAATAAAAATCATACTTCTATCTTGTCGGAATTCATGTTTTGTTGATCTGGCTTTGCCAACTGCATTATGTTCGTAAATTGCGCAAGATGGTAATGTCTTCTCCAGACAACATAGTAGACATTTTAACGATGTTTTGTCAAGTAAAACCGAAATGGCAAGCATGTTTGCTGACTTGTACACATGATGAAGGCCATTTTGACTACTTTAAACTTTGACATAATTTAAAATTACCGCTTACGTATATACTTTGGTCAGTACATATGTTAAGTACCTCGTGCATCAAGGCAACTTCAACATTGCTCATTGAATCGCTGAACAACTGCTACAATTATTTCAAATAGGCTATAAATGCATGTTGTGGGTCAGTAACTGATTAGGTTTAATGATAAGATGATGGAGTGACTTATGTACAATAGCATCTGAACGTTCATAATCACGGGTTTGAACGTACGAGGTGTTAGCTCTCTCGTAATCATTTTGTATCAAAACATCAAATACTCTGAATAAGAAAGAAATTACCGAGCATTGTTACAAGAGCATTTTTATTTCTAGGCAACCTGTCTTTATACAAAACCCCCTATGGAAATAACTTAAAATGCACAGATTGATAAACAACTATATCCTGATTTGTGACTTCACAAATATTATCAACTATTCTCGCTTTGCAAATAGGCATCACTGTTTTTTGTCTTTCGTGTTACATGTAACCGATTAAAGATCTGCCCAAGGTAGTAGACGAAAGGTTAAGCGGGAATTAGCTAGGGTCTCCATTTGCGTTTTGATATTTTTGTCTTCAACTCTAATTATCCGCGTTCGCATCGTATTTCTTATCTACAGAGCATTGAACTAAACATAATTTCTTTGTTTTTTTTGTCTTTCTGCCTTTGAGTTACGATTTTTTATTTATCCTGACCTCACTGACTGTTAGTTGTTAGTGTTATGTTAATAACCGTAATTGTGAGTTGGACTGCACGCTGCCCATCGTTGCTGACCATGGTACTGTTGCTGGATCAATGTTTTGTCAAGAGCATTTAGAAATCAAGGAACAAAAGTGTCTCGAGAGGCAGTCGGAGCATATGTCCTCAGATGGTAGCAGCATGCAAATTAGGAAAAACGTAGCAGAAAAAAAGAAATTTCTGCTTCATAGACTTGAAAATAAGAAACGTATACAACACTTATATGAACGAAACAGGCCATTCGTCGTCAGAGTAGAATTAAATGATTACACGAATTACTTTCGACAAAAGAGTGATCTTGTAGGGTATCATCAAAGACCTCGGTATAGCTGACTCGAAATATCCTCTTGAAAACAGTATTTTCTTCAGTGTAACCTTGAATAAACTTGTTTTCAATAGAAAGGAATGAAACAACCTAAAGTAGGCATGGATCAGCAGGGGTGGGTGAAAACGAAAGAGGAGCAGAAGAGTGTGGATACTTTCACGTCTCTGACCAAAGACTTCTGTGGTTATACATCCGCGCATGGCTTTGAGAGGATCATGTCCTCAAAACAGTGGATTCGCAAGGCGTTCTGGAGTTTGTTGTTTATTGCAGCCATCGTGGTGCTGTGCTTTCAGGTTTTGACACTTTTTGAGAAATACCAGAGTAGACCGCTGGTCACACTCGTGTCACTGCAGTCTGACACGGTAAGGATTAAGAGCTAAGTGGATATTAAGTTACAAGAATAAGAATTGGTGGAGACATAAAATGATCTCAACTTAAGCGATAGTAGCAAACAGTCTTGTTGTGCGCAGTCATTCTCAAGCTGAGAATTTATGATCATGGAATATGTCAACTTGAAATGTTCCTACATTGTTATCTTCCGTCTCATAATTCCATTTTCAGCTTTCATTGGTATTCCGTGGACTAGCTTCGGTTGTTTATCATTGATATCATGTTCATATAATTCCTAATTAAAAACGATACACCAGCTCCAGGCATTCAGCGGAAGAGCGAAAAGAATTTAGCAAGGGATCAAAAGAAAGTTCCGTTACTCTATTATAACCCGTGCCTTTTTTCAATGCTCTAAGTTTTGCAAAATTTGATGTTCATTACTTTAAAACTAATTTTTTTCCAGAGCCTTCCATTCCCCACCGTCACATTATGCAACTTCAATGCTATCAAGTACGACGCACTTGAGGAAAGTAACTTCACTGACCTCCTCGACACGATTAAAAAGCAAAGTAATACTTTAAGTCAATTAATACATAGAGTTTCATAGCAAAGAAAAGAAAAATGAAATATAGTCTAACTTGGTCATATATATCCACAAGTACAAAGGAAAACGATTTCTCCTCTGAAAACTCTGTCGTGCTTGCCGACAAATCAAAGAAGATTTTCATCACTTCATTGGAGTTTGCTAACAACTCTAAGAAGTTTGTTGACATCTCATAGGAGTTTTCCAACAACTCTGAGGATTTAACCGACAACTTAAAGGAGTTCGATAACAACTCGTAGAAGTTTGACAACAATTTAGAGTAGTTTTTCGACAATTTAGAAGAGTTTTGCAACATCTCATAGTGATTTGCTGGTAATTATGAGGAGTTTGCAGACAACCCAGAAAGGTTCCTGACCGGCAACTGAACGGTTCCTGTCCGGCAACTGAAAGGAGTATACCTCTAGTTGGTGTAATGCCTGGCAAAGATGCATATTCTGTAATCGCTTTCCATTGTGTAAGATGCCTTTCTTTGAAATTCTTTTCTCTCACATTTTGGCGTGAAGGGACGGTGAGTTTTTCCATTCTCTTATGAAACACTAACTCATGCCTCCTATTGATGTTTAGATTCGTCGTCGAACTCCACTTCCTCTCGAGCAAACGATGATGCAGTGCCAACCACGTACGGTCCAACCCCAACAGACTTTTACTCAGATTACGATGAAGATTTTGATTACTGGGGAGACGACGACGTGGAAGATCCAGAAAATCTTGATGAAGAATATTTCGCAAGTGAAAAAGTTTCTCTTTTGTTGGCTGGAAAAGACGAAGATTATCTTTCAAATTTGGGTCATCAGTTCGAAGACATGATTTTGTCCTGCACTTATCGTGGTGTTTCTTGCAGGTAATTGTAGCATGCCACGTGAATTATGTAAGTAAAACCTTAGACTGCTCAGAAATTTGTGATCTAACAAGACTTTCATGGCTCAGCTGTGTTCTCACATAAGAATTCTTAAATCTGAATGTTGCGTAAATTGTTGAAGGCGACTCAAGTCCCAGAGGAAAATGCACCTTTAACTGGATTAACTTGTACACTTTGAAATGATATGATGTTAGTCTTTTTTATTGTCTCTCCCCTTAGCAATTTCACAGGAAATTTCTGGACCAAATTTTGGCACTACAAGTACGGCAATTGCTTCCTTTTTAACAGCGGCCTAACAAGCTCGGGATCTAATAGCCCCGTGATTAAGTCCAACAAAGCTGGGCCCACACATGGTAAGTGACTCCCTTTTCCAGTTTGCTCAAGATTCGTGGTCTTTGGAGCAGACAAGTAGTTGCTTTGTCCGTGCGTCACTCAGTCAGTCAGCCGTCCCATTCCTAGGTCAGTCACTGACGCGTCAGTGAGTTAGTGAGTCAGTTGATGAAACACTTTCTTAGTCTATCAGTACTTAGAGTATAACCTCTGTTAAATTAGATAATTTGGTTATATAGACTAAGTTGATAATGTAAATTGGCCGTCGTAAAGAAATTACAAAGCGGACGTTTCAAGTATTAGCCCTTCGTTAGAGCTAATTACAAAGGACGAACGCTCGAAATGCCAGCTTTAGAATCTCCATAGGGCGGTCAATTTATTTTACCAAATCTGTTAATAAAATCAAATTGTCTTGTTATACACTTCCCACCGACGAAGCATCACGGTTTCTTCCCCCTTTATTCATCGGACCAAATCACGAAGCTATTGATATGGCTCAGTTACCAAGCTACAATTTGTAACCATATTTTCTCTTAATTTAGGGCTAAATCTTGAGATAAACGTGGAACAAGACCAGTACCTCAATCAATTAACACCAGAAGCTGGTATCAGACTTGATATTTCAAGTCAGGGATATATGCCATTTCCAATGGAGAGAGGCTTAAGCATACCTGTTGGGTTCGCCACGTCAATTGGTTTGAGAAAGGTAAACTAATTCTACGATGGAGGAGACATTTCTGAGTCGTTGCTCCAAGATGTATCGGTGTAAGGTTATTAGCGGAAGATGCCTTTGCTCTCTTATTTTCGCAAAGTGAATGTGACGTAGATGCTAAGCGATGAGACTTTGTCAGGCATTTTCTTGTCGATACAAAAAAATTACAACGGGTTAGTTAATTGGCGTTTGTTTGTTCGTCTCTTAAAACTTCTTTCTATGTGCTGTTTTCTAAAACCTGTTTTCTATGTGCTAGGTCATGATCGAAAGACAGGATCCATTCAATAACAATCGATGTCATAAAAACTCCTCAATTGACAAGTCGAACTTGTACACCAGAATGTTTAACGCCACATACTCATCAACCGTAAGTGAGAGCTGATATCAATTGGTGTCCTTCCCTCTCAGTTAATTTCTACTTTTGGTTTTTGAGCTTGCCAACAGTGGACCGCTTGAGTTCAGTATATCATTCGTGGCGCAAATGTGAAATCAGGCACATCTCGTCGATGTGGGAATTTGGACTGGGCTATGACGTGTGTGGGGGGGCGGGGGGTGCTATTAATATTCGTCCTTTCTGAAGGCTATATTCAATTCCTCTTCAGAAAACGAGATAAAATGACCAATCATCATCTACAGCTGAAACAAATCAGCACACAAACTAGCAGTAAAGTAATAAGCCAGACCAATTGTGACAGCTTTAGAGGAAGAATCATTACAGGTTGAATCAATCCTTGATTGAGAGCATAATTTTGTCTTACGTTTTTCACTCAATTTAAAGACTTAACTCTTTCCTAGCCCAGTGTGCCATACTATTCTAACGATGTTGGTTCGAAGAATTTGGTATTGGATCAATCAATAATCACCTAACTTATTTGTTTCTTGATTCTCAAATCCTTTCTGCTCGATTTTGTATTGATATTTTGAGGACAAATTCTGTCTTGGTCACACATGGGGGTGAGAGAGTTAATGTTACTTTGTCATGGAATAAAGTGATCTCCCTTTTTCAATCTCAGGCCTGTAAGGAGTCATGCTTAGCCGACAATCAGTTTTTACAGTGTGGATGTATGGAGTACAGATTTCCTGTGGACAAAAATCCAGTTTGTGATATTACCAATAAAACCACTAGTAAGTTCACACTTCTGATGGTCTGTTACACAATAATAACGTTTTAATTCAGTTTCCCTTTTAAGTTTTTTTTTCATGATGTCTTCTACAATCACTTGATCTTTTCCAGCAGCACAATTATCTGCGAAGGAATTAGAACATTAAACTATACTTGAAACTGAAGCGGGTAGAAAAAGAGCAATCTTTTTGGCTTTGTTTCACAGTGTTGCTATTTTTTCATCTGCAGTTGGCTGTCTCAACAAGTTACAGAAGCAGTACCGGGACAACAAACTAAATTGCAGCAGCTCTTGTCCCCCTCCATGCAGGTATAATGAAATCTATTCTGTGAAAATTAAATCTGTCGTAATTTTCGTTAGCTTATCATTTTCACTTGTCACTTTTTTAAATGCGATGGTAAATTTTCCTCAGAAATTAACTTTGAAATATTCATTATTAATTTTCTTACAGCCAGGAAGAGTTCAAGATAAGTACATCGCTTGCTGTTTGGCCTTCGGAAAATTACGAGGTTGCTAATTGCAGTTTGTGATTTTAGGTGTTTAAAAAGTGGCCGGACCAAAATTTATAAAGGTAAACGAACTAAATTGATTTGTTTTTCCAGGTATTCTACCAAGATGAGCTCGAGAAGCGCGGGAAATTCGTTTGGTCAGATTTTGACTCTCTCAGGTGAGGAATAGTCTCCCGCAAAAGTTCCTGTAAGATAGCAGCCTGGTTTATAATGTTCTTCAAATTGCATGTTAGGTACGGCGAGACGATTATAGACATTGATGCAAATTTTCTGACATTCAATATTTCTGCATTAAATCTACAGGAAAAATGTGTTGAAGGTACAAATTTTCTTCGAAGAACTTAATGTTGAAATGATAAAAGAACAAAAATCATACGGAGTGAGTATACTTTTTTCTCATTTATTCATATTTTTGACGTTTGGTTTGGTATGCAATGTTCATCGTATCAAGAAATGATCCATTGTCCCTGCTCAACTTCCCCATTAAGCATGAAACAAAAGTCCTTTTCGTATGGGCAGTGCTGAAAAACTTTTTCCGAAACAATGCGGAAAAGCTCGTAACTGATCGAGAAATAATTGGAATGAAAAGTTCGCTGCATTGGGGGAGTGGCTAGTGTAAATGTACACCAGTAAAATTGATCTCCATTGGTGTACCTCCGGTAAGACATGACTCTCGATGAGTGCATCGAGCCTTAGGTTCGCAAATTTTAAAAAAATTTAAGTTATCTCTATTGTAGTGACTCATTAAAACCAACTCTCTCTATATGCAAGTCATGTCGCCTAACAAAAAGTCACGCACTAAAATACCGTCGATGTCAAATGCAGTTGAAAGAGACAATTTTCTGCACAGAGGCGATTGAAGACCTTGATAGTGACACCGATAGCTTACCCGAGATCAAAGATTGCTCTTATTCAAAAGTCCATTTTTTTCCCTTGTTTAAACAGATTGCAGATTTCGCGTCCGACATTGGTGGCCAGCTCGGTTTATGGATCGGATTTTCTGTGCTGACAATAGCCGAGTTCATTGAGTTTTTTATGTTGCTGTTTGCTCATCTTGTCAAAAAATGCACATCGCGAGGGAAAGTCGAGTCAGCCTCGTTGGAATTGAAGGAGACTTAATCGTAGAGCAATAAAGATACCAAGCATGTGCTAGTTTAAGATACTCTCGCCATATTCTAACACATGCGTCAAAGAGTTTCATATGCTGGGATGCAGAACATGCTAATATCTGGTTTCAAAACTGCCAAAAATAAAATCAAATTAAGGACGAGGGGCTTTAGAATAACTACTTGAGCGTAAAGAAAAACAATATTTTTCTTTTAATAATATACATGGAAAAATTACTCAGTTCTGATTGGTTAAGATAAATGCAGTTTTCAGGTAATTCGGTGCAGAAGAGGGTTAATTCAGTGCAAAGAAAGAAACAAATCAGACATTCTCATTGGTCAATAATCAAAGAAACTCACAGATAGCCAATCAAATGCGAGCCTTGGATGTCGCAACAAAATTTGAAAATTTGCGAGCGAAACAATGGCCGGCGTTTTAAGTAGGCTTTCTTTCGCCACCGCAGCTGATAAACAGCTTAAACAACAAAAACACTGTAAAAAGCACTGGGGGTTTTTGGTTGTCGGTTTGGAAAAAGGGGTGTTTAGGGAAGGGAATTGCCGAGGAAATCGAAAATTACGAGCCGACCCAGCTTAACACTTTGCTCGAGCGATCCAACGCCGAAATTAAAAACAAACAAGGTAAAACCTCGGAAACGACGATTCCATTTCATCGAAAGTGATTCGGACACAGGCTGAACAATTCCTTGAACTGTTTAGCCGGACTTTGAACGTTTTTGCACCTTAAAGATGTGAAGATATCATTGCATATTATTGTTTTGATCGTACGCGGTTGTTTTGACCGAACGCACGGTTTGAATAAATTATTTTTGCACTTGATGCGCGCGCTTTGCTTATGTTTAATTATGATAAGCCATCTCGTATTTTTCCATGAATATTATTAACACGTAATCACATGATTTTTCTCGTGCAATTTGGAATACACAAGCACTTGTTAATTTTTAACAAAATTTAAAAAAAAATTAACTCATGCTTATTTATTCCAAATTACACTCGAAATCATGTGATTACCTATACGAATAAACTGAAACAGGTATATTTGCATCTTTAGAAAACAATATATTTTATCCGTAATCCTACCATGTATAAATGAAGTAGATATTGAAAGGGCCGAAGCTGGTTCGATTTTGAAATTTTAAGGGGAAAATAAACCTTATATTAATTTAAATGACAACATACTTAATCAGAGATTAAAGAGTTATCGCTAGGCTTAAAGCAGTCAATAATATACAAAATGAGGCTGAGATACATGCGGCTTGTTACTTATTTTTCGCTGGTAACCTATTCTACATACTTTACTAGTTATTCAATTTAGCTTTATTCTCATGTTAGTCGCGAATGTTTAATTAAAGAAAAAAAGCATCTTAAAACGAAACCACTCTACTTCGTATTTACAACGTGTAGCTCTTCTTCTTGTTCAACTATATTTACTGGCTTTCTATAGATCTTCGGTCATCGACGACGGCTAACTACACACATATTTTGTTTTAGAGAAATAACAACTGTTCATCTACTGAAATAAAAGCGTAAACTACGTCCTGTTTAGGCAACTGTGCTTTGTTACCCGTAAATCATTCGAACTAGACTAAGTTAATCGCCAAAAACTGCCGACATGAAATTACAGTTAGGAATCACTTTTCGACCACTAGGTATCATTACTCTGGTTGGAACATTTCAACAGCGACAGTTGATGACCTGGCACCCACTCTATTTTTCAGCTTTCGAGCCAAAGTATAACAGATAAGTAAAATCAGCTCCAAGATTTCGGCAAACGTCAAAACGGACATTCCTATCCAAAGACCAAGTGATCCTCCGAGGTCTGACATAAAACTTGGCAACTGCAGACAAATCAAATTTTGCGTTTAATGCCACTTGAAGTAATTATGTATGTCAAGCTAAAATGTCTGAACTAATCAAAAATATATGATTCGTTAGATCCCTTTCCAATTGGCGAGTTGAATGGTCAGGTTATCGTCGATGGCAAATTTCCAGTAATCATGCCAATTATATATCCATAAGTAAATTTTTATTAATGTCAGTATCTTAGGAACCGTGGACCTACCCATCCCCAAGCCCAACAATAACCAAGTGATAACATAGGGTTAACGTTGGTTAAGGGGGAGGAGTAGGTATGCATTTGCTTAGATACTGATATTGATCCTCAGATTTCATCACTTACCTCATACGCCGGATCCTCCGAAATAACTTCGTAATTCAGTTCTTCAAAGAATACATTTACTTTGAGAATGTGTTTCCTAAAAAGCAACAATTAAAAGCTTTGGCAGTCTCATGATGTTATCAAGTTTAGAATAAGATATATGACATCATAAATTTAATTTGATTTTCGTTTCTCTTTATTGCCAGTGGCTTCGCCTGCAAATGAATCCCAATTAGAAAGAGTTGTACAACAGTTATAAGTACAATCTAATTATAATTTTACCTTAAGTCGTCGGATTCTCCGTCCACCTCCTTATTCCTGGCCTTCAATTTCGCTCTATAGAGTTTCTAGCGCCCGTGGATTGAAAAGAAGATAAACACTTCGAACTGTAAGTTACGGATCATGCGTTTCCCCAAACATAAATCAAACAGGAAGAAGCAAGGATACATAACTTACAACACAACACTTACTTAAAGTACCAATCACAGCGCTTGTAGTCATCGAAAGATATGATCAAAGATTTTCATTTTAGAAAATTGAAATGACCTTGCAATGGGTTGGAAGGATATGAAGTTAATTTTCTGGTATGATATCACAAAGGTGTATTTGAGACCTGATAAACCTTTCATTTGATGTGAGTAATTTAAGTAAATTTACTAATTAAAACGTCCCGTGCGGTTTTGGGTTCTCGATATTCCGAAAAACGAGTGAAAAATATAAATAAAGTGAAAACTTTGTTCAAGGTTGGAATGATACATTTGGAAAAATATTGAAAAGTAAAAAAATAGAAGTTACTTCTTAAAACATGTAAGCTCCATGAATGTATACCGACCTCCGAACTAGTGGTCGGCCACAACGAGTAAGATGTAGTGAATTTGAATGTGCTCTCCCTGAAATAAATTTAAATTCAAAATGTGACCAGGAACTGTGTACCTGTAACTGAATTTTGATTATGTTAGCGAAACGTCAAAAACAATACGTCTTAAAAATAAATTAACAGAATACAAAGGTCTTTTTAATCTACATTACTTTGAGCAATCTGGGTTTACTCTCAGGACTCAAATTGAGCATCTGCGTACGTAAAAAAAAGGTAAATAATTTTTCTTACTTGCAAGGTGGAGGACATGATTGGGAACAGTTCAGTACTCCCTTGATAAAATAGTCTTTCACTTTTCTGACACAAGCTCCTAGAAAAAGATGTTATAATATCACGTCAGCTTTATATAGATGTACATGTATTTCACGCAAAAGGTTAAGTTTTATATTTAGAAATTGTTACCTTCAAAAAACTACTAGTGCCCAGGAATTTAAATCTATGCCAACATGGCGAACCTTTCTTGAGAGAAGAGGTAAGGCAGGATGGGAGAGAGAACAGGGATTGTTGCAGAAGAGAGAGGGCAGAGGGGGCATAGTGATAGCTATGAGAGGGGGCATAGTGATAGCTTTCTAAATCTATTACGAGTTATCTCAGGGAAGTGCTTACTGTCTGTTTTGTTTGAGGTTTCACAGAAACGAGTAGACTTCGGCCTTGGATATTTGTATTCAACGCATCCACACTCTTCTTGTTGCTTTCGTGCCCAGCAGCTCTTTTTGCATGCCTAACAAATAAGGTTAAAAAAAGAGAAAGGATAGCAAATAAACTGGTTAGGAAGGGGGACGATGCGATTGCAAATTAAGTATTGTGTAGCTTTGTGTATATTATTGAGGACTCTAAAATCAGTTGATGTTAGGCAGTCTTAAAGATAATGAGTATAGATTATTACTAAACTTTCAACTCTGAGTCCGCACAAGTTCGTTGGATATTTACCACCTCATATCCAACAAAGACTCAGGGATTAATTTTTAAATATCTTACATAGCAAAATAACAGAACCAAACCCATATAAAACGACAAACAAAGTAAAAAAAAAATTAAGATACTCAGTAACACATACAGCTGTTGAATAATCCGCTTTCATCGTATCCTTGAAAAGGTTCATGCTTTCAGGGGCAGAGTTTTTCATGCAGGAGTTGTTCCGAAAAGGATCCGATCGTTTCATAACAACCTTGAAAGAAAAATATAAACATTCAATATGACGATCAATCCGAAGAGGAAAAAAGCTCTCCATGATATCCGATTGGCCGGATTTATCCCTTGCGTTTCGATTGGTCAATGGTAATTTTATTAAGAACATCATTTGATTACAGCAACCAAAGATTCATGGCTGCCTGCAATGAGATAAGTAAAAGAGGAAAAACAAGGAAAAAAACAAACAAGAAGCTAAACAAATAAAGTGCCGATGATGATGTGGGAGGTACTGAGGAGTTATTTGCCAGAAAATAGGAAAAAACTTTGAGATAAATCATTTGGAAAAAAAATTTTCTTCTCTTTCAGGTTGGATCGTATTGTGATGCTTTTGATCGCAAGTTCTATTCAAGAACTTCCACAAATGCTCAACAGATGAAACCTTCCTCATTCCAACAGACATGGCATATCCTGGTGCAAGACTCAGTCCTTTATCGAGAGGAAAAGGCATTTCTCCTTGATCTGAGATGTCAATTCTCACTCCTGCTTCTTGCGTCAGGGATCCGATGTACTGATCTTGCTCGATGTTCAGCTCCAGACTAAGCCCTTAATGAAACGAAAAAAAGTAAATATCATCGCCATTAAAGTTCTAATGTTAATATATATATATCTGAAATACACAAGGCACCAAAAGCACCAAACGTCAAAGTAAAGGTTTTCATTTCCGCCTGCGAAATAAGCAATCTCAAGGGGAATAAATTCAAGCGGTCTCGTCAGGAGTCGAAGGTATTACATTCACATTGGTGCTTTGAATGCTTTACCGATGAGCTCTTGGAAACTTATGGGAACCTCTTTCCGTAGAAAGCTTTTTTCCACTGACTGAAAAAGTAATCATCTTCTTTTGCTAACAATCACCCAGCTAAAAAAACAATTTACAATCTTCGCTTTCTAGTTTTTTCGTGTCTAATATAGGTGTTTGAAAAGTCCTGAAGACCTTTTGGAAATGACATCCAAAGTATCTTAATGAGGTCCAAAAATCAAACACTGACAAACCGAACAAGGGGCCTGTTTCACTTGACTTCCACAAAATGGTTCTTTCTCCTTGGTCACTGTACCCTCCATTGAAAATGTAGCAGTTCCCGTAAGCAAAATGCCAGAAACGAGTCCAGTGTGTACTGGAGTAATTCCTAAATCAAAAGGAATTTACAACATTTTTATAAAAACGTTTGACCAAGGCGAATTATGACCTTTCATATTTTCCTCTCCAAGTTGTAATATCATTATCACATGCGAAAAAACATTTGAAAGAAATTCCGTAAGCTGTCTGGTTTTTACATGTACAAATTTAAGTGTTATCACATTAAGATAGAAATTAAAATACTTTTTCCGATAATTCATTCGTCGACAACGAAGAGGCATGTTAAATATTACGATTTAAAAGATTTACATACGCGCAGTTGATTCCGCGAAAGGTGCAATAAATTATAAAATCTTCAAACTGATGGCCTAACTCTGTGAGGTCATGACGAGCATTTGTTTTAGCTATTTTGGTCATAAGGTTTTCCTTCGCTATAAATTGTGGATCCTCTTCCACTTCCTCTTCTGCATCACGTTGGTCTTCCTCTTCTGCATCATGTTGGTCTTCCTCCTCGTCATCTTCGTCGTCTCCTGAAACAATGAAAATATTCAAGTCTTTCCATTGTACAAGAGTTATTTGAATCATGCGGACAATTTAAATCTTTACTAGTAAAATAGTTTAGTAAATCTCCAGCTGCGCTGATTTTGTACTTACTTTTCAACCAATCTACTCCTTTCAACTCTCCTCTAAGTGCTTTGGCTGCTGCCGATTCCCCTTTCACTTGATCGATTCTCAAAGAGTTCAAGTCACAAATTGTTATGGCAGGGAACGTCAAATCCTATGTTGAATTTTAATAAAAAAGATCAGGTGAAAACTGTATGTAACTATGTAACTCCATCCATCTCACGCAGAATTCCTTCGTTAAGTCCTCGAACGTACAAGCCACACATATTTCTCGTAGCTCAAAGGGGGAAGGGGGTATGTAAAACCTTTATTTTCTTCTCTGGTAAATTTGCTTCATGTAACTTTGCGGACGATATTAGAACTCTGGCAATTTAATGAAAACTTGACTAATATTTTGATGGCGTCATCAACGTTTACCCTGGCAACCAAATCTACCTCACAGTTTTCGAATCCTGTCGATGAACGGCCGGAATTCTCACCACAAAGAATACTCGTGATACTGACCGATGCAAGTCATCTTTCAAGACCTGAGATAATCAAAGTTTTTACAGACCTACCAACAATCTGGAATTGCAATGTTATTGTAAATTATACTTCAAAAGGAAGGAGGGAAGAAGGGGAAACACGACACATACAAAACAAACACACAAAAGGAAAGGAAAAAAGCATAAAAAGATCGAAAAAATGATTAACTTATTTCTGGAACAATTAGATCCTCTATGCAAGAGAGGAAAACAGTTTTATTACCGAGTCACGCTCGATGGCAACATGAGTGGCGAGGGGTCGCTTGTGGTAAAGACTGTATAGTTGGTGTATCTGCCATGATGAAACACCTAAGGCACCTAACATCAAAATTATCCACAGGATTTTTCGGATCCATTCGTGAGAAGTTACAATCCTTTCAGCTCCATGCATTGAGGTGTGTTGGAAAAAATCGGACAGAAGTAACGTTACAGAAGGTCGGTCGGTTTTGGTCTCCATTTCTGCGAATTAAGACCAAGCACCGAGTAAAATGGTTAGCTATACATCACTGAAGGGAGATTTGCGACGCAATGACCAATGGTTATTCAGTTATAAAAGACTCGAAGAGTTCGACAAAAAATCTTACCAGATTGAATCGATCAGTCTACCGTATTGAAAGGTGTAAAGTTTTAACCTTTTTTCGGCAAGGTGCAAAGATGTTTAGAACCTCGGTTTGACCATCGCTTTTTCAACCTGGACTGGCCATGTTAAAATGCGAAGTTGTTTATTGATATTCGTCTATAAGCTGTCGATAGGCCCACCCGTTAGTTAATAAAATTTTGTTTGAACTCGAGGCTATGGGAGCTCCTTCAAAATTAGAAGGGAACTTCTAGTCACGCACTGTACGTGTTAATTAAATTTAAAAGCGTTCAATGTTTACTAGAGGTGTCTTATCATGAAACAGCAGGTGTAATTTTTTATTAACGGAGGCATTTAACTTCAAATTACAGCAAGACACTTGATGTCAATTAACTATATTGTCAACAAAAGTCAATAATATTTATTGCACATAGAGTTTACCAATCAACACATGTACTTTATTTAACTTTGATATCATTTAGTTGCCCCAAACTGCCTTTTCGTTTAAACCATACAGCATTTTTATTCGTGGCATTGCTCTCTTTGTCATAAACTTCCTTCAGATTTATCAGTTGATCCTTAGATTTTAACAACAAAATTTGATTATTATCAGTTTTGAATATATGATTGTCATATGACTTGCGTGATTTCAGCCTGTGGATTGAAACTAGCCTAAAAGCTTAATTATAGCCACAGGCGATGGCACGCGCTAAACAATCTTAATGCTTTCTATATAAAAATGAAATTTGTATCACATAACAAGGATCGCATTTTCACAGTAAATGCTGATTAAAGAAGTGTTGTGGTATGTTTTAACTTTTTTTTGCATTGAAAGTTCGATGAGTACATCTGTTTGGATGCAAGGTAATCAATTTCAGTAGAGTCTCCGTATTTTGTTATCTTTTAATTTTGTTTCTCTTTTGACGTTATGTCAACAGATCGTTACCCCACTCTGGAACGCCTAGCTACGAATTAACTTTTGAAAAGCCATATGATTATTGGATTCACACGACATCGTGAAAATTTAATGGACGGTTTCCGACCAAATATGCAAATTTGAGTGACCCAATTTTTTTGACACGAATATGTAAAAATGCCTTAGCTTCTAGGTTAAAAATTATTAGAGGTTATTATAAGGTAAACCTACGCAGACATACTGAAAGGAAAAACACTACGTGTAATAGAAACGCCACACTTACTTTAGCTTCCCTTTTGTACAAATAAACAGGTTGTTTATCTGTTGAAGGTTATAGGCAAAAAAGCGTATTAAAAAGTGCTAACAAGCTTCTATTTATGCTGACATGTCTATTTTTATGTTTGTTCCCACTGGAAAGCCTTGAAAAAATGGGAACGACTCGAGTTTTATTTCCTGAAGTTTGTGATATTGTCTGTTTTGCACTACTATAAGCTTATGGTTTCAATGTCTTCTCAAAACTCTCAAGTTTACACCGGAACAAACCAAGGGCTGAGAGAAAAAAACATCAGCTATAACACAATTATGATAAGGTTTATTTTTTGGCATGTTTTTTTTTTCTTAAGTGAATCTTAACTCTACTTACCAGCTCAACACAAAGATTTATTTGTCAGTTATTTATCAGCTCAGCACAAAGATTTATTTGAACAACTGAAGGGTTAGTAAGCTGAGTTACAATGTTTTGAAAAAAAAAACCCACTTGATTAATATCTGAATAACAAAAACACAAGGATGAATGTCGAAACAGGCAAATTAAAAAATGCGGAAAGTTTTCATTTTCAGAAAGATTCCTCGATGTTTGACCGTAATGAGAAAATATTGATTTGAAAAAATTCTTCTTTCGAAGAGTTTAGGAGAATCTGTGGTATTTTTAGGGAAAACGCCTCGTTGTGGATACACTTCTTGCATTTCACATTTGGAAATTCCTTCGTATTTAACATAGGTGGAATACAAAGGACTTCAGTTCTTCGCTCAACTAAACCTGGAATATCACAAGGTAATGGAAGTTCAAGTAACATACCGAGGTAGGTACTTTGGCATAAAAGGTTTTTACATAATTTTTTGTGGAGTTTCATAAACGAACTCTATAATTCAGATGGCAACTCAAGCTGATAATTTCACCAATCACCTACTGTAATGATAACATCTGCAGCTGTTGTTACGTGGACTGTCCAAATGTGATCACGCGTCATTCGATGGCTTGCAAGGAACAGGAATGTCGTGGATATAGCTGATAGTTTGACTGAGTGAGCTTATTCAATCATTACATGTGTTCTACTATGCTTGCTTTAAAGGGTTAACACTGGAGATGAATATTCAGAAACAAGAGTTCCTTGATACCACAGCAGGAGCAGGAGTAAGAGTGGATATCTCAAATCAAAGACACTAAGAGGCGACTCTAGATACCAATCCTTTAGCATAGTGAGTTATTATTCCTTTTTTTTGCATTCTCCATTACAGACTGTCTTTGGACGAACTGATCCCGCTAAGGATGATAAGCGTTGTAGAGAAGGAGACAAATTCACCCGGAAAAATTTATGCACGGAAATTTTGAATACCTCTTACTCGATGACGACGGTCAATCCAATTTTTTATCTATCAACATATCCATTCGTCGATTCAACCATATAACCAGCAATCCATTTATGTCTGTACATGTTATATCCTATACGATCATGAGTGTACAGAATCTTGTGTTCCACCTTGCAGGTACAAGTGTAGGTTCTTTTTAGGATCTTTTCGGCATACATACTTCAAATAATCAATATCGCTTTAACAAAGTAAATACAATTTTTGTTTGTTTGTTTGTTTGTGTTTTTTTCAATCTGGTAACCGACGGAAATGCGGATTTTGTAGGTCGGTGTTTTTCCAAAAGAGTGCATCTTTTGAAGTTTGGCAATCTGAGAAATACAAGGTATTTCAATGATCAGGAACGCTATGTGCGTGGAAAGGGGCCGCGTTTTTGTAAATGTCAATCGAGGTTTTTTTTTTAGCTCAATATCCTTACCTTTGATGATGACTCTTGATCGATAACTATTAATATTTTGATGTGCATAGCTTTATGATTCAAACAAAACCTGTCAAGAGAACCAAAAAAATAAATAAACAATAACAACAAGAACAACAAAAACAGTTACGAAACACAATCAGACATAGCATACATTCGTAATAATAAAACCCCATGGTAAGAATACAAATGAATTATGAAACTGTACACTTGTGATAAATCCTACATTTTCTTCAATAATAATATCATTACGTGGCCAAGTTCAAGGAATGGTAGATAAAAACTTTTAGAAAAACCCTGGTTAAAGACCATTTTCTGTTATCGAGATATATAGCACGGTGTTGTAATAACTTGACAGTTCAGCTTTCAGGTCTTAAATATGAGGTCATAAGTCAAATATTTTCATACATATATCTTTAGGAGACAGGTGGTCAATTAAAATTCAGCGATGAGGATTTTGGTTCTTAAGTATTGCATTTTTTTCTATACTTTTCGGAATTAATTATACGTGGAATTCTTAATTCTTCAAATATATACTTTTTTCTGTCATGACGTCAAATTTGATACTCAACCCATTTTGTGTAGGAGAGTACCAATAAAATCAATACTAATTATCAGTTCAAGTTCAACAGATTTTATAATCCCCTCAAAAATAGTTAATTTACCTTACATTTTTTAATGGGATTATTAGAAAAAATAACCTGAGGCTGCACGTTTTTTATCAAGAACTTGAAAGAGAAGTAATAAAGGAGGTATTGTCGTACACGGTAAGTAGCAGTAGTCGATACAAATGTATTTGAACAGTTATAACTGTTTTAAACGTTTGGATGGAACTGGGAAGTAATATAAAATAATGGAAGCATCATCTCAATGTCGAAGAAAGAACACACGATAAGGATATGCCGGTGCACAAATTGAGAGTGATAAAGTCTTTCTTACCAGACTCTCTTTGTGAGAAGGCAAGTTTCGTTGTGAATAAGAAATAGCTATTTTAACGGAGTGGCCCTCATGCTTGTACCCACCATGTTCAATCGACTGCAGCTGTTCACCTCTTTGCCAACATGTTTTACTAATCTGTATGTCCTTACTTTCCTTTTTTAGATGGATGCGTTTATTTCAGGCGTTGGCGGTCAATTGGGACTTTGGGTTGGAGTTTCTGTTCTGCCTCTGGTTGAATTTCTGGAGTTGATAACAACGCTCAGCCGCTTTGCATTCAAGATATATTCAAAAAGAAATCAAGTTATTATTGCAACTCCTTCAACTTAGGCGAAAATGTGGTCCATCCTACGTTGGGTTTTTTCGAGGAAACTTTGCAAAGATGGCATTCACTTTTTATATTTTGTTCACTAAGTCCAAAATGTAAATAGGAAGTGTGTCTGTAACCAATTCAACTATAGTTCTGAAGACGATTTAAGAGATGCATGAATTTGACAACGATTTCGTTTTAAAACCATTAATAATGCACGTCTGAACAAAATATTAAATAAGTTTCCAAACCATGAGGCAGAAAATAAAATATTTTTACCGCAACACGTTTACAAGGGATCATCGTTAGGATCATTTTCTACATAAAGTCTGCTTGAAACTGAAATTCACGAGAAAATTTACAACATTTGTATACGAGGCTTGCGGATTGTTGTTATTGAGATCAAATTCATACGGTTTCCTTAGGAGGCAGGCCAAAGAACACTCCATTCTGATTACAGTTCCTGCTGAAACCAATTTGTTTACATTTTTATCTATTCAGATAACTTACTTAGTCACGGTGTGAAGCTAATAAAGTTATCTACTATGAGGATCAATGAGGCCTGGGTTGAATAAAGTATTTGCTATTGTTTGCAATTTTTAATTAAGGTCTTTTCAGCTTACATAACTAACTCTAACACAGCAGAAGTGGTGGTTTAGAAACAAAGAATAAATAGAAATACAAAGAGATCCACGCAAACTTATTTGTGGAATTGAAGCCTAGTATATTGTAATTTTCCTTTAGGATGGAGGTGCGTACCGAAAAATAGTTCATAACAATGTTATGTAATCATGTTTTGGGAAGTGAAGCAAACGGTCCTTGTTTTAATTCGCTTCTATTTACAGTTTCAAAAATGGAAATTCTTTAGAAAACTATGTAGACTTAAAGACGACAAACGCAAAAGTGGATAACCCCTGCTGAGTAATTACTAATTTGATAAGCGATTTGACCTTACATAATTGAGTCATTGGGACATCAGCTAAGGTGGCTTAAGGCTGAGGTAAGTTGGGCCTCTGAAATTTTTCCATGAATGTTTCTAAACGTTTATTTTTTGGAGAGGATTAAAGTAAAAAAAATGGCTTAGAAGATGCCCAAGTAATTAATGCAAAAAAAGTCTACTGAAGGAAAAGAACGTTTAGGCTAATAAGGTGATAGCAAAATGTCCTAATGAACATTTTTTGTTTTCAAAAAGTCCAAATGTTTAGGTGAAAGAGTGATTAACTTGCTCGGAAAAAAGGAGGTTTCTTTAAAATTTCTTCGATTTATTGAAGTTCAATGGAACTTCCATCGAACTTCAATCAATCGATTCCACACTACGCGGGGAAACCAAGAAAAGTGTAGAGTTAAATAAACTTTAAAAGGCTCCTACGCATTAAAATTCTTGACGACCAGCCATGTATACTGACAAGGGAGTAAACCGACCGAAGGGAACCGTTATTAATTTCTGAATACTCGTAGAACTAACAAGATACGGAAGTCTGTTACATATTGTTTTCATCTTTTTATTTGCTTTGTTGCATTGATTCATGATTCGTAAAAAAGTCGCTATCACTTCATGAGGGTTGCCATGGAAACTCCAGAGGCAAAACACGAAGAGAATACGACAGGTGGAACCGAGATCAAGTTCAGTTTAGTCATCCAGGAGTTTTGTGACAACACAACAGCACACGGTCTGGGGAGGATACATTTTGTTAATCATTGGATCAGGAAAGTGTTCTGGAGCTTATTGTTTATTGGCGCTGTCACAATGCTTTGTATTCAAGTACACACTTTGTTCGACAAATATCGAAAGCGACCGCTGACAACTTTAGTCACAGTAAAAACAGAGACGGTGAGTCCGAGTAGACCTTCATGTTCTTTATGACATAAATAGTGAAGATACTATTTCGAAGTTAACATCACAATAGCTACTTTACCTTAGATAAATTGACTTTCTGTGTCAAGGTTGAAGTTCATTCATGTTTGGAAAAAAAAAATTGGCAAGATATTTCCAGGAGTGTTGATGAACTTGCATCTCTAATCAGAATTCATCTGTATCATGATTACAGAGTCTGGAATTTCCTGCAGTAACATTTTGTAACTTCAACGCCATGAAGAACTTCACAACTCAAAGTGGCGATAAGAAGCTGACGGAGATTGTTCATCAACTGAAAGCACAAAGTAAGGCATTAATTAGACTCGGAAATTTTAAAGCAGAAAGAGTCAGAGATCGAAGTCAAAGTTTTGTCAGGGAGATTTCCTCTGCTTTCGACAGCACTCAGGACTGAAATGTAAGAATTGAAAATTTGAGAACTGTGTCTTATTCTGTCTTATTCTGTCTGTGTCAGATTCGTCAAAAGTGCCGGGTAACGATACTTCCGAAGCAGTATCTGAAAGCAGCAACACAGAAGACATCGAGTGGAGCCAAGAAGACTTCCAAGACCCTGAAAATCTTGATACGAGATATCAAAGAGGAAAGGAAATGTCAGTGTTTTTGGCGAAAGAGGACTTGCAGATTCTTACTTTACTGGGACATCAGTTTAGTGAAATGGTCCTGTCTTGCACATTTAGAGGAATGTCATGCAGGTGAGGAACTTTGTCTAACTTCAACGGATAACCTTGATAATGCCTTGAAAACTTCAGGATTTAAGGCAATCTGACATTATCTTATTTTCCAATAATCATTACAGTCGAGGGGGTTGTTTTGGATGATCACAAATTCAAAGAAACAGGTATCGCAGGAACAAGAGTATCATGCAATCAGGTTGTGTTATTTGAGATCAACTTGTTCTTATTCTTATTCTTGTTTTAGAAACTACACAACATGGAACTGGACATCATTCTGGCATTACAAGTACGGAAACTGTTTTGTATTTAACGGTGGCCAAGTGAATGGAGTTCCAGTGGAGATTTTGAGATCGAACAATCGCGGCCCTTCTGAAGGTGTATACTAACTGTCTTGTTTGATCAGACCTTCATTTGACTATCACTCATAACGGATTACGCTCCATTTACCTCTTTGAGCATGAAGCAGGAATGCCTTGAGGGAAAGCAAATTTGTTTGAGGACTTTAACTCCTTATGCAAGAAAGGCTAGTCTCTTTCTTAATGGTTTGGTTTTATCAACTGAGTTGATAATGGATGGAGGGCTAACGCTCGAAACATCAGCTTTAGAAACTCTCTACGGTGGCCAATTTACTTAATCAACTCAGTTGATAAAGTAACAACAACACAATTTCTTTTGAAACGTATGCCATCTCTTTCTTCCCTGTGTTAGGGCTTTCAAATACGCATGCTTTCTTGGTATCAAAAGTGTAACTTATTTTTGTTTACTTCGATTCAAAGGTCTCAATCTTGAAATTAATATTGATCAAGAAGAATACATCGGCCAACTGACTCCACAGGCAGGAATAAGAGTGGATATCTCCAAACCGGGAGAAATGCCATTCCCTTTGGAAAAAGGAGTGAGTTTGGCTCCAGGGTACGCTACAATGCTTGGACTTAGAAAGGTATAGTCTGCTGTAATTCTTTGGTGCCGACTGAACATGAAGAGATTTGTAGTATAATTCTAGAATTACTGGAGGTATATTTACATCTACCGTTGCCATAGAACCCAGCAGCAGTGGCATACATACTGTAATTGCCACTGTTAAATATGTGGAATTAGTTATTGATTATTATCTGGATGGGCGAGGATGTCTCTTAGCATTTTTTAATCGTAGTATCACACAGATTATGAATAGCAGTTTAACGGTTTGGCTTGACCTCTTTACGTTCAAGGTATTTTTTGTGCCAAGCTATCGCATGCCAGCAGTGTTTGGCTTTTTGCAAAGTTTTCTCTCCTATTAGCATGAAGCGCTAACTGGAACTTAAATCTGGCGCATCTCTCCACAGATAATCAAAGAAAGAAAAGACCCTTTCAACACAAAGCGTTGCCTGAATTCAGTTGATCGAGATGACAATAACCTATACACACGCATTTTTAACGTAACCTACTCGTCTACGGTAAAGTATAAATAAATAAGTTTAATTAAAATCATTTTGAAAAGTTTATTTTGAATAACAAAATTGAGGAATAAAAATTCCGTACCTACAACTTAAGTTTAAGGCACTTTCTTTACCGTTTTCTCTTTCGCTGAATGATCGATGGATGATGTGCAAGCCATATCTTAGGCTAGAAGTGCTAACTTTGATTGTGAAGCAGTCTTCCTCGATTAAAACAAATGTTGCTTTTACCAGCACATTCTCCATTCTGTTATTCTGCTCTTTTGTGGTTTTCGAGCGTGGAATTTTGATTTAAAGAATAATTGGAAACGTAGAACAAAGATCATTTATGTTGTGCTTTTTTCGGTTCTGCAACCTTTTCATTAATATTAAGTTTAGTCTCAGAAAATATTAGTGTTTACGTCTATTTCTAGGCTTGCAGAGAATCATGTCTGGCTTACAATCAATTCGAGATTTGTGGTTGCGTGGAATACAGATTTCCAGCCGAGGCACTATTCAACATTTGCAGTGTCACCAACATTAAAACACGTAAGGATTGAAAATACATTTGCCTTAATGTAGATTTATGCTTACTTTTAAAGAAAAATATTTTTTGAATTTCTGACATAACTTTTGTTTTATAGTGAAGTGCCTCAGCAGAGTTCAAAACCTCTATAAAAATAACAGATTGAACTGCACTCAGTCGTGTCCACCTCCATGCAGGTAAATGAAATCAACATCATGTTGATTTTCATATCCCAGTAGCTGTGTCTTTTCTCTTGCAGGCCTGGTGAAGCGGTTAGATTGATGGTGCAGCCAGATCATTGCACCTCTCCAGAAATACTAATGGACCGGCATCATGGAATCTAAATTAAAGAATAATTTCTGTTCATTATCTCTTACAAAAATTGCCTTTTTCTACACATTTTAAGTAGCTTTTAAATCCAATATTTGTTAACTTTCTTTCCACAGACTGGAAGAATTCAAAATAAGTTCTTCATTCGCTACCTGGCCTTCGCAAAACTATGAGGTAAAAAACGTTTAGCCACATACACTCTAGATCACAATAATTTTCATCAAAATATTTGTTCAATGAAATGTTCTAAAAAGGGAAATTCGTGGATTTTTCCCGTGATCAATTTAGTTCCGGAATGGTAAAAGGAATTTTCTAGTAAAGGATGGGGGAAGTGTGGAGGTGGATCTGCATTGGTACCGATATTTTCCTATTAATAAATCAAATGAAAAAATTACTCAGTTCTGATTGGTTAAGATAAATTTTCAGGTTATTCAAGGCAGAAGAGGGTTAATTCAGTGCAAAGCAGTAACAAACCAGACTGAACAATTCCTTGAACTGTTTAGCCGGAATCTGAACTTTTTTGCGCCTTAAAGATGTGAAAATATCATTGTATATCATTTTTTCGATCGTACGCGGTTGTTTTGACCGAACGCACAATGTCACTTGCATAGTTTGAATAAATTATTTTTGCACTTGAAGCGCGCGCTTTTCTTCTGCATAATTATAATATATATGGTTTTTTTTCATGTATATTATCATGACGTAGTCTGATGATTTTTCTCGTGCAATTTGGAATGAATAAGCCATTTGTGGTCTTTGAAAAGATTTACTCCTGCTTTTCTATTCCAAATTGCACTCGAAATCATGTGATTATCTATAGTTATTTCATAATCATTGATACTTTTTCATAAATAGGTGAGAATCATGCACCCAATATCATGGCCAGAAACGAAATATACCAACCCCAACTGCATTTATGCCCTTACTACGTGTGTATGTTTTCACGTAAGAATCTTTCAAACGAATGATAATTTCTATCTGGTATTTTGTTTCTTTCATTTTGTTGTATTTCGTTCTTCTTTTCACAGAAGTATTATCAAGAGATAGTGCTAGAAAATTACAACAGACTACTCATCACCAAATCTGGATCCCACAGGTAAGGAACTTGTTCAGTCATAGTCCGTTGACGAAAATAATGAAAAATCAAAAGTCAGGTTGAAGATACTCTCATAAGCTGGTAATTACTAGAAATTTTAATACATCTTGTGGTGATCTATTTTCATGAACACAGAAAAAATGTTTTGAAACTGCAAGTTTTCTTCGAAGATCTTGACGTGGAGGTCGTTTCAGAGCAACGTTCATATGAAGTGAGTAGCTCACATGTCTAAGAACATTTCTTTTATTTCGGTGCGGATAAACAGAAATCAAATATTTGCAGAAAGGAAGGAAGCAATACCGGACAGAAACCCGAACTTGCCCTCCTCAAGTGGTGTATTTTGCTTTTCCCCGGCATTCGAAACAAAGCACAAAAAGTTTTTTCTTAGCAGATATTAGGATATCATTAACTCTGCTTTTAGACATTATGTAAAGCTCAGTAGCGCCACCATCTAGTGCGAGGTAAGAAACGCTTTTTTTTCGTTGTTTGTTCGCAGTGAAAGAGGGAATTTAACTCCATTCAAGTTTAACTCACGATACCAAATAAAAAGACGAACTCTTTGCACCAGGGAAAGAAAAACCATGTCTTGGAAACATAAGCTTTTGTTTTTAAGTTGCTTAATTAAGACTAACGCTCCAGAGCCGATATCGTCCACTGCAAGAATTATCGGGCAATACTTTATGAAAGAACTTAATTGCTTAAGCAAAACTCAAATATAAATGTATCACTTGTAATCATAGATAAGATAATTTACGCATAAATATCAAATGGAATCGTACGGATATTTGTTTTGATACTCATTATTTTTGCTGTAAATTTTCTGGCCAAGAAACTTTTCTAACAGCTGTTTATTTTTTACCTCAGCTGGTCAACTTTGTGTCAGACATCGGTGGTCAACTTGGCCTATGGATTGGGTTCTCTGTGCTGACTCTGGCTGAGTTCTTAGAGCTTATTATGCTACTGTGTCATCTGGCTGTCAAGAAATGCTTCAAGAAGAATGGCACGTCTGAGAGTTGTCTTCCGAATTAAGGCTGAATGGATTATGAAAGGCGAAGGATTTTATTAAATGCTTAATAACACACTTTAAATTTCTCTCAATTTCCTCTCTTTCATCGTTGATGTTTGCGTCTTGTTATACATGAAATGGTTTTTATATTGAAATTTTTAATTTCAATGACGAGACTATTTTCAGAAAGACATAAGCGGAACAATCATTGTTATACGCGAACTTTCATGGGCAGCATTTAAAGTGATGAAATATTGGCTTTAATCCATGAATGGAATTTCCCACTTTGAGTCTCCCCAACCTGATTAATTAAGATTTTTTTTATAGAATATGACTAAACAAATCATCAATCCGCAGAGAAAATAATTTTTTTGTCAATGTGAAACTGGATTTAATACGCCCTCTACTGCCCTATTCATTCAACTTCGACCCGTTGCCTTTTCTCGTTGTATTATATAGCGCGTAATTAGTTGGCATGATAACTCTAACACAGCCAAAATGATTATATCTATTATTAAGAAGGGTTTCGTTTATGGCAGTTTTATTCCAGATATAAATAAGTTTACAACAAACGGTAATTACGGTGCATTTTTGAGCATGACACCATCAGCCGAGAATTCATTTGCGGCACATATCTCTATTCGCGTCGCGTGTCACTTTTGATGACGAGCAATTTGATGTTGATCACCTCAGAGAGAGAGCGGATTAAATTTATTTTTAAAAGTCAGCATATATCTTACGGAATCGATCATTGATTTCCTGAATACCGTCATCAAATCAATGACTGCATTCTCATTACTGAGTCATCGATAAGTTAAAAAGTAATAAGCGAAGCACTCATCATGTTCAGCTTCTGAATTTTACGATTAACATGAGGTAATTAACAGTCCTCAGTCTTCTTGGATCAGCGATCATCAGCTGTGTCTCTTTCGGTAAGGTAATATGTACTAGATTTAATCATGTAAGGTAATATGTACTAGATAAGCAAATTTGTTGCGTGTAATTGGTAGATATTTCTTTACAAGCTAATTTCCTTTCATTCAAATCGGTAGCTTTTGAGACTTAGATTAATTAACCTTTCCTGTAAACAAAAATCTCTATCAACGTTCGGCTTCTGCTCTGAAAGTGCATAAATTCTGTTAGCACGGTTTTCGCAGATCTCGTCACGCGTAGGCCCTCGAGAAAGTTAAGAGAGAAGCATATTATGCACGTTTTGAAATACGTCTGGTACTTCACTTTTCCTTTATCCCACGAGTAGGAAACTTGTAGCATTTGTGGTAGAATAAATTTTGGCCTTTATAAGAAACAATATAGATATTTAAAGAACGATTCAAGCTCTCATGACGTAATCAAAATTCAGTCGGGAACCGTGTAGAGCAAAATAGCATAAAACTAACGCAATAAAAATATAAGTTTTTACCCTCATGTAATTTTATTTCAACACTCTTGTAATGTACTTGACACAAGTATTTTCATTTTTTGATTCTTTCAATATCAGTTGAATAGTAAGTCTTGTAATGGCAAGTGTTCTGAAAGAGGATTATGTTTCAACTATAATTTTTTATTATTAATATGAGAATAATTTTAAGTATAAATTACGGCAAATCTTTTAAAATTAATGTCTACCGACTTTCAATAAGCAGAATTATGTAGATGGAATATCAACTTGCTATCCGTGAGCAGGCAAAGGTGATATAAACTCAGTAGCTAGCTCTAAATCCAAAAACGCGGCTCTATATCGCCGTAAATGTTACATACGGCGTTACGGTAATTTTTGAGTTAATCGGTCCAAGTAAGACTGGTATCGCCATTAAACCACATTTTCACGGGTGCGAAAACTTCAATAACAAAATATATTCCGTACTTCAGTGACCATCCTCACATCAATGTAAAGACAACTCCCCTTAGCGAATAATATTATTGTAGTGGGTAAGTATTTAGATACCGTACGCCAATGTGTTTATCGACACTCTACAATGCTGGCTTGCTGCATTTCGATGTCGTTGCGTTATTACTTCTTGGCCAAATAATTAACAGAGTTACTATTAGCTTCTGGAAGCTTTTAACTCAACCCGCTGATGCTATATTTGGGGTCTTTAATGACATATTTAGTAGATACTTTGGTTACAATTGTTTGTCACGGCTGAATGAATTTTTTTAAGAAGTAGTTTTTCGGAAGGCGTGTATTCCTCTAACTTTGAACTTGCGATTAATTTAGGTAATGTATAAAATAAAGAGTTACATATTCCTGAACCACAGCTAATAACTGCAACCGGCAGATGTTATTTTTGCAAATGATATTTCTTTTTGTTTCCACGAGAGGGCTTCGATCTGTTCCTACTAAATTAGTTCAAACGTAATTTCCCAGAATACACTTTTAACAGGGGTGATTCTGTCACCAGTATTTCACATTCAGTTAACCGATTTTTAGCAAACTCTTTGTACATTCATCAGAGCAAAATAGTTTGAAAGCAAGAACAATCGAAACTCGAAACAAAGATTTTGTCGTGCTGAGCGATTTTATGATTGTGTCTATTTTTCAAACGTTTGATTCGTCGAATGAACTCATATTGTAGGTTTTAAAAGAAGAATACGCTAGAAGTGAACGACGTTGAGTAAGACGAAGAACCTCACATAGAAGCGTTCAGTTCAGTAAAGTCAAGATCTCTGTGTGATGAGAGTCTTAAGTTAGGCCAAAACTGAAATACGAAGCAAAAGTTGCATTTCGCGTCTTAAAACACACCCCTAAACTAATTCAAGATGATGCAAGGATAAATTGTGTAAATTTTGTATTGTAAAATAACCCCCTTCCCACATAATCCGCAGACTCAATTATGAATGACAGTTGTCCAATGCACCGAGCAGCATTTGATCAGCGCTTCTGCCTTGATGGGTAAAATTTCGGCAGGAAAAAGAAAAATCTTCGAAGCGTAATATTGTCTTCGGTTTAAATTCAGGCCAATTCAAGAACGGAATTTATTCCATGATAGACAGAGAATTCACACGAACTAATTATAAAATATAGCTAAAAGAAAAAAAAGGTTTCTGCCAAAACGTGTATGGCGGTTATAAAGAATTTGATTGAGCAGTAACTCAGCAACCGTCTCAGAACAGTCTCAACTGGTAAGTGCCTCAGCACTAGCTTGTCTTTGAACTTTCATGGTGGCATATGAAATTTCTCTCTGACTCTTTTTAGGCCATTGATTAATTTCATTCGCTAAATTAGTGTTAAGAGAATTAGGAACAGGTAAGGCAAAAAATATTCCGTTTTGAAAAGTTTCTTTCAGCAATGAATTAAAAAATCTGTAAAAAATGAAAAAACTAACATGTAGTGATATTATTTTTACAACAACGCTTATCTTTAAATCCATTTTATGTTTTATAAATTAAAATTAAAGAATAAGTGAGGGCGAAGATTCACAGTTTCATTTGCATTACATGAAGACTTGAAACTTATCTATCAGGGTAAATTCTCCCGAAGTGTTTGCGCCTGATTCACCTCGTAGTAAACGAAATCTTTGACAGATAAAAAGGTGAACTATACATTTACAACTTTTAAAAGTTATTTTAACATTGATTCTGTGACTAAATCAATAATGTTTGAGCTTACCCAAAATATGTAAATTAAATATTCACACCTCTTAATTTCTGCCAATAAAAGAGGAGAAATTGAAGGCTGTGTCCTTTGGACGACAACAGTATATAAAAGCATAGAACCTCCATCAGCGTGTCACTAGGTAATGCAACTCAATAGTTCAACTTTCAACGGAACAAACAATATCCTATATGTTTGAAAAGAATATGAATCAAAATACCGTTGCGTGTGACCGACTCAGTTAGATGTTGTCTGTAAAGATGTAAACCGAATGAAATATCCTAAGACTGGGCCACGCGGGGGCTCTTAAGTTCTGATGTCCAATTTATGTCTGTTTGTAGCAAACTGAGAAAAACGCGTCTTTTCTTAATAGAAATATTTTGGTCCTCGATGTGATACGAAAAAAAAAGTAACCCTTTCTTTCGTGCGAACAAATTCATCTACGCCCTTCAAATTTACATCTCTGGTTTTTTATCACGAAAGATTGTGATAAATAACTTATGCACTTTTACATCCTTTGCTTTCATGAAGAGTTAGTGAGATCGTTTTCACAATCGACTCTAGTCTGAGAAAAGGATAGCTTATTTATTTTCTTTCCCAATTTGAACCTATCTATTAACATGCATGCATTTGGCATGTGAGTATAAACATTTACCTCCGTTTACAATTATTTAAGGTTTTATAAACGAGTTATGCTTCACCACACCTAACGTTTTACGGCAGGTGATGATTAAAGTATGTTAATTCTATCGGTTCGGTACGGTGTGAGAAAAAGAAAGTATTCATTTCCTTTGCTGCATTAATGAAGGACAGCACCTGCATATTTTTATCAAAATTAAAACCTATTTTCTATTTAAAAAGTCTCCAATGAAGAGTGATAGCTATTAGTGTGAGCAAATCGTAAAAGAGGCAGATGTCAGAGGAATTGCTTGACTCGAGAGCGAAGACGATATTGCAGTAAGAAAAAGGTATGATACTTTTTTTTTACAATAGAAATATAATTTGGGACTCAGTAAGCAGGCTGGTGCGTTGAAAATATTTAGTGTGTTGAATTTCAAATAATCTCAAACTGGATGGATGTTTCAGTTTCATTTGGTTGTAAATCAAGATTGTTGAATTGACTATCAGATCAGGGAGGTTTTCCTCACGGTGGCATTTTTAGCGAAAAAGTCCTTAACTTTGCTTAAGTTATCTTGAGAGTGGTTACGGTAGAATTCTTCTTTTTCGTTAAATTTTTAATGAGTTCTAGGCCTGTGTATTTGTTTTCATGTGGTAAACCCGTAATGAGAAATTTTTTTCACAAATTTTTTTTTCTTACCAATAATTTGCAAAAAATATTAGAGTCTGTTAGACTCTACTTCTGCATCACCGCTTTTCTTGTCCTCGGAAATGGTGAAGCGGGTATGCCAAGTTTTTCGGCGACAGAAAATTTACCCTGTTGAGCTGCCTCTTGAATAATACATAAAAATGACTCTTGATGACTTTTATTTGACTGCACGGAATGAGAAAAAACTGACACAAGACTTGGAAGAGTTCCGAAATTTCACGAGAAGACCATAACTTTTGTTTCTGGATATGAACACTATTCTCAAACAAAGGGCATCGCGTTTATCGTTAAACAGAACTTTACGCTGAGTAGCGGTAAGTGAAGTAAAACGTTTCACTTCGGAAAAAAGGTTTAACAACGCCCCTTACTGTAGTGGAAAAAAGCTAATCTTTGTTTCTTATTCATAATTCAGTCAAGGTGAGGACTTTTGAATTTCTGATTACTTCAGTTTAACAGGAAAACTGAGCCAAAGGTCGGGTAAATCTTTCATGACACTTTTTTTATTTGATAAGGCTCCATATCATTCGGATGCATTGGTGATCATATCCGGAGATGGAAATGCAAGAATTAGGAAGCCATGATGAATCAGTCATCGAACATGAGCGAAACGCAAAAAACATGTTCTGCTCCCTCATCAAGGACTTTTGTGACTACACATCTGCGCATGGCCTGGGGAGGATAATGGCGGCGACACACTGGGTGCGAAAAGTACTCTGGATCATGCTCCTCTTGGTTGCGATGACGATTATGACGATTCAAGTGAACGTTTTGTACCAAAAATACCAAAGCCGGCCTCTGACTACCTTGGTCACAGTTGAAACAGCCTCGGTATACCATTTTCAATCTATTTTACAAAATTTTCAATATTATTTCATTAAATGTAAGAATGGGATTTCAAAGGGACACTGGAAGACAATCGTAAAAATTATATCAAGCATGCACGAAATACGATACAATACGAGCCACTATGATTCCACGCTCTGAGGATCAGAAGTCCAAACACAGACAGCACTCTCAATGCTATATCTTCCATTTTATTTCATAATGAAAGAGGCAGGAGTGCAAACGTTTCTCTTTCAACAAAAAACGGCTCTGGCGAAAAAAAGTGATTGTCTTTTTGCCAAGACCTCTTTAAAGCGCCTCCCCTCGGTACAAAGGTTATCAAAATATCGCCTCTTCCTCTGTAGTGTTCATAAATCTTTTTTAAAATATGCTCTCGCCTACGTTCGCGTTATCAGTTTACGGTCTCAAATTGATTATTAAAACATGTCTCAACTTTCCCACAATTAATTTCATATTTTGCAGAGCCTCCCATTTCCAGTTGTTACGTTCTGCAACTTCAATGCTCTCAAAAATGATTCTATACAAGCTGCTAAAGAAGATGGAATGGATATTTTCAAAAACCTCTTCACAAGTGAACTTGGTAATGCTGACAGATAATATAATTGTTTAGGAAGTTATAGTTCCGCAAATAAGCAGGCACAAATCCCAGTACCTTTTAAGTCTACTTTTTGAATACCTCAGTCACGAGAATCTACTGATTTTCTGAATTCTACCGGAGTATGTTTCTTTCCGACTTGTAGTTTAACACATGTTGAATTAATCGCATTGTAACATAATGAACGACGTAGAGACATTATTGGCGGACATGGGTATACATTTCTGACTGATGTTTTTTATCGTGTTTATCTGCCGCTGATTCAGCTAAAAACATCTCAAGTAGCCAGAGAAGACGACGATCAAATGATCCTGCTCCAACTCTAGAAAGCCTCGCTGATCAGGAAGGTTCAAGTTATGATTCTGATGACGATGATGACGGGAACTTTTCTTGGGATGACGACGAAGAGTTTCAAGATCCATTTAAGAAAGACCCAACCTTTTTAAAAAATGAGCAGCTAGCGGTTCTTATGGCTAAGGAAGATCTTAGACTTTTAAGCGTGATAGGTCACCAATTTGACGATATGGTTTTGTCCTGCACTTACAGGGGTGTTCCATGCAAGTAAGTTGTACGTTAGCTGTTTTCGCTTACGTTAAAGAGCAATTTGCAATTGAGTTTCGAAAGCCATCCTGGATTGCTGGTTCAGTTTATTTCACTTCGCCCCGTGATTGGTCTAGAAAATTGACGCCATTATCTTAACCAATCAAGATAATCAAATACAAAGCTAATACCAGTCCCAACTTGACCGCTTACTTTTTCCCGCGCCACTAGCAGGTCACCATTGGTAAATGATGACTTCGACCTTTGTTCTGAGAGGTAGTTGTGTTCAATTTGGTTTTTGTTTTTCGACAGTCAACTGAAAATTTCCCTAATATCATTTTCGTAATAGAAGACTTTGATATTGGCAAAACGTTCGAGAACTTCAAAAAGATATTTAGCCTAGAACTATTACGCATATTCTTCTACCTACATTTCGAACTTCAGAAAAATTGTTTCAGTTAAGTTCTTCAAGGCAAAAATGATTTTACCAATCCTCAGAGCAAAACTAACAGGCAGAGAAGGCAAAACGCAGTTTGCACTCTGACCAAATAAGATTCACATTACCCCTTTTGTTTCAGGAATTTCTCTTCTGTTTTTTGGAATAAGTTTTGGCATTATAAGTATGGCAACTGTTTCGTGTTTAACAGTGGAAAAACGAAATCAGGGAAGGACGCACCCATCCTAAAATCCAACAAACCAGGACCATCTCATGGTAACTTCAAGTCAATGATTTCCTTATCTCCTTATCTATATGGTACCATCTGGTTCCAACCTGTACATTTACGCAAGAAGTAAACCAACTGAGGAGGATTCAAGCTGTCATATTTGATTCACGAAGACAGCACGGAAGCGAGGAGTGAAAACGAATTATTTGAGGGAACCTTAAAAATTGATTGACTATCATTTTCTCTCATTAATGCCTTAACGACATTGGTGAATTTTTAAGTACTTTCAAGTATCCTTGATTTGCAGACTGCGCACGTGAAGATGGCGACCATATTAGCGGGCGCGAATGTTTATAAGTGCCTCCAGAGAGTAAAGAAGTATCTTGCTAAAGAATGGTGTATATCTTTACATTTACGAGCTCCTGTGAAACTCGCTGACAGGTGTTGCAGAACTTGCATCATTTCACCTGCCTATTATTTCCAAATAATGATAAGAATGTTTATGCTACTTTTTAGGACTCATCTTGGAACTTAACATAGAACAGGAAGAATACTTGGGACAAATGAGTCCAGAGGCAGGAATTAAACTTGATATCTCTCCTCATGGTGAGATGCCATTTCCACTGGAAAGGGGCCTGAGTCTTGCTCCAGGATACGCTACCATGATTGGAATGAGGAAGGTAAAGGAATTCAGCAGCCCGATCGGCCAGCAATGACATTGGTAAACAAAGTCGGAATGAAGGATCTTTGCGGTTGGCAATGATCTCAAGGACAGCACACGCCCACGAAAATGAATTTGGGGAAACTAAGTACATCGGTCTTAGCTTAGTTTTTTAATGTTATTTAAAACATAAATGAAATATCAAGTGAAGAAATGATCCTCACGTGTAAAGTGTAGTTCAAGCAAATACAGATAAGACGCCTGAAAATTTTCAGATCTCGATAGGATACGAACCCGAGGGCATTCCAACCAACTGAGCAACGAAGCCGCACGTTAAGAGTGAGGCATGATAGTTCGTTTTTCGTTTCCGATAAGAGACCTGATTACAATTAAAATCAGTGAAATTTACCCAACTAAAATTGTGTAAAAAAATTATTCTGTTATTAATAGGAGGTGATAAAGAGAGAGGATCCATTTCAGAGCAAGCGATGTTTGAAGGAGGTCACCAAAGATGATACAAACTTGTATACAAAGCATTTTGGAGCAGTATACTCTTCAACGGTACATTGCTGTTGTCTACGTTATTATATTGTCGCTATATGTCTGTCGTTCTTTCGTTTAAGCACCAAAATCCTCTAATCCTATTCGTTGTCTTAAAATTCATCCCAGGCATGTAGAAAATCCTGCTTGGCGTACAATCAGCTCAGAAAGTGTCGATGTATGCAATACCAATTTCCAGGAAGTTCCAAGTATGGTATCTGTAGCGTCACCGACAAACCAACACGTAAGACTTCACACAAATTTTTTAAGTTATATTGTTGTTTGGTAGCTTTTCCAAATACCTCTTATTAACTTCAAAAAAAATTTTGTCCTTTGTCCAAAGTCAAATGTCTCAGCAACGTCCAGAAGATGTTTAAAGAGAACAACTTGAATTGTACTACATCCTGTCCGCCACCTTGCAGGTAAAGACAACTAAAATTACAAGAAATGTCCAAAGCAAGTCATAAAATTCAGGAAATTTTACATTTTTAGGAGTTACAATTTTCTTTTGGGACAAATTACTAAGCAAAATTATTGATTACAACTACAACGTAAAAGGCAAGTTGAAAACAAAAAATTTAACGCAATTAGCGTTTCTGACACTCTTGGAAAAAGAATGCTATAGATTGCGCTTCTCGATCGTCTTGTGTCCCATTTTTTTGCACTGGACTGAGAGAGAAGGAGGAGGTGCCTCCCCTCTCCATTCTTCCTCCTTTCTCTGAGAACACTATCAACAGTAAAAATACCGTCATCTTAACATTTCCCATTGTTGAGTTTGACGATGTACTCTTCTTAGATGTTTCGCCCGCCTAATACCTTGGCTGCCCGATAAAAGAAACACAGCGAAAGTTGTGTTTATAACGTATAGAACTTAAAACTGTTGATGTAAATATCCTGATACTCTGATCTTCAATTATTTTTCAGAGAAGAAGGTTACAAAATGAGTTCTTCGTTTGCTCTTTGGCCATCGGAGAAGTATGAGGTACAGCTTATGTTTACTGATCATTTTTTGGATGATATTAACAATAATAACGTTCTTCAGGCCTTAATAAGTTTGCTCTGATCCACTTATAGCCAATTTACGAGAAGGCTCTGCAGAAGGAATATAAAATTTTGTTCACCAAGAGAGGATCATCTCACAGGTAAATAATATTCATATCAAACGATAACTGAAGCTCCTCCAGGATAGCCACTTTAAGGAAGTAACTGTTGAGATAGGGGGTTCTTTACAGAATGATTTAAACGTATTTAATAATCTTAAAATCCAGTCAAAATTTATTTATTTTGATGAGTTCTAAAATAGTTGTAGTCTTTTTTAACTTTTCTTTTCAATCAAACAGAAAAAATGTTTGCAAGTTACAAGTCTTCTACGAAGAACTCAACTTGGAAGTGATAACGGAACGGCGGTCGTATGAGGTATGTATGTTAATGAATTAGACGAAATAAGGAATTCTTACTTCTGACAGCAGTCGTCAAAGGCAGTCATATGGTAATCTTAATAAAACATGCCAGTCTTATTTTTTTAACGTTGAGATTGACGAACCTGGAAAATTGATAACGAGTGTTTCTGTCCTTTAACAGATTGAAGATTTTGTATCAGACATTGGCGGTCAGTTGGGTCTGTGGATTGGTTTCTCCGTGCTGACTGCAGCTGAGTTCTTAGAGCTGTTCATGCTCATATTTCACGCAGTCTTCAAGAGCTGCGGGGCCAAGAAGACGCAAAAGTCAAACCACATCCATCAGGATATCGTGGCCTAAACAGACAAAGCTGTGGAATTCCCCTAGCCTGATAATTACCAATTCAAAACCACATTTCCACGGATGTACATCTTTGCCACGATGGTGTGGAACGCTTGATTACGTGATGTGAAACAAGACTTCCTTATCCTTATTTTATGGTTTAAAAAGAGAAAAACTCTTGTTATTGGTTACGACAAGGTGTCAGGGGAGAGCATTCTATAATAATTAATTCACTTTGTGTTGTGAAACGATAGCATCATTGCTTGACTTTTTTTCGTTCCGTTTTGTATTTCTGTGTTGATTTTCGGATTTTTTGAACGTATCCAATGCAACAGTTTCACTCATATATTTAACTTAAAAACAGAAGAGAGAACGTGTCTATTTCACACAAAAGAATATAGTTTCCGTTACCGATTAATCGTCACACGAGGCACTGTGCAAAGCTTTTTCAGTATGTGAAGGTATCAGGCAGTAGCTATTTTCAGTTCCTTTCAGTTCGGTCTTGCCTGTTACAACCCCATAGTTTCTTATTGCATACTGAAGCATCGATCATATTTAGAATTACAGAACCTTGTCTTCCTCCTTCAATGCGACTTGAAGGTCTCTCACTGAGTGCTGTGCTACAAATATTAAACCAGGAAATAACAAAATATAGGTCGCTTGATAATTTTAACTTAGTCACTGATATCGCTCAATTTAATAACAGGTCAGTTTTGTTAAAAAGTGATGACTTTCATCGCTACACAACCCACATTCTCATTCAATTGTTTTGAATAAAAAACCATCTTTCAGTTTGATATCAAGTTAAGTTGATGTTTTTATTTACATGTGAGTTTCGTCTGCAAGTACCTCCCTGCACATGTCTTCACTGATTCCAGCCAGTCGAACATCGATCAAACCGAACCGATGAATCAGTTTTGATCAATTTGATCAAGTGCCGAGATCATAGATGTTGCCTAGCTACAGAGCAGTCACAAACAAATGGGATTAACAAAAACAGAAAAACAACACGTGCGTGGGTGGTTCTTCCGTGACGCAGATATGCTCGTTCGACCACACTTCCGGAGAAATATTCTCACGTAAATCCTTACCACCTGATTAGTTAGGAGTTCGGAGAAAAGCGCGAGTAAGCAGGTAGACTGCCAGCTTGTCTTGATCAAACAGGCTCCTTGCTTTGTTAACGACGTCCTATCAATTAGAACAAAAATTATTTCTCCAATTCTCTGAAACTTCATTATTTGAGGAAAGAAACCTCGCAACTGAATCGAAAAGCACATCCAGGTCTGTTGAAATAACGGAGTAAAATTGGAGGATATTCAATTTTCTATATGTAATCCTTCTTCCAGTAGCGATTAAACGTTGTTGCTTTTGACCTGGTTGATTTTCACGGTGTAGTCTCACCGATCAAGTTTCCCTGCACGTTAACAATGGCTGCCTGTAACATTGTCTAACATTTAGAAGTTTGTCACTTGTTATTGCTTTACTGTGATAATTTTGTTTTCACTCTTAATTGAAGAATCCTAAAAAACAGTCATAGCTTTTATCGGATAACACTCCATACGAACAGTTATTGATTACTGTCCCATGACGTCAAGTAAACTTTTTATACACAGGTTTGGAAACTGAAACACGCGATTACTTCATGGATACTTTTGATTTAAGTAGCAATCAGAAATGGAAACTGGTCAACAATCTATTTTAGCTGGCATAAAATTGTACACAACCTGTATTTCCACTGCGAATTCACTTTTCAGGCTGTGCAAATAAAAGAGCTAATTATGCAGTTCAGACAAAAACTATTTACTATTGTGCACAACCTATATTTCCACTGCGAATTCACTTCTCAGGCTGTTCAAATAAAATCGCTAATTATGCTGCTCAGACAAAAACTATTTACCCCTCAACATTTATGAGGTGTTGTAGTAAACATAGCAATTTTAATTTTATTGTTTCTACATGTGCGGTTTTTGTTATGCAAAACAAGGTCAATAGCGAGGGTTAGTAATATATGCAACGACATGTTTAGCATAGAAATGGATGCGGAATGTTTTGACGTCAGAGTGTTTTCTTGCCCTTGATTGCGCGCATTGGCCCAAAGATTAGATCACTACACGATAAACGAACGACGGACCACTGTAGGAGAAGCCCACCGAACATCAATCGCTCACCTGTGCTCGTTGAAAAAGAGTTCTTCATCACGACGTAAATCACCAAGGAGCCGATATACACCGTAGCTGTAATCAATCAGAAAATTTACTCCACTCGCACGCCAAGAGGAAAAGGTTTTCAGGTAACCAAGCTTGAATTTATTGCATTTTGTTATTGTGTTATTTTACCAACAACCGTGCCATTCAGAGTCTTTTAACCGCCATCTGTACATACACTTGTTTGTTAAATTGAATGTTGTTGTTGTGGAGTGGGTCGCTGCTCTCGAACATTTTCAATTAGTCAGTTCAAAGCGAGCAGTGAACAATAAATTGCCGATTAATCCCATTGCTAAATAATCTGTTGTTGGTTTTGTATTTCCGATTGGCTGCATGTTCTTTGTTCACCTGCGGAACACATCATTTTATTTCAATATCTTCTATACTACTGAGGAGCAAACTGTAAGCGCTATAAGATGATGTCAGTTGTTCATGCTTGAATGAATTAACAGCCTGAGGTTTCACAGATCTCATTTTACATTTTGAGTGGAGAGCAAACTCCTTGACAAAAAATGTCGACTCAACTTGTGCTTTAAAAGCAACAATAACAAGAATTTGAAAAAATTCTCACCAAGCCAAGAATTTTCCCGTGACTGACGCGAGAGTACCTGACTTTAGATGACCAATTACACTTTGTAACATCTTGTCCTGAATATCCAAGGGAAATATGGGGGTGTCTGTAAATGTATAACCGAAAAAACGGAAATCATTGTATTTTCACCATCACCAAATGACACCCATAATTTTGACACAGTCATTAGAAAATTATGAACAATTATTTTAAAAAATTAATTTTTCCTGATTAATTTCTTTTCGAGGCTAATGTCAACACAGGCGACGGACAAATACGAAGGGCCAATATGCTTACGAGCTAGAAAACTCGCTTGACAGATTTAAATAGTACTCTCAGTAATTAATGTGAAAAAAATTTATTGGTTTTGAGATTCAAATTTTTTTTAAAGTGCAGAAAAACCTTTAAACTGAAATGAAATGTGTGGTTTACGGAGTTGGGTTCAGTTTTCAAGTAATTGTAAATCTTATCTCCCACACATGATCAAAGTGTTCTCCTTATCTCATGCGAGAGTTCAAAACTATCAATGGTCACCTGAATTATCAAGCTCGTTGTTAACTTTAGAAGGCTTTTGCAGTTGAGTTAGCATGAAAACTGACTGTCCCAAAGCAAATTTCCCAGGAATCTGACAATTCCTTTTAGCATCAATGGAAAACATTTAATTTTGCAGTGTTAATCAACCAGTGATGGGAGATAAGGGTCAATCCTCTCGGTTTCAGCTCTTCCTTAATGGAAGTGAAATGTTCGTATATAATGGACTACATTATCATAAGTATGCTGTAACCTTTGTTTGATTTAGTCAAGCCCTCCTCCTTAATTTCCTTTTCAATATCATTTCCCACCATGTGATAATTTTGTACAAGCTTGTATATCAACACTTAAAATTCTAATTCGCAGAAAGCACGCTATTCGGCCGAGAATCAAGTTAATGAAGATGCATTACCCACATGTACCACTGTTGAATTGTTATGTGTTTCACTTCTTTAATACGCGATTTTTTTCCGTTTGATCGTATCAGATAAGCATGGGTCGTAAAGCTATTGATCTGATACTGTCTTTGCTTTGCACCATCTCCATAGGATTGGGATGGGCCATAACGTATTGAGCTGCATCTGAATGTATTAGTCAAAGATTGAAGACTATTCTTAGCAGATTAATAGTTTAAAATACTCTTCGTTATCATTAATATAGCGCAAAAGGAAAAGTTGGGTTGATATTGAATAAAAAAAAGAGGATCTCAACTCATTCTTTGTGTCAGCAATTAATCACGGAGAACTTAATTATTATTAGAGCGCTGAAAAGCAGTGAGTTGGTGTACATGCTGAGAACTTTGTTCAGTTTAGATTGTAAGACAATCCAATTCGGGTTCGTTGGAGACTAGCTTACTGATCACCAACAATAAGTACAAAAATATTGACGCTATGCTGGTTTGGTGAGCGTCAGACACTTTAGATTGACTTTACTGCCCAAGCTAGACTTTTTATTTTTACTATCTGCCATCAGTAATTTGCACTTAGTGTACTTGATTGCCTTCATTAATCATAAATAGTATATTTTTTTTGGTTCAATGTTTCAACTGTCCAGTGGTTTTCTTGGTCTGGTTTAAGGATTAGAGGAAGAGTAAGCAATGTCTGGCTTTTTATCATCGTTTGTCGCTGGTACAAAACGTTCTGTTTTTTCGGTGTGTCCGGCTAAATGCTCACCAAGGGTCGAAGCAATGTCTCCTACATTTGTTACTAGAGTACTTCCAAGAATTTCTTAGCTGAGAGGATTTTGCCTTCAAAAACTATCAAGAGAACAAGTGTTCACTCTGGTTACGGTGTAACACGCTTACCGTTTGCGATTCGACTGGTTTTCATAGTTGCACCATTCAAACATACTTGTGGTTTCAGGTTCGACCGATTAATATCATTATATTTTAATGCTACAATCGTGGAAACCTCTAGTACACATAATTGGCCTATAGCTGTTTGGGGACTCTTTGCAAATATAAACTCTACATGTATGAAAAAAAACAGCCTGTACCTTTGCAAAAAACTGAAGCCTTATTACAATAAATGTACATCGGCAGAATTCGCTCACAAGAACTCTTCCCTGAAGCAACAACAACGAAAAAGGAGAGGTACGCTTTCAAGCTCCTTTACAGGTTCCAATTTTATCACTTTGTTATAGGTTTAAGATTAAAAACTCGTATTAGTTTGTAGTCATTTGCATTTGTAAAGATATGAAATGAAATGTCTGGCCGCGGAACGAGAAATACATTATTGTGCTATTTTATAATAGTTTTTGGTAAATCTACACATGTAACACAAAAGTAGAATTCTCTTCAACAGCATGATATAATTACATGACTTCTTTTTTGTAACAAGTAAGAAATTATTTTTCGAAATGAATAGAAAAACTAATAGGAAATCTTCTTTTATTGCAGGTCGACCACATCTAACACGTATACCTAGCTCCTTGCGACAATTCTCTGTATTAACGAATTTGTAGCTTATTCGGTTTCAAAATTCGATTTCATATAGTATTAAGAAAAAGTTGCTATCATTTCAAGGGGAATTTGTAGGATCAGAGAGTTACTGCATTCGATAAAAAGAAATTTTAAATTTATGATTCACAGGTGAAAACATAGCCATGAAGACGATAATATCCTCCAATTAAAATAATTTTGAGAGCGTATTGATGAAAACTGTTTTGATAAAACAATGACAAATGTAGGTGATTAAGACCTGGTTACTTGAATAATCATCACTGCTAAATACGAGAAACAAATTAATTGCATAAAAGCTTCATTTCTTTTCATCATATGCAAATTGACTCTAAATGTATTGAGCCTGCACTTTCAAATAAGAGTCATCTGCTTATTGTCAGCGTTTAAAACATTAACATAAGATTCTTCATCCTACATTACGAGATCTAAACGTTGAAAGACGACTGAGACTGGGAATAACTTTTTAAAGACCTGCAGGGATATGTAGATGCGCCTCTCGCGCAGGTGGTGCAGACATCTAATTTTTCGGGCATCAATTTACCTTTATGAATTTTCATAATATTCCAGTGCCTAGTTGTTCGAAGGCCGATTAGCGCTAACCCGGGGTTAAGTTTTAGCCTGGATTTCTTTATTCCCTTCTTTAAAGGCCTATTTCACATAATTTCTTCAATTCCTTTTAGAACATTCAGACATCAAATTGTAGGCAAAAATAAATATGCTGAATATTCTTTTAAAGCTTTCAGATCTGAGGTCAGATTTCACGCTAACCCTTGGTTATCTTAATCTAGCTTTGAACAACTTGGCCCAGAGCTCGTTGGTCTTGCTTTGATCCATGCTCAGAGGATAAACCAGTGACGCCGAAATAGTGCTTGGCATGGAAAATACAAACCCTTTTCAACGGCAAAACGATTTTGAGATGTCCGTCAGAGGAGGAATCAAAGCAGCTGGTGAAGACGTCAGCCAAGATATAACAGATGATGAGGACAAAACGTATTCTATACGACATTTGATTCTGGACTATTGTGAATACACGTCTGGCCACGGTCCACCGCGCATCATCGCCTCAAAACAAACAATAAGAAAAATATTTTGGACGTTGTTATTTCTTGCAGCATTGGCGATGTCTTCATGGCAAATAAACACTCTGTTTAATACGTATAAGGCAAGACCGCTGAGCACTCATGTCTCGATAAAACATGAAACGGTGTGTATATCTCTTGCTTACCCGGGCTCTAAATTTTTAATTCCACGGAAGACGCAAGCAGTGACTTTGTGATCATTGAGAGCAAGCCTAACTTCATGCACTTATATCATTGAGTTGTATTCTTGGGGCAAAGTAAGTCAGGAGTAAAAATGGACACCATAACTGTTATGAAAAACTCACAAAATATTTAGGATTAGCACTTAAAGTTTTTCATTCTGTTTTGCAATTTTTAGTTGATTAATATTGGAGAGGTGCTCTCTTAATCGACGTGTTGAACGTTTTAGCACCGCTTTTTCACCAAGTTCACTATTTTTTAACATCTTCTTGTTATGTTTCCAGAGTCTTGACTTTCCTGTGATTACAATTTGCAACTTCAATGCTGTGAAAATTGGAAACATTGAAAATTTCCCTGAGGAGCTGAAGAAAGATATTCAAGCAGAGACTACCAGTAAGAAACATGTGCCCTAAACTAATAATAACATCACTTTACAGCGCCCTGAACTAATCACCTACAACAATTGTAGATTATAGAGGGCATTGTTTGCAGGATGGCAATTTGAGGTATGAACAGACATCGTTCAATTTGCGCTGTTCCACTTTCATGGTAAACGGGGCTCCGTCTCGAATTTTTAAGCTTCGATTTTAAGTTTAGTATTTTCATATTGATTTCTAGACCCTTCTTGTTTGATGTATTTTGCGATCTTAGAGTCTAATGTTATCCACATCAGTCATCTCATTATCATTATTACGATAATTCGATTATTTCAGAATAATTCATTAACATTAATTTTACATTATCATTCACTATCATTATCATTATCATTATCATCAGTATTATTTTCAACATTATAGGCTCTAACCCACCGACACGAGGCAAGAGAGCAGTAAACCAACCCTCCTCGTCCAATAGTCCAAATAACCTTGACTTCTTCGAAGAGGAGGAGGAAGAAGGAATTGAGAACCCGGATGATCTGGATGAGGATTTTAAGAACAGGGAGCAAATGATAATGATAATGGCTGAGGCTGGTGTTGAAGCACTGAAACCCCTTGGTCACCAGTTTAAAGAGTTTGTCTTGTCGTGCAGATACCGCGGAATCTCGTGTGGGTAAGTTTAAAGTCTCTCATTAAATTTGCAAATGAAGAATAAGAAGAACTTTTCTTATTCAAATTGTTCAAAGTCACGTTTTGTCTGTACGGGTTCGTGGGAAAAATCTTCCCAAAAAGTTACTATGACTAGTTTCTCTTTGCTCTCTTGTCTGGCTAAGGCTGAATTCTTAAAATTCAGTTCGAATGCATCACCTGAAAATAACAAAATGACCTTTGGAGCGTTATATTAGCTGTATTGTATCTCAAATTAACAGATTAACTCAAATTAACTCAAATTGACAAATTAAACAATTCACACTGCAGCAAATAAAAAGCGTATTTTCTTGATCTGCATTGTTATCGGAGTATTTGTTTCCTAGAAATTTCGCGAGTTCCTACTGGACAAGCTATTGGCATTATACGTACGGAAACTGTTATGTTTTTAACGCTGGTAAAGATAAATCAGGAAACAGAGCTACAGTGTTGAAGTCTAACAAGCCCGGCCCATCACATGGTAAGATAGCTGTTTAACTGAATTTATATTGATTATTTTAAGGTAAAAAAACTCTGAGCTCTGATTCCTTTACTTACGCGTGAGTAAAATGCACTAGGGAGCATTTCTAAAGACTGGTCCGAGGGAAATCTCTAGAAACAGAGCCCAGACACGATCCCAGATGCACCATGGCTGTAATTTCGCTAAGCAATGTGACCAAGAACGAACGACATTTCTCGGCCCTAATTGCACTGACCAGGAAGCCAAATGCCAGCAGACTCAAGATAACGATCACGCGAATTTTAAAAATATTGAATGAGTCATTATATTCAATTAAGCACATATAGTTATAACTGTCTATGGCATGAAAATAATCCGTTATAATCTGTACTGGAGAAGTTTACAATTTCATTTCCTAAAAAACGTCAATTGAAAAGAAGTTGACTTAAGAAACTACGTTTAAATGGCTTAAATGGAACAGCTTCTTCTTTCAGGACTAAACCTCGAGCTAAACATTGAGCAAGACGAATACATTGGAGCCTTCACAGAGGAAGCTGGGGTAAGGATCGACATATCGAATCAAGGAGAAATGTCGTTTCCTCGCGAGAAAGGACTCAGTGCAGCTCCAGGATTTGCCACGTCAATAGGAATAAGGAAGGTGGGAAACTTTCGTCTAAATTTGTAATCAAGTATTGTGATATCGATTATCTCAGAGAATTTGCAAGGAGGGCTCGTTTTCAGGCAAAACCCGTTCAACGAGTTTTCGCCCGCGGCTGTCTGGTGGATGGTGCGCGCGCTTGAGTTCAGTTCCAACAGCCCAGGTCGTAGGAGTTTGGCTTGGTCATCGTGTTATGTTTCTTGAAAAAGGCACTTTATTTTATCTGTGCTTCCACCAAAGAGTATAAATTGGTATCTGCCGTCTTTAAGATAGGCTGGACGATAAATTGAGAGGGCTGAGGCAGGCGGGGGGGGGGAAGGTAAATTACGTTGGTTTTAAGACCTCCGGCGGTGAGGGCCACACGGCTTTTTGTGCTTACTCCTTTTTATCAGATTAATTATCAACCTGACCGTCGTTACCTGCTATTGAAGTCATAATTTCATTAAGAGTAACTTATTAAAATTTTTCATTATAGGTAGAAATCCACAGAAAGGATCCATTCACCAAAAAACGATGCCAAAACAGCTCGAGTCTAAGCGACGCAAACCTCTACAAACATAACTTTCAAGTAAACTATTCAGCCACGGTGAGAAAAAAAAAATAGAACATAGATAAGGTGGAACAGTAAATTTTTACTAAGTACAATAAACCCTTAAATTAGTACCTATGTGTGACGAAGACTGCGCTCTCACAAATCGTATTCCTCAGGGCGCATTCAGATCATTACTGAAAATATAGAAAATAACCATGGTGTATCGTACCCCTGTCAATTGGATTACATTTTGAATTCCCGTCACTTTTTGTATACAAAGCAGCCAGGGTAACAAAATGATGGCTGCTAGCTTGACGTCATCATCGTCGTCATTACCATTATCATCTTCATCAATCTCATTTTAATCATGGTCATTATCATTACTCATACCATCAAGTTTTTTAACCTCTCACCTCGCTAAAAGAGAACTTTGGTTGAAAAAAAAAATTTAAGTACTTGAGGAGATCAACTGCAATCAATTTAGCAAAAACAACATAAAACGACAACATACTTTTCTGGCTGGCATGTCCTGATCTCAGACTTATTACAGCTTGGCAAAGTTTGATTCATGACCATCTATTCACTAATTTCGGATCATTCGTCCCACACAGGCATGCAAGGAATCATGTCTCGCTTATAATCAGAGAAAAGAATGCAAATGTATGGAGTACAGATTTCCTCTTCCTAATGATAAAACCCCAGTTTGCGACATCCTAAATAAAACAGTCGGTAAGTATCGATGAACTAAACCTTTGAGACATTCACTTTGAGGCAGTAAGATAGAATGTCAAACTTAATGATTTCTCTAAGATTCTTCGGCTAGAGTCATGTGTCAGGCAAGATCAATCACGTTATCGTAAAGGCAAATTTGTGGCAGGCGGAGAGGGGAATCCTCTTTGAAGGTAATCATCTAGCCTTCGGGGAAAGATTTTTGACGAGGGTTTAACAACCTAACAATGTAAACAAACATTTTTATGGAAATATAACGTTATAGTTACAAAAGGATCTCAAAATTCCTCAAACTGGAATCAGTGGTGGAGATTGGAGCCAACTATAAGTTCTTAATTTAAGACAGTGATGTCTCTGTGCATCCGAAATTTACAACAAGTGAGTTCTGGGATGTAGGAGGTATACATAGGTTACCAGAGAGAGGAATAAGAAGAAACCATTGATAAGAATGATGACGTAGTTTTTTTATAACGAGGTTAATGGCCGATTTGTTCAATTTTTTTGTCGTAGTTGACTGTCTCAGCAAAGTACAGAAGGCATTTAAACGAAATGAATTGAACTGCACATTGTCATGTCCACCACCCTGCAGGTAAGAGATGAGAGATTCCTAGACAAAGCGTCAGTCAATTTGTCAGTCAACCATTCTCTCAGTCAGAGTCAGTCAGTCGGGCAGTTCGTCAGCCAGAGTGTTAGTCAGTCATTAATTAAGGCAGTCAATCAGTCAGTGAGTCAGACAATCAGACACTAAGTCAGTTAGTCAGACAATCAGACACTAAGTCAGTCAGTCGGAGGGTCAGTTATTCAGTCACACAGTAAGTTAATCAATCCACAGTCTCTCCGTATGTCAGTCAGTTGGTCGGTGAGTCATACTCTCACTCACTGTCTGTCTGTTCGCCAGTTGCTCAGTCGCCAGTCAGTCATTCAGTCAGTCAGTCAGTCCATCGCGTGTTCAGTCTGTCTGTCACTTCGTCACTGGGTAAGCGATTGTGAAAGTAATCATAGGCGTATTCTTGCATGGTTTTTCGTAGGGAGAGTATATTTCAGCTCACATCATCATTCTCAGCCTGGCCTTCCAGTGGTTACAAGGTTTGTAAACAGTTCTTAAAATTCTATGACTAAGTGGAAATAATGTTCATGTGACGTATACCTTCCAGTTTGGTAATTTGAGCTTATAGCAGCCACAATTGGAAGCGCCTGACACACTCCTTAAAAAATGTGTCTTTTTGGATATCTAAATTTTGTTTTGTCCTAATTTCTTCGGTTTCAGCCTTTCTATATTGACAAGCTCAACTCGCAGGACAAATCTCATAACCTCGATATTAATTCAAATTCAAGGTAATTACCCTCTTTTTTTATTTATTTCCCAAAATTACTTTCAACCAAATTTAAACAGAGCATCTCTATTGGTCTGTGCTCAATTGTGTTCACAATGTAGAGTATTGGGGCAAAAAATATATATAATATCGATCTTCCACTGCTTGTAACCATAGAGCGTCGTATTCAAGAGGAAAGGAAAACAGTCGAGGAAAAATGGGATTTTTCGTTCTTTCCATCATCCATATCCAATTTTTCCTTGCATGTCTGCGGACATTTGTACTGAGAGAGTCTCATAAAAGATAAAAACAACACCGCTACACCGAATGAAACTAAGTGATGCACGTGCTAAAGCATAATTAGTACCATGGACTACATATAAGATTAACACATGGACTCCACAAATGATTTATTTCCAGTAATCTTCGCTCCAATGTTTTGAAGCTAAACATATTCTACGAGGAACTAAATTATGAAACCATTACAGAGGAAAGATCTTATGAGGTATGCTTACATTTCTTTGAGGATTTTGCACTAATACTGAACACGTAGTCATCAACATCTTTTCAAGCCAGTTTGCTGACCAGCGTCCTGTTTTATCCACAGCTGGCCAATTTTGTGTCTGATCTCGGAGGGTCCCTTGGTTTATGGATTGGAATGTCTGTTCTATCGTTTGCGGAAGTCCTGGAATTGTTGCTATTGATCGGTTACGCGCTATTTAGGAAATTTCGAAGAAAGTTGAACGGAAAAATACAATCATCTTCATTTCATGGCAAAGGAAAAGGCGTTGTTTGAGAAGTCATCAAAGACGCTTGGTGGAATAACATAGTTATGAGTTAATAATAATTTAATAGCTGGATTAAATAGAGCAAAATATATGATCAATCTAACAACTATTTAAAAGAAAACTTGTTTCAAGTGTCAGATTGCTAATAATTACCTAAGATGCCTTCCAGTTATTTATATATAAAAAAGTAATTGTTAAATTATATGCAATCGTACGCGTTAGAGTAGAGTTTAATTAAAAGAGGAAAAGAACAGCAACCAAAGCTACAATGATAACAACGAAAAACGAAGAAAAAAAAACGACGAAAAAAAAAAACGACGAGAACGGCACCGTTTGATTTGAAAAATAGAGGTCCTGCCAAACCCCCACTATCCATCAAAACTCCTCTTCTCCTTTATCCATTTAGCAATTTTCTCATTCATAAATTTTTATTTTCGTCGTCAAATTAAAATACATTTACACTCAATTTTGTTATTCCTTTTTTCTTTCGCGTCGTTGATGGTCATTATTAATTTTTAAATAATATTTTAAATAATTTTCCAACGATTGGTTCTTAAGATAGGCGGATTGTAAATAAATTAAAGCTTATTATTCCAGAGTAATATGGTCTCCTATGTTGCCTAAAATTGGAGAGGGACTGCTGGGTATATCACCACAGATAACAGCTAACCAAAGAGTTGAGTCTTAATTATCTATTATTTCTAAAATTTTCGATCACATTCTCCATCAATCAAGGCGCCCCACAGGTAGTCCTTGTTCTAGGCAGGTGTAAAACAAAATTTCAATCAAACCCTCTGATTGTTGGATAAAGGTCCGGACATTGCCGGGCAGTCAGGTCGTCCCGAGGCTGGTTTAAGATTTTCCCAGTATTGCCTTCCAATTCTGTCAGAGAAAGAAATGACAGTGTAATCATACAATTAACTCCGTTCGCTCCTTAATTAAAGGGGCTGTCGTTTGTCAGCCCGGTCGTCAAACTGCCTGCCCTCTCTTTCTCGTCTCCACGAAAAAAAAAATAAACAAAACAAAACAAACAAACAAGAGCATCAGAGCGCAAATCCGAAGGTCTGAGGTTCGATTCCTCATGGGGCCTCAGAATTTTTTCCTTGTCACACGCTCGTGACAAGACGAAAAAACATCTTTCTTAAAAATAAATTGTTTAGTGGAAATAAAGGAATAAGACTATACTTACTTATGGGAGGCTCTGGAAGAATACTTTAACGCTTCTCCCCAAAATCCGTGCTTCGAACTTGCTGGTGGAAGCTTTCCTCGTTCATTTGACAGCTATAATATATATAACTTAAAATACGTTTCTTGTAATGTTTGCTCATGCCTTATTGAACTGTGTTTGCTTTTGTGGGGAAATCTGATGCCTTTTACGTCGAGACCGAGAGAAAAGCTACTAAATTAGCAGCAGAAAACGTTGTAACGTTGACTTCCCAATGTAGCAGCTCAAGATATCATGTTTTAGCTATTTCTCATACCAAGATATTAAACGCACCTCAAATAAAGCGCTATCCGGTTATTTTGTATGTCATATTGTGCTGAAGTACTAAAATGGCAACACTATCTTGCAATGAGTTTTTCGTGTCCAAAACGAACTCAACGTGGTACAATACGTAGCATCTAATCGTACCTCTTCTGCAAGCGCCCGGATGTGGTATGGCTCAAAACCACAGCATCCACCAATATAACGAATGCCTATGTCGTAAGCTGCGCGTGCGTACTTCTGCATGTCCCATCTCGTCATCACACGACTTTCCATTGCTGCACAGAAATAACAAAAAAAAACCCATTAAGTTTCATTTGAGAGTAAAAGTTTCAATGTCGTCCGCAACAAGCCAGGGAGAAAACGACGGGTAAGAATGATTTACATCTCTGAAAGCAAATATTACACAAATTGTCCAAATGGGTAGGATGCATTGAAACCATGTTCACTGTGAAAGCAAATGAAAAACTGGTCAAGATCACCGTGACAAGTCATGGTAAATATTGTCAGCGTTCAAACACCTTATTAGAATTTCTTCTTACCGAAAGGACTCTCTGGTAACGAGAGAATTCCTCTTCTGTCAGCATCCGTGGTTTTATAAGCTACAGGCTGGACCATAAGCGGACGAAGCAATCCTGAGGCGTTCAAAGCATCTTTCATCATTTGCACAGTTTGCAAGCAGCTGTCCGGATCAAAAAGACAGTTTACGCCAATAATATCAGCGCCTTAAAGACAAAATTTTAAAGACAAGAATTAAGTTGAGGTAGTTAGGGCATTCAGAGTTGATAAATGACTCATTAGTTGCTTGCCTAACTGATTGATTGACCGACCGACCGACCGACCGACCGACCGACCAAGAAAGTGACCGGATGAATGACCGGCGACAGAGTGACTGACTTACTGACTGCCACACTTCCTATTATCTGGCCATGGCTCTCCCAATGACTGACAAACAGACTACCTAACTGACTGTCTCACTAAATGACTGTCTGACCAACTGACTGTCTGACTGACTGACTGACCGACTGTCTAATTGTCTGACTAACTGACTGCGACTGACTGACTGATGAATGGATGGATGATCCATGCATACCAACCTTACCCATTTTAGCAAGCCTGACAGCTGCTTCCCCAGGGTTAACTTTCCCTAGAACGTCCCCCTGGAGGCTAATGGGCATTGTAACGGCGACAGGTTTGCCGGTAGATTTCAAAGTTTCTGTCGCCCATTCAGCTTCATCAATGTTCATCAGATACTGAAAAGTCACAGATGGAAGCTACTAAATAAAGTAATGATCTTAAGTAAATTGATCAGATTCGATTTAAACTTTTGCTGAGGCTTAAGACATATTATTTGTGTCTGTACAGAAGATCTGAATCCGGGTTCCTTGATTCTGCTATGATTCTGGCCTTGTCTCCAAAAAATCAATACATTGGGGAAACCGGTAAAATTTCCTTTCAAAAACTGCAAACTAGTCAATGCATGCGAAGTCTGGCCAAAGTCCCGCGCAAAGTGTTGTAAAGCGCATTGGAGTATATTGATATGGAGAATGAGCTCTATTAATGTATCGTTATCATTATCAAGATTCTCCGAGACATATATCACACTGTGGCATTCGTATTCTATTCCCTCTAAATTCATCTGGTTCTTAGAGCGCGCACCAGCACTCGCAAGGGATGAGCTTCATTTTTTTTCGTTATTGATTTAATACATCTGGATGCACACGTGACCATTGATGGACACCTACCTCACCAATAAGAAAATCTACATCATTCTTGATAAGTACTTCAACTTGTTTTAAGTACTCCTCCTGAACTGCATGCTTACCACACCCTTCTCGATAGCTCTGGGTGTAAGACACTCCTCCCGCCATCAGGGCGTCACCCTCGTTGGCGACTTCACGCGCGATCCTACACGCAGCTTGGTTGATGTCGTCAGCCTATATCAGAAAACAACAACTCAAATTAATCACTTGTAGGGGTTTTTGATTTCAGTTGCATTTTATAGATTGAAGAAAATACCGTAACATAGCCGAGAGGAATAGACCGCAAAGAACACAGGAAGGGCGAACAGTCTAATCCAAAGTGAGCTTGTAAAGAGTAACGCTGTGAGGCTGAAATTCTAATTTTGCTGGTTTCCTTTCTTCTATTCATCCGTTATTGTCCACTTTGACTAGTGTCAATGAAAATACTTGTTTCCAGGGAATACCTTAATCCTCACTCCGCGGCTGACGATGGATTCTTGTGTTCCATTAAATGTGAACGCTTGCATGACGTCTGCTCCAGCCCTAAGGAATTCTCTGTGAAGTTGTCGCACTAAAACAGCATTGCAGCATTAAAAGGATTTTCAGCAATTGCTATCAAATGAATTTTCACAAGCCTCAGGTCTAATCAATGAAAACAAGTATCTAGAATTATCCGAGGTTTTACACTTAGGTAAAAAACACTGGAACAACCCTGGTGCCCACGTGATGACATCTCACAACCCAACCCTACCCTACCGTACCCTAACCACTTCCTACTAAAAAATTGGGGAATTGCTTTGGGTTCCTAGCCACGCCCACGAAACTTTAGCAGAACCTTCCCCTTGGTGTGTCGCTATTCAGGAAACAATTTCATTCAAGGGACTTCGATATCGATCTAAACTGAGACTGAGCAATATTCCCTTGTAATTCTTGCACTTGTCCTTTCCGTTCTGAGAATGACCCTCATTGGTAACGATGTTGTCCCCCGAGGGTTACATACGTCTAAGAGCCTCTTTTTACGAAACTATCCCTCGACCACACTCCTCAATCGACATTTACTCACCTGCCTCAGGATGCTCTACTGTACATTCAGGTGTGTATGGACCAGCTGTTACATAGCCTCGCCTTTCAAGAGCATGGAGGAATCCGCCATCACCGATCACGACTTCTCCTGCGTCAAGTCTCTCAAGAATTCCCCTTGGCTGATCAATTCAACAAGTTTCATTAATCAAGTAAATTAACAACGCAAAAAGCACAAAGTTAGAATTCCTTTTTTTTAAAAGGGAGGAAAAAAATAAAACAAACGATATTCTTTATTGCACTAAACGTCCTGGCTTTGCTGCACATGCACTCATGGAAAACCAGTAAAGACTTTTTGGAAGGCAAGCCCTCTAGCATTTGCTTGACGATTACAGCAGAAATATGACAAATATTCCTGTATTTTGTAAATAATTAGCAAATAAACTTATGAAAAAAAAGTGGCTTTTCTGATGTACAAGAAACATGTGAAAATATCTTCCTATCATAGATTTTTAAATATATCGCGAAAGGCTGCGATCAGTTATTTACCTGCTTAGTAGTTCCTGTTCCCACGGCCGCTAGATTTACGACTCATTTTACTTGACGTCAGAAAAAGTTCACTAGACGACCTGTGATCCCACAGGGCCGGTAATAAATCTTGATAATCCTTTTACCTCTGGCTTTTGACATTTGAATAGGAACTGAGGGGTAGTTCGTATTAAATTTATGCAAAATAAAAAGAAACTTATTTCTTTCACGCACACAGGCTTTGCAACTAGTCATGCAAATTCCGCCAGAGTTATGAAACAGCCCTAAAATTCTCAACGTTCCTGAAGGAAGTATGAGCCGAGTAAAGCAGATTTCCATATTCTAGCTATGTTTCAGACAACTATCACAAATTATAAATAACTTCTTCAGCTAGCTTACTGCGAGCCTTCTAGCGGCCAAATGCCCAGCAGACTTAAATATCCTTCCCTCAGGTCAAGTTACCGCGGCCATCAGGGTTGAGAAAGTGTTTGTCGTTTAAAATCATCAAGATATTTTTTAGTCTTAGCTTTAAAATTTCCAACACAAGCCTAATACCACTTTTTTCTTCAGATGCTTAACTAGAACACCAGACGGTTGCACAATCTCTACGGTGTAACCGTGCTCATTTTAGGGTTTTCACGACAGTAAAGGGATGGACCCTCGGTGTTTTGAACATGTATTCTTTGTCAAAAGCATCGTTTGGAAACAGAAAATAAACATTTAACGAGCATAAGTTGAGACATGTTGCGTATTTAACCTCTTACCTTAGTTGTTGTGGACGCCATTTTAAGATGACTTCGATGCTATTGTTGTCACGCAATGTCACGCTACTGACAACGTGCAAGGGGTGGACAGTTACGTGACGACAGCAAAATAAATTAATAATATTAATATAGAAGAAAAAGTCAATCGAAAATATATTTGAATATGTAACGCCCCAGTCAAAAGTGTCATGTCATATAATGCGTTGAGTCGCAAAATCCGAAGCGAAATCAACAAAAATATTCTATGAAGTTAACCAGCTGTGAACACTCACAGAGTTTTGAATAACTCAGTGACTATGGCAGTGATTAAAATCAAATTTTATTTGCCTGTAATAAAAATATTTTTAAAGCATACATCACTTTCAAAAATTTTTGTTCTAGGACTTTTGAGCCACATTTGCATTAATTATTATCATTTACATATTTGATCTCTAATTTGTAGTACTCTGAGAGAGTAGTTTCTTCTGTGTATCGTCGAAAAGTTTGACCATGCAATCGTGATCAATTGGCCTAATGAGCAAAATATTGGGGTCATCCTTGCATGATTTATTATCGTTATACATCAAAAACGTTGTACTAGAGATTGGCTGAACACCCAAATCGGCCGCTAGGATTCCGATATATGCATCATCAACTTTAAGCGGTTTCACAACATCAAACATTGGAATTAATTTCAAGACCAGATCCCTTGACAACACGTAGCCGCCTCCAGAAATGTAGTCTTTATAAGTATTCTCAGGATGATCTTCTTCTGAAATACCATAGAAACCATGACGAAGAACAGGGTTTCCATGCATTAAATGTCCAAAATAAAAGTCTGTATTTGCCGTGCCAGTTTGGGTGAGGAATTCGATGAGACCGCGAGTATTGACGAACACGTCATCATCTGTCTTAAGCAAGTATTTAAAGCTACAGTACTTTGCTGCCCATTCAAATCCAGACTCTATCTTAAACACTTTATTTGTAAACGTTTCAGGGTAGTCACCTTGAATTATGTCGCCAAATATCTGCGCTTCGCGCGAGATGCGATACGAAATGTCAACACTGCTGGCTTCGCCGATAAGAAACACCGTCTTCCATTTCCGGTGAAGTGCGTTATCCGTTCCCCAAGTATGTCGAATAACCATTCGATTTTTATGTGCTTCAGGAGAGCTAGAGACGATTATTATGAGGAACAAGTTCTGTAAACACTTTGTTCGTGTTAGAAGACGGGTACGATGTTTACGTACTTCAAGCCAAGAGTCGGAGAATGCATCATCGATTAAGTGACTGTCAACAGAGCCCGTTTTGTCTCGATCGCTTCGTCTGCGAAATGAAGTTCCCACCGTTGTGTGCGCAGACCCACGCTTGCCAATTTGACCTTCTTTCTGGAGGTTATACTTCATGGACTCCACATAATTTGTAAGTCCTTGACTTGTGAGCCAAAGTGAAATGCATAACATTGAAAGAGAAACAGTAATACATAGGAATAAACAAGAAGCCGCAGTCACAGTAAATGGACATTTAGAAGACTTCATCGTGTCGATACGTTGTTGCTTTGAGTCCACGAAACAAACAGCAATCCTTTCTCCTTTTAAAGTTCCGTAAATGCAACTGAATTTCACCTCCACTTGACGGATGGCTTTTATGACAGCGCTTCGACGATCATACTGTCATCCGCACAACAATTCACTGAGTGAAACATTAACCACCGGCAATGATGAATATTTGTTATTGGGCATTAAACCAGGATTACGTGACAGATTCACGCAAAACGTAAACTACTGAAAACTCCGAGTTCATCGTAGAAGGGATCGTAACCTTGGCAGCCTCACTAACACTCTTTTGCTTTCTTTTACGGCTAATTACATAGAAACATCAGGAATTGTTAATTCAGATTTATCGCATTGTATTATGCTCGATATTGTTTTGTCTATTGCAGTCTCCTTTGTCATGGAGACTGTTAGTTTGAGTTGACTCGAGATTTGTCAACATTGTTGTTTTGCAACTGTATTGCGCCCTTCCCTGCACTCATAGCACGTTTTTGTACTTTCCCACTCACAAAAATTGATGTCAGGTTTTCAAGAAATTTAATGGGTTTATCTCAGTAAATCTACTTCGTTTTTACACGGACTACTTCGTTTTCTGGGAAAATTTTAAAAAGTTTCGAGACGAAAAAGTTCATGAAATGCGAATCCATTTTTATCATGGCTTCTATTTTTAAGCTAGTTCAACAAAGCTGTCCTTTAATCTCAGACGGAAAATTTCAGAAATGGGATAGAAGAATCCGAAAAGGAACGATGGCATCCGAAATTGGAGAGAAGCTTCGAAATGCCTCATGAAAGCGTCTGAGTTCGAACAATAGTTTCCGAAAAGAAGCGAAATAGGGCGAAAGCATCCGAAATCGGACTGAAGCATTCGAAATCACAAGGAACTTTCCGAAATCTGGTTTCGAAATTAGACGGAGATATCTAGCTTACCGTTCCAACAGACGATCTTTCTATGGCGACACGATTTTGTCTTTCTTTCTGGAAATCAATTCACAGCTGATTTTCCCACATCGTATTTTCACTGGTTTTCGAGAAGACTGTGGCTTTATCTTTCCACGTAAAGCTCGTATTTTCGGCATTTCGTGTGTGTTCTTCTAAGAATGGAAAGTTTTTTCTTTCCCAGCGGATTACTTGTTTGCTTTTGTTTAACCAAATACGCTCAGAAAATGGATGTTGGAACCTCTATGAAATCATCAGTGCGGTAGAAGTTAGATTCTTTCTTTATTAAGTGCCAGTAGTTTTTAATTCGACAAAAAACAACAGACAGATTATTCAATAACTACAAGTGCCACACTGAAAATAATTTCAGGAAAACAAACTAAACAACTTCTGTGTCACTGAAGTTTTCGATGATCACTACCACGTGTTTGTTTTTTCGACGCCACATAGCCCAATAATTAGAAGTATAGATATTCACCATCGATCCTATCCAAAAAGACATGAAAAATGGAAGTCCAGATGCGATTCCTGCAATTCCTAAACTCAGTGCGGCGTTGCATTCTGATTGTTTGCTGTAACGATTGAGAAGGAAGCCAATACCAGAAACTTGAACACACACCATCCCAAGAAACAAAACATTGAATATCAGCATGGCAATGTCGTTTGCTTGCATTGGAAGGCATCGCCACTGCAAACACAGAGAGCATGAGATGAAATGATATTTTACAAAGCAGCGAATGTAGTTTCTCTAATAATTCAAGGACAAGGAAAGGTAAAGTATGCACAATTTTGTGATATCTTGCAATCTCGACTCACATCTAACATCAACCGAAATGAAATAATCAGCAAAGACCAGTAAATGTCATTGTTATCATTAAGGCAATTCTGCACTACCCCAAGTAACCCAAATTAGTATATTTATATACTAAAATAGAGGATAGCGTCGATAGCGCGCTCTGATTGGCTACTTAAATTTCGGGTACCATTGCTATTCACCTCCGAGCATTTGCGCGCGGGACTTGCACCCGGAAATATTACAAGTGTAACTCACCTTTTTGTGCTATATTATCTCACTGTTTTGGTATACACTAAAAATACTGTTCACCTGTGTCGGTGGCTAGTGATGGACACTTACATCGCTGCTTCGCCGCCTCCACCTCGGTGAATAGTTGTAAACTAGTCAAAATGGGATTTCTAGTACGAATCGAAAGTAAAGGTCATGCTGTAAACCAACAAAGAACTTAATGAAACGCGACTCTAATTTCATTTTGCCTCGCATGCTGAAATGAATTCATTACGGGTCATTAATTTTGGTATTCAGTCTGGGAAATGTTTCGAGATTTGGTCACAAGAACGCTAAAAAATGGAATACTATTTTTTATAAAATACCTTTCTGATAGGCTTGTAAACTCTTCTTGTGCGAAAACGGTAGCGACAAATTGGACACGTTCTGTTGTGGGCTGAATTTAACCACAACTCCAAGCAGGATTTATGCACCTTTCCCATGGTTCCTTTACACCAGCAAACTTTTTGTAAAGGTTCTCGACCTTGGTCCTTTCCGCTAGTATTGTGGCAAATTCTACAAATCGGTTTACCTTCTCCCAACGAAATGGAGCTTAATGAACATGATACTGGGAGTATCGCTGGACTCTGATTACCAGACGACATTGTGGCAACTTCGCGGTGTTATGTGAAGCGCACAAATCGTGCACTTGATGCAGCCGAGAACGTTACGTAACAATAGTTTAGTAGCCATGACAGCCATAAACGAGCGCGCGCGCGCTTTGGAGGACGTACACGAAGTTTGCAAAGATGACTGGATTATAAATTGCGAAACAGAAAATCTTTTCACGGCTAAAACTAAGGGACCGACCATAATAAAAAAGTGACGGAGGAGAATTATGATTAAGTACGCAAAGGTGATTGTCAAAAGAAAACTTTCTACAAAGTCCAAAGAAGCCGAAACAAAAACAAAAACAAAAAAAACACGAACAGCAACAAAAATTAGAATAATCAATTAACACGAGGATAAAATATTCACTAGTCGATTTATTCCTTTACTCTGTAGTAAGTAACGAAGTAATTCATATAATATTTGAAATATTATTTCAAAGCGAAGGTCGAATTTCCATCCCCAGCTGACTCGTAGAGGACATTTATTTTGACACTTTAAGGCGCTTAGCGCCAACATCTGAAAAGAAAAAGAAAAAGAAAGTTGAGTATTTCAACATGTTTGGTGAACTGTGCGAGTATCACTATCAATATGGAATGGAGACCCATATCCATGGAATGAAGATGGATGCCCACAACCGAGTCTTGGAGCGAGAAAAGTGATGGAGCGCTAAAAAAATTTACAACCAGCACATTTCTGACTCAACAAGACAGCAGCGTCATTTGTAATTATTGAAACAGGGACCGTTCTCAGTCGGAGCTCTAAATTCCCACTCTGAACAAGTTACCCCGTCTGCAGTGCTATGATTTCTCGAGACTGTTGTATGCTGATTCATTATTTTCTAGCTTATCTGTAAACGAGTTTGCATGAAATTGTGTGATTTCGTAATATCAAGACAATTCTTTTGCTCGAAAGTTACTCATGGGATGGTGATCCTCTGGCTTGACAGTCATTTGTCATATAACTTGACTTCATGTAAATCGTTTTGGAAGCACAGACATACCAGTCACATAGCAGACTTCGACATTAGCTCCAAGGGACTGTAAAACATCCAGCCAGATTAATTGCTTGGTAGAAAGCTTGTCCCCTGGACCCTTAACTTCAGAAATCTGACGTTAAGACAAAGGAAAAAAATAATCTCCGCTCACTTAGGGTAAGTTGGAGACAAGATGAACTTTACAGAATTTACAAAAATCACCACCATAGCTGTTATTCTGTAAGAAAGCGATTCGTCATTGTTTTGGTTTTGCTTTACTACGCTCTGTGATTGGTATAGAGATATAGCACCACCTTCTCAACAAATCAAATTCATGAGCTACAAACAAACATAACTAAGTGATTAAAGAGGGTAAGTTTCTAAAGAAACTGTGGAGCTGCATCGGTGGGAGAGTATAACAGGGTAATTTAGTGTTATCAACTGAGTTGATATCGTAAATCAGCCATCGTCTTGTTACGAGCGTGGGACAAAGAAAAAATTCTGAGTCCTCATAAGGAATCGAACCTCAAACCTTCGGATTCCGCGCTGCGATGCGTCATGACGCTATCGACATTGCTGATCCTATCAGTATGCAGGACGTGTGTCATATGAACTTCGTAATAGACCTAGCTCACCGTGGAGTCTCTGTAGCTCAGTGGTAGAGATGAATCTGAAGGTCTGAGGTTCGATTCCTCATTCATGGGGACTCAGAATTTTTTTATTGTTCCACGCTCGTGACAAGACGAAAGACGTCTTTCTCTGTTATTGTCGCTGTTATTCGCAACATTCGTCACGCTTGAAATCTTTTCGTGTCCTTATTGGGTATCCTGTGACGTTCTCCTTCGTTCACCCGAGCCGGTGTAATCAGGTTTTGTTTCTGGTCTTCCAATACTCAAACAAAAGCAGTTTATTTGAAAGACGAACTAAGTTACCATGTAATCAAGAGTGGATGAATTCCATACGACCAGATCAGGCATACCAGCGCGACAATAGCGGTATCCTTGAGCAAACCGAGTGAAGATCCCAGACATTATCTGACCACCCAGGCAGGCTACGAGTTGCTACAGAAAGAAAAACCACAAGTTATTGTGTATTTTTACAATGTTTATCGTCAAACATTAATGCCCTGGACCTGACGTAACGTTAGTTCAACTTGAAGGTATTCCCATTCACATATGTGACCAACCAACACCCAACAACAAATTAAACAACTAAAAAATTCTTAAAAAGGAATACACAAGTAATTTCACATGCGAAACTTCTCAAAACCACCCACTTACTTTTGCTTGCTCCACACTTGTGAATCGATCCCAGCTTATGCCTGCACAAACCTGCCCTTCGTAATCATTCCAAGCTTTGGACAGAATGTCCTGAAGTTTCTGTCACAAAATATACATATATCGAAAAACTTGGTGTAAATAAATCTTTTGCCTTAAACTGACCATATTTGATTGACCACTTAACATAATAATCATTACGTTTTGTGTACATGTAGACAACACAAAGAAAGATTTCATGCATTATCAATCACATTTACCTCAACTGACGTTATTGAGATTTCCTCCAGCCTCTTGTCAATAATTTCTTTGCGACTTTCGTAAAATGCATCATAACAGAAGTCAAGGGGAGCAGCCTCAAAAAAAAACCAAACAGATACTAATTAATCACTAATCAGAGCAAATAAAAACCAAATAAAAATATGGCGGTGAATATTACTAAAAGTGCTTTACACTGTACACAAAAAATGTCAGAAAATGACCACAGGACATTTTAAAGTCAGCAAGTTTCATACTTGGAATGGACTTCGAAAAACATCTGGAATTCCACTTGCAAATATGATGTCCCACATGTATAAGATGTAAAGTGATGAGAAAGTGGATCCTTCTCCATGGATTCCTTGGTCAAATCCCTTCTGGCGATAATATGACAAGGCATATTCCTCCACTGCACAGAAGGTTGTTGTACCATCAATTACTTGGCCATCTTGATCAATCTCAGGAGCAATGAAGACTCCAAGTTCTGCACATCTTGTCCCAGATATAGTGATCTGTAGGGATGAGTAAAAAGAAATACAGATAAACTATTCTACTGTTGAACAAGCCACCTCAAACTCAAGTCCATTGTATTTTTAAATATCAAAACCAATGACAAAATTTAAGTAACAACTAAGACTTACACTCTTAGATGAGTCTGGTTCTATTAACTCCAGGTCTCCATAATCTTCACATTTTTTCTTCTTCCCTTTGGTAAATGCTGGGGAAGAGAGGATGCGCTTGGCTCTCTGTATCAGGGCAAGATGATGCCCAAACCGAACATGTGGGTCTAGAAGGGCTTCCCGGATGACCTGCATAGCCTTTGAGTAAAATAGCAAAACTCTGATATTAGCCTTTGACCCCATAGAGTGACTAACATCTACATGTATTTCTTCTCACAGTAAAACTGCTGAATCAAACATAATGAAAGGATTGTCAGGTCAGGGAGCTCTTGATTATTAAGCACATTCTCTTCATTAGTACAGTTAGAAATGTATAGAGAACAGTGTGGAGAATATAGGTACTGATATCAAGGTGTAAAGGGTCTCAAGGTAAGTCACAGATCAGCCTGGATAAATGAACAGGTGGCACATCCATGGATATGCAACCCTTAAATTTATATCATATATTAAAAACATTGTCTTTGGCCATAGTTCACTTTTCTTTCTTTAATCTTTCAAAACTTAAGAAAAAAATTAACGAGGACTCACCTTTTCAGGTTGTTTTAAGTGCTGATGCAAATTCAGTGCCAGTCTATCATACCACCGTCCACGCGAATCAAAGCAAAATATGTCTTGTTGAAGTAGACTTTCAAGTTGATTGACAGCCTCATCATACTTTCGCCATTTCTGTAACACTTCCACTCCATAATAACACATCTTAGTGATGGCCCACTCAGCAGTGAAGCATCGCAAGTGGCCTGGGAGGAGTGCAGCAGAGATTTCTGAACAATTTTTCAGCTTGGCCAGAATATCATCAAATTTCTTTGAAGCTTCTGGATAGTAAATATAGGCTTGTTCAAAGTTCTTATTTTCAAGTGCTACAAGCATCTCATACTTATGCTGATATGCTTCAGAGAATTGGATGAGGCTATCTCGAGAGTGAAAAACTGGTGTTGGTCTGTCAATCACATATGCTGGGTAGACAACTTTACCAATATTAGCAAGGTAGAGTGTTGACCTGAAAATCAGATGTACATGTACATTGTAGAGCATTGGAAAACAGCAAGTAACAACTGATAAATACTGGTGACATTCATGTATACTCAGGTTTGTGTGGCATTAAGATTTGTTATTTAAACAAGGCCCTGTATAGATCAGTTAGATCAGTTACAGTGAGTAAAAACTGTGAAATTTTTGTGTAATAAAATTGCAAAGCTTTTTCAAGCTCTCACCATTTTCTTCATGAATCTCAAAAACTGGTATCAGATAGCGAAAGATTCTTACAATTGCTGTGCCTGTCCATTGTTTGAGGAGTCTTCATCATCTGGGATAACATTCATAGTAAACAACAGAAGAAGTCTGCTGAACACATCTTTGGGATAAGCTGCCAGTCTCACACAACAACCAAGGGCTTGCTTAACCCTACAGAAAATAAATGAATGACAAAACAAAACTTCAAAAAAAAGACTACATATAGAGTTAACATACTTTGGCTTTTATTGCTGCATACCAGTACATGTAATTTATTATGAGTGATTACCAATCAGATCACTGGAAAGTCAAATAAAATGATGGACAGAAACACACAGCTTGCTGCTAAAAATTGATCTCTTAGCCATCTCTACACCTCCTGAGTAAACTACACAAACATGTAAATGTTCAAACTACCATTGAATGAATTCTCATTTGATAGTCAAATTCTTACCTCTTCAAAACAACAGCTTTAAAACTTCCAAAGAGTGTCTTTTGGTTCTCGGCATGGTTAACAATCATTTCTATTGTGTCTTCCTTGGTTCCCCCCTTCTGGCCAACAGATTTTGATGAAATATGAAGAGTTTTGACCAAAAGTTTTAAGTCTGGAGCTGCTGAAAGATTTAATGCCACTTGGAGATCTCTGAGATGACTTTCATCTTCTAAAAAACCTTTAAGGCAAAAGGGGGATGGTAATTCTCTACATGTTTCTTTTGAACTTGTTATTTTATTTCAATTAATGGGACTGAAAAGAGCTTAACTCAGTAATGTTACAGAGTGGGTAACAATAGTGGATAACAGGACAAAGGGATCATACTTGTTCCCATGAATGAAAGTATCTATAAGTTACATGTAGGTGCCTGATTTGGACAGAGGTTTTCCTGTGGTTAACATTTTGCTGGAAAGGGTATTGAGTAAGTCAATGGATCCTACAGCATAACTGAGAGGTACTGTAGAAGGGAGCTAATTCAAATTGAGGTCAATGTCAACACTTTGAAGCCCCTTGGGGAAAACTTTTACTATAAAAGCATACATGTACCCTAAGGTCCTGCGTTTGTTTGTCAGCCTCTCTTCCTCTCTAATCCCTATCAACACTTTTCTACTACTCCACCCCCCAGGGCCCCCCTCCCCCAATATCCCACCCAGGCCTTGTACTCCTGCCATTCACCTTGCCCTTACAAAATTTCCCCCTGCTGCTTGGCTTACACCAATGGTCTCTGACTATGCATACCTTAAATTCTGACTTTACAACAAACAAATAAGAGATTTAACCTTTCTCTGCAAGAGACTTTAAAATTGGTGTCAGATTGTTACTGATCCTCGGATATTCCAGTTTGCTGCACCTAAACCATCCATGTTTACGCTGGAAAAGACGGATATACAGCTTCTGCTCCTCTGAAGACATGACATTGAAAGCATCAATTATACCATTATCTTCTTCATTGAACAACTGCCTGTCATCCTTGTTTGACAAGACATTGTTCACTACAAGTTTAAAATTAGCTAAGTAGTATGGTTCATGGTCTTTGTCTTCTTTCTCCTTGGAATTTTCAGAAACATCTTCTGTTAAGTTTATGTTAGATGCTTGAACTTCATTTGGATCATTGCCATCATTGTGAATTGATTTTCCTTCCCTAGAAAGAGTTGCAAATGTATCACATGGTTCCTGACATGCAGTACCTTGATCACAATCACTACTGGATTCAATGCAGCTTTCTTCATCCATGGCAAAAGGACTTTGTTTCTTACTATCCATCTTCCGTGACATTTTCTTCAAGAGGATAAAATCATTTCTTTCATTTGCAGGTTTTAAGATAGAAGAAACACCCTCAAGGGCTAAATTTTCATCTCTTGATTCTGGACTTTTCACACAGGGTTTGTAACATTCTGATCTATTTTCTATCCTGTCTGCATTCTGGTAACTTGGCTTTAGTACCTCTTTTGCTGAGTAGTCTGAACTGCATGGAGAACAACTGTGTGCTCCAGCAAGTTCATTAGCTGTACAGTCTTCAGCTATAAGTAGAGCTAAGTGCAGTTTACAGTTGCTGTCTAAATGTTGGTTTATCTTGGAAAGAATTGCAAGTTTTCCACACAATGGACAAGAAACTGATTTTGGACTGCATGGTTTCAGAAACCATGTCACTGTTCTCTTATTTGCTGGGTTCCCATTATTGTTATCCATGCAATTAACTCCTGTTGTTTCTTTTGTTTTGCCTGATAACTTGATTTTTTTGTTGCTTTGAGAATCTTTTGCCTCAGTGTGGTTCTGCTTTGATTCAATAACTGGATTTTCATCTGGAGAAAAGACTACAATTTCAGAGTTTCCATCTCGGGCGCACAACTCACTCTTCATGTCTTCCACTCCACTGATTTTTGTCTTCTTTCTTCGGGAGAGAGACAGCCTCGTCCTTTTTCGATTCATGACAAATAAATGGCTCAAATATCGTGACCACGTACACTACTTTATACAGTTGTATCACTTGGAATAAGTAGACGTGTCTAAGACAAGATTCGTGAGGCATTACACTTTGATGAGAAAGTGTGTCAGCTAAAAAGCTTGATATCCTCCAAAGAAGATGCCGAAAATTGCAGTAGAAATAAATAGAACAAAGTTCCCGCCTTCTCACTGCCTTCTGCCATTTTGAAATTTATGATAATAGGGCAGCGGTCGACACAATGAAGCAGAAACGAGGCCTGCTTGTAACCAGTTCCCAGGAGACCTCTCAAGGTAAAAACATGGCGGATAACCTGTTCGAGCAAGTTCGCGCACGGTTTTAGGGGTTTATCTTCCACTGCGATGGCGTACAGCTCTACTTCAAGAATTGGTGATACTACCAGACACTCAGGAAAAAGAGAAGGTGGTAACGATGGGAAAGTATCGCCATCCACGGCATCACATGTGGAACGCGAATCAGAGAGAAGAACCGATCAGTTCATGGCATCTGACAGCTTCTACCACAGAATGGAAGGGATGATAAAGAAGGGGGACGTCGAAGCAATTCTTAAGCAACAGAGAAAAACGTTAGTATTTTGGGTAAAATTTCCGCACAGCCTCATACTATTGTAAAGCAAATCTGTTTTCCCAATGGCAATGTACTGTTTTTGTCATTGTTTTCTCTATCTAAGAACTGAATGTATAATGTAGGATGAGGCTGTGCGGAAATTTTACCGTATTTTGTATTATTGTTTTGAAAATTCCACGATCCTTCAAATTTTATAAAATTCTGGCCGATGTTGTTGCTATTATTGTTTAAGTAAACGTGTGCGATTTCTTTACAGCTGTTGGACAGCTATTGTCAGTTGGGTGTTCGTTGTACATTAACACAGAAAATATTTGGTGTACAAAATTCTGCCGTATTTTGGCCTGCAATTTGATATTTTCTATACAGTGGCATAAACATGTAGTAATGGAAAAATAAGAGCTTGGCTTTTTCTTCCTTGTGTGCGTGGTCTTTCACTTGTTGAAAATTAACACCATTGTTGTAATTTTAAATATTCCTATCACTGTTTGATAGGTTCTTAGACTTTGAGAAGATGAATGCCAAATTTAAACACTATTGCTGTAATCTCTGATATTCCTATTACTGTTTGACAGGCTAGCAAACTTTGAGAAGACAAATGCCAAATTTGGAAAATTCAATGATTTGTCTGCAGCCAGATTCCTGAACTTAAATAATCAACTGAAGGGTCATACCAAGATGTTATTAGACATGAAAAAAGATTTGGATTCAATCTTTAGAAGAATAAGGTGAAAAATGTAGAGCCTTTGATATGAACAAATTGATTTCATGTTATTAATGTCATGTTTAACTTTGCAAAATTCCTTTTCATTGTCCTTTATGTAACAGTTTGGTATTTTTATGTTGTTATTACACTGCACTTGATGTAATTCTGTGCTCTTGAGAAATGAGTCATATCCTGAAATGAGTTTCTGATAACACAGTCAAAGATAAATTATTGATTGCCTATGTGATTGTTTTTTTTTTCAATTAGAACATTAAAGACTAAACTGACAAAGCAGTATGGATCTGCTTTTGAAGGTAAGTACTGAAGCTTCTCCCAGCTCATTACCCAAAGTCTACGCTTGTAACATATGATGACATGAATATTTGCCTTTACTCTTTGCACCCTTATATCAGAAGCATATTCTCTTATCACATGGTATTAACAAAGAGAATTTGTCAAACAATCAAGAACCTCTTAAGTTAGTGTTCATTTCCTTATTCAAAGCACTTTATGTTTGATTCAGAGGTGAAACTATAAAAGCTAAGTTTTTTTGTTTGTCTCACTATGTAGTCACGTGTGATGTAGATTGTGATGTTTCAACTGCACACTGCTAGTCTTCCTAAGGGGATGAGGTTGACTGGTCATGCGTAATCTTATAAAGCATGAAACTCTGCTGTGATTAGTTGTTTTTCAACAGCTCTGATTGTTGAAAAAAACCAACTAATCACAGCAGAGCATCATGCTTTATAAGATCACACATGACCAGTCGACCTCATCACCTTAAGAAGACTAGCAGTATGCAGTCGAAATGTCACAATCTACATCGCACATGAATACATCATGAGACAAACAAAAAAACTTAGCTTTTATTGTTATTCGCCACGATGAATAACCACAACCTTTTTTATGAAATTAGAGGTGAAACTGTTAGGAGAAATTTAGTGACAATCACTCTTTGGGTTAAAGGGTCAAGATACAAATCATTACAAAATTCTCCAAAGCATTTAACTGCTCAACTGGAAGACCAGAACACTGTTGTGGTTTTAAAGGAAAACACTAGGGTTTTATCATTTGGAAATTGGAGTCTCTGTATGCTATGACTGCCATGCTTCGTAATTTCTCATTACCATTAATCAAGGGTTGTTTTATTTCCTCCATTTGTCAGCTGTCTCAGCTGGTATACAAAAACTGGAGGAAGAACTTGGTGCTAGTATTGAGAATGAAGATGCTTCTTCAGTTCACACATTGACAGAAAGCCAGGAGTTTAAATCAGACAATCAGCCTTCAAACCAAGAACAGGCATCTGGAGAAAAAAATATTCACCAAAGTGCTGAAGAAGGCACGTGTCAAGGTGGCATAAGTCAATCAATGTCCTATAAACTTCTGGGAGAGGAAAGTATTAAAGACCAATGTACTGATGATAAATCAGTTAGAAACTCAATTCTACCTGTGGAATCTATAAATGCAGAGGCAAAGAGTAGTCAGGAAAATTGTCCTGGATTAAAAGATAAGACAGTTGATACAGAGAGGACAGTCACTGAAACACCTTACAGTCAGAGTGGGTTGTTTGGAAGAGCATTGAGTACTCAAGAATTCAAAGAACGTAATGTGAGAGGCACAGTGGACTTGCCAGATTTGACGGGGGCAAAAGACACCGTTGACTTCAAAGTTAAAGGGAACAAGGACACAGGCGCAATAAGTAAGAGTCTGAATTTAAGCAGTAGAACAGAGACACCTGACATAAGTGACACTGATAAGACAGTAGACACAAGTAGGGTAACCAAGAAGGAGATACAAGAGAGTTAACAAGGAATATAGACCCTGGTGAAGACTTTATTTGACATTGTACAAAGTGTAGACGACAATATGGCTTGCTACAATGGTGGATACATTCATTATTGGTGCTGCACACTGAATCATGCTGTAGTTCTGTAGAATTTGACGGTAGTAGCCCCAAATAACCTTCCTATAGGGAAATCCAACATCCCTTTTTTTTATTCATCCAGAAAGGGATATAAAGAAGAATATTGCATTTGGATACTTGATTGCCTCTAAAAAACAAAAAATTAAGTCTTGACTCATTAAATGTAACAATTTATGTTCCTCAACGTGGTGCAACTGCATTAAAGAAAATACCACGGTCTCTTTTCGTAATAAATATGATGAACTGAAGCCTTGTTAGACGTTTTTTTCTGGGGGGCGTTTAGTTTAAGTAAAAATGACATCGGTCTTGAAGGCTTGAGCGTAGGGCAGGCTGAGTTTCTTAGTAAAATGATTTCCTTTTTCGAGCAGTAAAACTTCCACTAAAATACTCATAAACAATAAGAGGAAAGAAATATACCACGGGAAACCAATCATTGAGAATTGAAATTCGTAATGAAGTGCACGAGCGCAGGAAAACACGAGTGAACGAGTTGTAGTTGGTTTTGGCCAACATCTAATTGTTTGAGAAGGTTTTCTAATCCTGTTATAGGGGCGCTGTTGAGAAAAAGCCTTGCGGTTGGTGCGGATTTTGACACTCGACTTTAGATTTCAGGGCTTGCTTATCCCGGTTTCAGTGGCAAGAAACAGCTGGTGGCCTAAGGCTTGTTGTACGCACTCTATCGAATGATTATAACTTCCAACCAATCCGAATTCATTTAGATTTAAACAAGTTGACGTTTTCGCCTTGGGGAAATTTGAAGCATGTGTCCATTTGATAGAAATTTTACCTACGTACGGCTTTTCATCTTAGGCCTTCGCGGTCAATCCATCTCGGGCGGGACGTAACCGCGGGCTAAACAACACGAAAGACCACGCTAGATGTAAAGGCCTGGGAACCAGACAAGCAGGAAGCTAATGAAGTATCGAATAAATGCGATCCAGAAATTTTATCACAGTCGAGCGCATGAAAGTCGAAATGGGTTTTCAGTTTTGGATCTCATTTGCATAAATATCTCCAATGATTGCATGGACGTCGAAGCCTCAGGCTATATTTATTCATAGCCGACATAAATTCTATGGTTTGCAAATTAAACCGCCGACACATTGGGCTATCGGCACTTTTAGCAGTCATTAAAATCTGTTTTTTTTCATCTTTATTCATGATTACCTCATCAATATTTTAGTAAAATAAGTTAAAGTCTCTTTCTCCCTTGAATAAACACTTCAATTGAAAATTCGAAAAAATTATTTACGATGCCTATTAGGAGAGTTTTTTAAATGCTATCAGCATCCTGAAATTCGTAGCCAGAAACGATTTGTCGCAACAGATCGGCTGGTAAATTTGTGGTAAAACAATTTTAATATCTTAAACGAACGGCGAATATTGCACAATTTATCAATCTTTGTCGGTTCCTCAGTTCCCCTCAGAAAGCAATATACTCATTGAAATCCCGTCCTATAGGGAACGTGAAGCTAATTTTACTTATTACTCGAGGTTATATCTGAAACTAAAAGTGGAACCTGACCATTATCAGATTGAAGATTTTTTGAAAGAAAGTAAAAGCTTTCGCCAGCCATAGTTTTTAAGATTGTTTTTGTTTTGCAAACATCCGTTGTACATATATTTTTCCATCCAGATCATCGAAGTCCGTCATAACGCTGCAGGCAATAGAGATTAAAGATTGCAGCATATTGTTCATCAGCAGTTTTGGCGTCTTTAAGGCTAAAATCAAGTGACCAAAGTTTTTGTTTGTGACATTTGAAAAAGGAAGAACAATTAGCAACTTCGAGTTTTCAAGCCACGATCACAGCTCGGTATCCAAAACGTCCTCTGCAATGTCTTCCCTTGTAGTGAATTGCACGCCCTGTTGGTTCCTTGAATCTTTTCTAAACGTTTTCAGTTCCGACGATGGCGTCAAAACTCCTGTCATGTTATTTCCTCTGTCTTTACGTTCCATCTTAGCTCTTCCCCTCCTTAAAGAGCACATACCTAGCGCTTGTCTGAACTCAGGAATCCTCAATACATATACAACTGGATTGATAAATGCGTTGGAATAATTGATAACATTTACCATGAAATATATTTCTAATGATATCGAAGTGATGCTAGTTAACATCAACCAAATGTTCGTAAAAACTAAAGGTAGCCACGAAAATAAAGAAATAATTGATACAAAAAGTAAAGTCTTTGTCAAGCGTTTGTTGGGCGCTGATTTGTTCCGCTGCGAAGCGAGAATTCCCCGTCGAAGTTTCCTCCAGATGCATAGGTTACCAGAGCAGATGACAAAAGTTAAAATCAAGATATACGGCGCCCAAAGAAATATTGAATATTTGGGAGTTGAAACTGAGAGCCAAAGTCCACTCAAGAGCCCAGAAATAACAAAAGCTAAGATCCAAGCAAGGATTACAGCAATACGGTGTGCCCGCATTAATGTTCGGTGCTTAAGAGGCCAGTACACTGCGTAAAATCTTTCACAAGATATGAAAGCTGCAGAAATTATGGAAGCCTGGGTAAACGTGTTGTCAATAAACGTGTAGTACCCAGATGAATGGATTTCCTCCCATTGATTCGTCCAAAGCTGGAAATAACCCCCAACAAAATAAATGTAAATGGGTAAACACAATATTCCTACCATAAAGTCAGCAAACGCCATGTTCATGACTAGGAATAAACTCTTTTTACGAAGTCTCTTGTTGACTGCAAAGAGAAAAAGGGTGAGAGAGTTTCCTGCAACACTGAAAACGGATGTCAGAATGAAAGCACTGCACAGTGCAATGCCCTCTGCCTTGGAAGGAGATATCACTGAACTAGTGTTGAGTGCTGAGCACGATGTATTGTTCACCATTTTATGCAGGTTTCTACTAAACGAAATGCTGCAAAACTATTTCTGGATATACCGCTGGTCTACGGGCTGATGGCAAATCTAGAGCAACATGGCCGTATTTGGGCGTTTTTAGCAGGTTTTTCAGTTTGAATTGCTCGAATGTTTCAGCTGGCTTTTTTCCTGTAGCTGCTCAGAGTGCTGTTGGCTTAATTACGATGTTTCCGGCGAAATTATTAAGTAAAATGCGATTAGCAAACGCAGAAGTCGTATCAAGGATTGGTTTGACACAATTGCAATTTAAGAAGGGAACTCTCTTATCTGCAACCAAAAATGTCCGACAGCAAAAACCACAATGAGGTTTTTTTTGGATAAAGTCATTAAAAAATACAATGTCTATTTGATTTTGGCAGAGTACAACAGATCTCTTGAGATTAAACTAATTAAATTTTACGAGGTGTTTTATTGTATTGTTCGCAGTCTGAGCGTAAGACGCTTAAATCCTTCTTTAAATAGAAAAAAAATCATCACATTCTTAAGTTAACGCTGAGTGTGGCGAAATTTGGAAATGTATCTTCCTGTATTTTCTAAAACTCGCGAGAAATTAAGAGACACTTGGATGGTCTAATGCCTTATGAATAAGTGATGAATTTCGCAAAGAGAATACGATTGTCACGAAACCTCAAATCGACGTAGAGCACTGAAACCGGTTGATATCGATCTTGTCTGACGTTCAATTTGCAGTTAAATATAGTTTTCAATGTTTATGATTAGACTTCGATGAAAGATTGTGTTTTATGTCAGTATGCAGAGCCATTGACCGAAAAGCACGATCCGGTAATATCTTGTTTCTAGCGTCTTCGTTTTCCTTGTACAGCGGAACGCTTGGCGGAGGGTCTTGTCAAATCCAAAATATTTGTTAATAAAATGACTGGCTGGTGAAAACAAACAGGAAAATCTGAAAAAGCGCTAACATACGTTTTTGTGCTAAGCCTTTTCATTAGGAGTGCTGACCAGAGGCGTCAAACGGGTTTGCACCCATCGCTTTTTAAATTCACACAAACCCTCCAGTCACGTAAGCTAAAAGTAGCGCAGATCTGTGGAAGATTTAGTTGGAACAAAAGACTAGAAACTGGTTGAGTCAGAATTGACGCATGCGTAGTAATGTGAAATGAACGAGCATCAGTTTCTGTTAACTACTAATGAGAGTAAAATTCATCGAGAAAGATCTTGTCGCCAAAAAATGTGATTATTTGCAGCATGGAAAATTGTTAATTTTAAAAACATAATTACTTTCATCCAATTTGCGACAGTAAACGCCGTGGTAGACTTTAATTGCAAAAAGTTTACTTTTAATGACAGAGATTTTAGTTAGACGAGTCTTATCAAATCCTCGGTTTTCAGTTCATCGTTATTCTTTTATATTATTTTTCGTTACATCCAGTTTTATAAAGAATTTCTTACATTTCATGTAAGGCTAAAGCTTTTATTCACCTTTTTTTCTGAAATAATTTAAAACCCACATCGATTCTACCATTTGTTCTACTAGCGTCGCTTCGAGTGTTAACAAATTTATCTTCAATTTACAAACAGGCGGCTTGAAATATATAAAAAAGCAGCTGCAAAAATAAAGTTGCTAAAAACTCTTGACATACAAATAAGCTCTCAGCTTTAATTTAAAAGCTATCTCAGTGAGGGGTCATGCTAAATTGATCAACTTGCGGGAAATCAAAAAAACATTCGCTTTAATCAGTAAATTGTGCATCACTGGTCCGCCATCTATCCATCCCGATCCATCCACTACAGCGCTGCTCTCTTTGCTCTCTCAGTATCATATGATTATCTTTACATAAAATTTAAGGATGAACAATATTTCCCTTGGTAATTTTCACATGAAAAATAACCAACCAAATTTATCGATGAATGGTAACTTCAGGGCAGAGGGAATCGCCTGGAGCACTGCCTTTATAGTCACCTTTGTCTTAGTAGTCTCAGGAAACATTCTTACAATTGTTCTCTTTGTTATGAACAAGAACATTCGCAAGAAAAGTCTTTTTTTGATCATCAATATGGCATATGCTGATCTGCTTGTAGGAGCTGTGAGTTTGCCTATTTTCATTTACGATGTGGGCATTTATTTCCGGTTGTGGACGGACGGGACTTGGGGACTGTGGAGCAACAGGCCGTTAACTGTTTCCTTCATGATCGTTGATACAGTCTTCTCACAAGCCTCGCTTATTTCCGCAGCCTTCATATCGTGTGAGAGATTTTACGCAATATACTGGCCGTTTAAGTATCGGACATTATCGGCGCGAGTATACCATATTGTTATTTTTACAGCATGGATGCTCGCTCTCCTTATCTCTGCAGTATGGACAGGATCAAATATTCTATTTTCGTCCAAACACACGATGTTAATTTGGGGGCCATATACACTGATTCTCACGTTAACTACTTGTGGCTGTAACATTTGTATTTGGAAAAAGTTTCAAAGGGGATGTGTCGCCGTTTCACATCGGCAAAACAGAGACTTACAAAACAAGCGCTTAACAAAGACATTGTTATTTGTATCTGGTCTTACTTTGCTGGCTTGGTTGCCTTTAGTTATATTAAACTTCTTGAGGTACGTCTGGTTATTTCCTGTGCAGCAGAAATTCTACCTCGTGGTAAACCTTTTCAACTACTTCAACTCTTTTGTCAATCCAGTGGTCTACGTACTGAGAATTGCAGAGTTTCGACACGCGATGGCTCGCTTTTGTATCTGCAGGGAAAGAAATTACAGGCAGCACGCAAACGATTTAATAAGGAGTGCGGATTTGCACTCGGCAGCTACCTTTATTCACGAATTGGCGTTTGAACAAGAAGTAATCGATACGCAGTTATAACTGATGTCCCGGCATCTTAAGTTGATCAGCGGCATTTTCTTTGGTTATTTCAATAACACCTGCTTTATAAAGTCGGAAGAGGAGGGCTGAAATGAAAAAAAAAAAAAAAAAAAAAAAAAAGGTTACCGAAAATACTACCAACCGAAAGATGATTTTCAAGGATTTATTTAAATATCACTGTTGCTTTAGTTGTTGATTTCTTTACTGACAATGATTACAAAAAATTCGCACTGATAAATGAAGCGAGTTCATGTGATTATCTGGCTGCAATTAGGCCTGTAGAGTTATGACTTATGCTGTGTTAGATGTAATTATCCAAAATTACACACGATTACTTAGAATTGTGACTAATTAAGACTTGGTGTCCTTATTTCCCTATCAATAGTCCTTAAGTCACTCGAAGCCGGCATAAAACGTTCCGTTTTTGACCGCTTTGTAGGCTTAGTCGGCACTGCTATCTCAGAATTTAACAGGGGTTTAGTATATTAACATAAATTAAAAGTGTTGGATATTGTGCAACGCCTATTGGCTAGTAAAGCTGAGAAATATTAACCCTTTTTTGACTTAATCCTTGTTATAACCTGTTAAACATTGCTGCGGCGACAGGTGTTGGTTCAATGTATTCGTAACGTTCTGTATCAAGTGAAAACAACAGTTTATTGTTAGGTAAAGAAGAAGGAAAACAAACTTGCAAAAATGAACAACACATTGGCAGCTGACACGGACCTTTTGAGGACTACTTGTGGTTCTTCAGCGATTGATAGCTCTAGGATAGTAGGTATTGCCTTGTGTGTTGCCTTGGTATCTGTTTGTATCCTCATCGTGCTTGGAAACTTAATGACTATCGTCCTCTTTGCGTTCAACAAAAGACTGCACAAGAAGACTTTCTTTCTTGTCATCAATATGGCTTTTGCGGACTTGATGTTAGGAGGTGTGACTTTACCTGTATATACTTATTTAGTAGGAGGCAATTTTCATCTTTGGTCGGAACATGCAGGAGAATTGTGGAAAAATGAGTCTTTCTCTAATTTACATATAATCGTGGATACAGTTTTCTCTCAGGCTTCACTTATTTCCGCCGTTATTATATCCTGTGAGAGATTTTACGCCATATATAGACCCTTAAAACATAGAGCCCTTTCGTCCATAGCCTACCGAGTTACCATTTTTATGGTGTGGATCCTCGCTGCTATCATATCTGCGGTACAATGGACTGGATTAAGTAAACTGATCTCGTACAAACACGCGTTTTATATTTGGACGCCATACATATTGATGCTTACCTTAATTGTATGTGGCTGCAATTTCAGCATTTGGCGAAAGTTCCAGCGTGGAGGTGTTGCTTCACGGCAGCAACACAGGCACTCCCTAAACAAAAGATTAACAAAGACGTTGTTGTTTGTATCAGCGTTTGCTTTGATGTCGTGGTTGCCTTTAATCATTACCAATTTTTTAATCGTTGTGGGTCATGTCCCAGTAACAAGAAAGGCCTATCACGTAGTAAACATTTTGAATTATTCAAATTCTTCTGTCAATCCAGTTGTATATGCATTTCGAATTCCTGAGTTTCGTCTAAGGCTGTTTATATGCTGTTTCAGAAAACAAGTGACAAGAAATAACAATGAGGCAGTGAAATAACGATAATGCCGCTGTGATGCATATGGCTGACAGAAGTGGTCATGGTCATATGCGTTCACGCAGAACTGATAAAAAGCTGTACCTGGAACTTTGCTACCTTAAACTAACGAATTCTTCAAGTTTGGTATTTTCCTTTGAAAGAGTATTTGTAAGGTCTTTTTAGATCACATAGTCCATGCTTTTCCAAAAATAGAGAGGAATCTCATCTGAGTCAGAATGTAAATTTCGGCATGCCAAGGACACACGTGAAATAAACGTATGAAATCTCCCTTGAGAAGGCTTTCTAAGTTCGGAAAGGAGGGAGCGACAGAAAATGGCGATTCTGAACAACGAAGATCCATTCAAGTAACGTATGAGGATTCCTAATTTCCCACCAAACATGCAAAATTTGAACAGTTGGTTGCTTAACGACAGAAAAAAAGCTATCCAAATTGAACTGGGAATGACAGATGCGTGAACTGTTCAGACAATAAAGACTTCCTGTGGGTCGGGAGAGTGAACTGGCCTAAACTTGAGAGGTCCAAAGGCCTAATCACACGGCTACAGATCCTTAATTAACGTTTCGTTTCCCATCTTCTCCCTTTCGAGAAATACTTTTATAAAAATAATCAAAGATAGCCTGAGTTCAAGAAATAGCTAAATGTGCGCATTCACTTTTTAACCATGAGTGTATGCGATATAGAAGTTAAAACGGGTCCTATTTGAAATAAAGCTTACCTGCGTAACCTGCTATTAAAAAAAACTAATTATGACAATTGTTCAACCGCTATTGCAAAGCTGGTTTGAATATTATGTTTTTTTTTCAGCTTTTAAGGTAAGAATATGTTAAGCGTAAAGATTCAGTGCCGCAAGCTTTCCGCAGGGTCTTCTTTCAGGTCGTTTAATTAACAAATTCGCTTTTGCTGACAATAATGCCTGCTGCGTTAATGAGACCACTCGCCATATTTTTACAATGCTTGTCATAGCTTATGCTAATGCTTTTCAAAATCTTTCACGATTTCAGATTCTACCGCCTCGATGTTTCAAATTAAGATAAAACTGGCCATGTATACAGAAGGGGAGAATCTGACTCTGAACTACTAGTTAAAACACTTGGGAGTTATGTTCTTCCTTTTAGGTTACTCTTATTTTGTTATGCATTTGGAATTATCATTTAATTAATTTTTTTATTTCTATTTTTGCTGATTTTTTTTTTTGGATTACCTCAAAATACCATTATTGCCTTCCCGTGCTTCCGTTATACTCTATTAAAATAGATTTAATTTTTTTTACCTTTGAACACTACTATTTTTTATAAAATTATTGCTCCGTCGGCGGCATTTAGGGAACGAATCATTTTATGAGGATTCGATTAAACTGTTCGACCACGTCTAAACAAAATATGGTTTGATAAAGAGTAATTTCCTTTCTATACCGGTTATGATGAATACTAAGAATCTATTGGCAGCTTCTCAAACGAGAAGGTAATCAGCTGCTCGTAGAATGGTTTGAGAATGTCAATAGAGGCAGATCAGTGCTAATATTTGACAGTTCAAGCCAAGGTAAATTCAAGCGGTCTTTGTTATTGATAAGCAGTCACATTGAATCAACACTTGCTGCAAATTTGTTTCTATTCATTTAATACTGGTGTACTCTCCTTGCTATCTCAATATCATCGAGCATTAACATAAAGTCTTAAAATGAACAACACATCTGCTGCTAATGTCAGCCGAACAAACGACCGTAGATTATCCGAAAATGCTCCCTCCAAGGCAGAAGGCATTGCATGGTGTACTGCATTTATATTGACATTTGTTTTAACTGTCGCGGGAAACTTACTCACGATTATTATTTTTACGAAGAGCAAAAGTAATCGTAAGAACCATGTGTTTCTACCTGTCAACATGGCATTTGCTGACCTGATGTTAGGAGCTGTAGCTTTACCTCTATATATTTACCATGTCGGCTTTACTTTCCACCTGTGGACCATAACGGAAAGTTTTACGAGCAAGAAGCCTCTCGACATTTTCTTCATGATAGTTGATACAGCCTTCGCGCAAGCGTCACTTATCTCTGCCGCCTTCATATCCTGCGAGAGATTTTACGCCGTATATTGGCCGTTTAAGCACCGAACTTTATCAAAGCGAGCGTACGGCATTATCATTTTTGTTGTGTGGATACTCGCTCTCCTTGCTTCTGCGATCTGGACAGTCTTAACCTTCGTATTTACTTTCTCGCCGGCTACGACTTTTTTGGCGCCATATGTTTTCATTCTCATTTTAATCATGTGTGGATGTAACCTTGCTATTTGGAGAAAGTTTCAAAATGGAAGTGTCTCCGCTTCACATCAGCAAAACAGAGACTTGCAAAACAAGCGCTTAACAAAGACGTTGCTATTTGTATCTGGCCTTACTTTGCTGGCTTGGCTGCCTGTAATGATATTGAACTTTCTGATCTTTGTTTGGTCGGTACCTGTTCATTGGAAACTTTATCACATGGTAAACCTTTTCAACTACTTCAACTCTTTGATCAATCCAGTTGTTTATGCATTAAGAATTCCCGAGTTTCGACAAGCTCTTCATTCATGTTGTTTTGGTAAACAGCCAGCTCTAAACACGACGCTTGACAAAATTACGAATGAGAGGACAGGAACAACTGATATCAGCCATGAACTGGCGCTTAAACATCAAAATGAGATGGATACCGCATTGTAAATCACGTCAGTTATGTTTAGCGCTGATGTTTTTTTTTTTTTCATCTTTGTAATTTTTCTCTTTTTTTTTTCAATACAGTTGAAAATACATTGAAGTCTTACGCGAAACACAAGTAAATTTATCTTGTAGGGAATTTTTGTCGAAAGCCTAGTAATACTTTGAATGATGATGATAATGATGATGGTGATGAATCTATTTCCAATAGAACAATCCAATGTCTCCAATAGCCCTCCAAAAATAATTCACTTTCTTAGTTACGATTGCCTTGGATCATCCTCGATTTCAGTTGTTAGATATCGAAGTAAAAGTATTCTATACATGCGTATGGTTTCATGTTTCTATTTATCTCGATTAACATTTAATTTGATGATAAAAAAAATCAACGGTTGGGTTTATTGTAGTAAAGTGTAAATATAAATAATGTTCCAAACTACCGCTATAAAGTTTTATATGATTGTAATCTGGAAGCTTCTTAACACCTTTTCATATGTATATTGTTATACGTCTCAATAAATTAGTATAGTTTATCGGTGCACTTTTGGGATGTTGGCGGTTATGCTAACGAACTGAACGGTTCACGAGTTATGGTATTCAGATGTATTTCCAATTCGTGTGATGCAGGGAAAATAAGCTAACAAATCGGCAATCAATAGCAGGCAAGGGAATGTGTCTTTAAGAACAAATTCGCCAATCGTTACCGGTTAGATTTGTTGTCTTGGTGATGAAGCAGCCTGAACCTTCTTCAGCTGAACGTGTGACTGCAGCGTTTGACTCAAGAGGAGACAGAAAATGATCCGTGGAATCGGTTTTGGCAGTCTCAGAAAAACGCAAAATATAATAATAATTTTTATGGTGTGTTTATGCTAATTCAAACGGCCACTGTAATGAGCAAAGTTCCAGAATATTGTGATATTCCCTTATTTTTGACGCTCCTTGAAACATTTTATACGAAGACATATCACGCAGGGATACGCCGGTTTCTAGTTATGGTCGAGGTAACCGTGAGTGAGATTTGATGATACACAATGTTTGGTGAGGAATTGATAAATAACAATGTTTGACACTGGAAAGAAACTCAACATGGACGTTTTACATATATATGATAAAGAGTATAACCAACGCACCGGCGATAAATTTAAGAGGAGTTTAATTTCCACGCCATTACCAGTGGTTTCTAAGTAAAGTATTACGAACATAATAATTCTTTTTTTTTAACGAAGAAAAACGTTTTTGCAAGAAACATTTGTTTCTAACCATTCATTTGCTGACCTGTTGTTGAGAGCCACGAGTTTACCTTTTTTCATTTAAGATGTCGGCGGCTTCGATTTTCAGCTGTGGACCAGACGGATCGGGAACTTAGATAGCAACAAGATGAGGAGTATCTTCCCTTCTCTACCAGTTACCTTAAATTATACGCATACATTGGCGGCTTTTCGAATGAAGAGGCTACCAGCTGTCTAAAGGTTGATTGGAGACTATCAAGAAGCACAGTTATTAAAGTTTGACAGTTAGAATTCAATTTGAATTTAAATGATCTCTACCATTAACTGCAGCTGAAGTCCAGCTTACAGCACGCCCCTAATTGTTCGGCGAACGGAAAACTGAAGGAAAACACGACGATTGCTGTAACTCGGTTACTTCCTATCCAATATATACTGCGGTTCTTTTCCTTTTTATCGAGTTTAAATATAAACTGGCAAAATGAACAATACATCTGCAGCTAATGTCAGCCAAACAAACGATCAAAGTTCATCAAAGGATGCTACCTCCAAGACAGAAGGCATCGTATTCTTCAGTGCATTCATATTGACTTCTGTTTTAACTGTCGCAGGAAACACGCTAACGATTGTTCTTTTTGCGATGAAAAGATATATTCGCAAGAAGCATTTCTTTCTAGCTGTCAACTTAGCGTCTGCTGACCTACTGTTAGGAGCTGTGAGCTTACCTATATACAGTTGCTATGTCGGCTTCAATTTCGGACTGTGGACCCTAACGGAAAGCTTTAGCACCCTTACGTGGCTCCAAATTCTCTTCCAGACTATTGATACTTTCCTCTCGCAAGCCTCACTTATTTCTGCAGCCTTCATATCCTGTGAGAGATTCCATGCCATATATCGGCCGTTTAAGCATAAAACATTGTCAACGCGAACATACTGCATTGTTATTTTTGTATTGTGGCTCCTTGCTCTCCTTATTTCTGCGTTATCGATTGGATCAAACCTCCTTCTTTCAAACAAACACACCGGGATAATTTGGGGGCCATATATTTTTATTCTCATTTTTATCATATGTGGCTGTTATATTGGTATCTGGAGAAAATTTAAAAGTGGAATTGCCTCTGCTTCACATCAGCAAAACGGAGACTTGCAAAACAAGCGCTTAACAAAGACATTGTTATTTGTGTCTGGCTTTACTTTACTGGCTTGGCTGCCTTTAGTCATAACAAATTTCTTAATAATTTTGGGATTTTTACCTATAGATTGGAAATTTTATCCCATAGTAAACCTTTTCAACTACTCTAACTCTCTTGTCAATCCGGTTGTTTATGCATTGAGAGTTGCCGAGTTTCGACGGGCTCTGACTTCTTGTCGTCTCGGAAGAGAGCCAGCTTTGAACACAGCGCTTCCTAACATCAGGAACGAAAGGAACGGAACTAGCGTCTGAACAACCAGATATTATGGATACTTCATTGTAAATTACGTCAATTATGTCCAATAATTTCTTTTATTTATCTTTCCTTTTTTTTTTTAGGGCACTAAGAATCCTTTGAAACCGGTAAGACATGTGGTCTTGCACAAAACACAGTCTAAAATTTCTTTAGCTCAGGAAATTTTAATGAGAAGCTGGTGTTACTGCCACCATTATGATTATGATAACGGGAATGATGATTTTATTTCAGTGCAAACATACTCAGTGACGCTTGATTCATTCGCCATTTCAGCTAAGACAAGTTGGAAAATAAATTCATTGTAGACGTTTTGGGAAGAGTCGGTCCTCAACATATGGTTGAGCAGATGTGCCGCGAAGGAGAAAAAAAAGGAAGTCACAATGCAGCTAATGTATTCCTAATCGATCGGTGATCGGTATTGGGAAACAGCATCTGCTTTTACTCAGTATCTACTCATCATCGGTTTCTACCATCCATTCAGAACGGTACTTTCCTCCTCAGTATCTGAGTATCCTCTTCTTGGCATATATCCCGCAAATATGAACAGTACAGTTCAAATCCCGCAAATATATAAATTTGCGGTATATATCCTGCAAATTTGAACGATACAGTACAAATTTCGTACCAGCCTGAATTTCTTTTAGGCCTTATCTTCATTGCTATTCAAGTAGCGTTTATTACTGCGAAGATCACTTTCATATTCACGTCTTAATCCGCAGTTCAAATATATGACTTTCATATATTCACAGCCGTTAATGCATCTGCTGCTGACATGAGTATCAGAGAAGATCTTAATTCATCAAAGGATGCTCCCTCACAGGCAGACGGCATGGCATTCTGTGATGTTTTTTATGTTAACATTAGTTGTAGTTGTCGCCGGAAACCTACACGTGATTATTCTTTTTGCGAAGAACGTCAATATTTGCAGGAAACATTTGTTTCGTGGCCCTTTGACATGGCATTTACTGACCTGCTGTTGTTGGGGGCTGTGGGTTTACCTATATGTACACTTACCAAGCTGGATTAAATCTCCAGTTATGGACATTAACGAAAAGCTTTGAGAGCAACATACCTCTCCATATTTCCCACATGATCGTTGATTCTTTTTTCTCGCAGCCTTTATACCCTGTGAGAGATTTAACGCCGTACACTAGCCGTTTAAGCATCGAACATAATCAACGCGAGTATACCGTATTGTTATTTTTACAGCATGGATGCTCGCTCGTCTCATCTCTGCGATATGCACTGGATCAAACCTCCTTCTTTCATACAAATACACCACGTTAATTCGGGGGCCATATACTTTGATTCTCATTTTGATGACACGTGGATGTAACATTGGTATTTGGAAAAAGTTTCAAAGTAGAAGTGTCGCCGCTTTACATCAGCAAAACAGAGACTTGCAAAACAAGCGCTTGACAAAGACAATAGTACTGTTATTTGTATCTGGCATTACTTTGCTGGCTTGGCTGCCTTTAGTCACATTAAACTTCTCGATAATTGTCTGTTTTTTTCGCGTACGAATGAAATTTTATTACATGATTAACAATTGTCAATCCAGTACTTTATGCATTAAGAATTCCCGAGTTTCGTCGACGAACATTGGCTCATTGTTGTTTCAGAGGAGAGCCAGCTATAAACGCAACCCTCGAGTAGGAATGAAAGGAAAGGAAAAACCGATTTTAGCCATGAACTGATGTTTAAACAAGATGTAATGGATACAATATGGTTCCATCAACTTAGTTCATTATGTAAATTGTTTATAGCTTTAGCCCTTTGTCAGAGCGAAGAGCTAACGCTCGATTACAGAACAACTAGACTTAGTGATTTTCCCTCATTTTTGACACATCCTAGAAGATTTTATAGGAAGTCTTCCCTTTCACTCAAGATTTTTTAAATTGAAGAATCTAATGAAAGGACAGGCCGGTTTCTTGCAATAATTGCTGTAACAGAGATAGATATTTGCTAATACACAATGTTTGATGAGATATTTTAATTTCTCAACTACAAGGATGTTTTTGTTAGAAAAAGCTCATCCTACGCCTTTGAATATACAGGTGATAAAGAGTCATTCTGTATCATTTACATAATTGTTGAACAGATGTGCGGAAGCTGTTTGGGATGAAAAAGAATCAGAAGCGGTTCTGAATAAAAACCAGACTTGCAGTTGTTAATCTTTGGAGAGTAAGCAGTAAATCCAATTTATCCTAAAAGACTTCACCACAAGAGAAAGCTTCCAATAGAACGGCTGCTCAGAACACATCAGGACCCATCAGTGTTGGTCATAATGACATTCTTTCACGCTTTCAGTAATGGTCTTACCTTCCTCACAGTTAATCAACAAAACTTGCAAGCAAGCATTTCCCATTTCCCTTACTCTTGATCGAGCTAAATCGCCCAAAGGTTCGGCAACCCATCTCCACACAAGTGTGGGCCAATTCTTGAATAAAACCTCAAAAAGTGATGATATTGAGTCTGACTGAAGAAAATGTCCACCCACTACCATTTGCTATTCAAATATGCAGCTCTTCACCTCTCTGGAAAATTGAAAATTTGTTTTGGTTGCCATTTCGTTTATCTATTCGTCTAAAAAAGCTATAATTGACCGCTTACCTTTTTTAATTTCCTCGATGAAATAGTGGTTCCACAAAGCAAAAAATATCGTCGTTTTTGATTCCTCTTTATTCTTCTAAAGTGAAGATGTGTGGGTGTTCATTACCGACGAAGTGACAAGTGGGAACCATTACTCATGAATTTATCTTGGCTTTTTTTGAGTTAAACATGGGTGCCTGTGTGAATATTTAATACTTTCAATGTGCAAAAAATCCCTTACGAGCAACCTTCGTAAAACCAAGGCTATTTGTGTACCGCGCTTGTATATTTTTTATTCGGTAATCACAATAGAAATTTTCGTCACATTCTGAATTTTTTCGTATTTTTGTTTTGGACATATTTCATATTCAAATTCCGGATTTTGTTTACGTTTTTCAGACATTGCTGTCTTTGAGAAAGATGCTTTTTCGTTCTTTCACGAGCATGGGACAAAGAAAAAATTCTGAGTCCCCATGACGAATGGAACCTCAGACCTTCAGATTCCGCGCTCCGATGCTCGGAATCTGAAGGTCTGAGATTCCTCATGGGGACTCAGAATTTTTTCTTTTTCCCATGCTCGTGACGGGACGAAAAGACATTTTTCTCTGTTTCTCTTATTCTATTGGGGTCTTCATTTGACTTTGAGCCATTACTTTTACTTAAGGAATATCTTGGGGTAAGGTTGCTTCAGTTTTTTTTAATAACCGGTGATCGCATTAAAAACAAGGAAAAACTTGCTGACAAACAATTCTGACAACAGAGGATTTGTAATATCTCACCAAACAGAATTTAATTAAATGCTTTAAAATTAATGAAAGATTATCTAAAGAAAGAGTTAAATGAAAAGTTTGCGAGTTGTTCAAACACAGACCGAAGGGTTTCTTTAGGATGGAAATGTGGAACTAACCCTAGGAAAGTTCAAAGGTTCCAATATAACGTTTCGTTTTCCCTTACATAAAGCGAGGGTCTTAATAGATGGTGTCTTTTAAGGCTAACGGTTAAAATTTTGGCCATTTGACGGCCAACGGTTGACCAAAGTGAGACCTTCAAAAGAAGGCCGTTATGTCGGTAAATATATTCAAATAAATAAAGAAAAGAAATAATAACATAAAAAAGAACAGGGAAGTTTGAGGTCAAAAAATGATCCGAAATGTGTGCGTTCGCTCTGAACCCTAAACGTCTGCGGTCTGATGTAGAGGATAAAGGATTTCGATTAAAATAAGTCTTGTGGCAACCACTTTTTGAAAATTTTCAAAGTGATTTTACTTGACTAGACCTTCTTAAAGACGGCCACGCTTTTTAATGGGAGAAGAGACTATCAGGCTATCAGCTGCCTCAAGCTTAATTGGAGACTGACAAGAAACACAGTACCGTTATTACTACTTGACAAATTTTTGACAGTAGCATTCATGCGATCCTAATTGGTCGGTAAATAAGAAAACTGAGGGAGAAAACAAAATTTGCATCAATTCTGTTATTTGACCGATCCAGCACTTCAGAGCTCTCGATACCAGCTCAGTATTATCGAGTGGAAGCATAAACTCCCAAGATGAACATGATAACAAATATATCTGCTACTAACGTCGGCCGAGCAAATGATCTAAGTTTGTCGAGGGATGCTCCCTACAAAGCAGAAGGCATCGCATTGTGCAGTGCTTTTATTTTGACGTTTGTTTTCATTGTCGCGGGAAACTCCATCACCATCATTCTTTTTGCGATGAACAGAAGTTTACGCAAGAAACATCTGTTTCTACCCATCAACATGGCGGTTGCTGACCTGTTGTTAGGAGCTGTAACTTTACCAATATACATTTATCATGTTGGCTTCAGTTTCCAGCTGTGGACCAGCCGGATTGGGGATTTAGACACCAACATGTCTCTCTCTATTTTTCGCATGATTCTTGATACTACTTTCTCACAAGCCTCACTTATTTCTGCAGCTTTCATATCCTGTGAGAGATTTCACGCCATAATCTGGCCGTTTAAACACGGAACATTTTCAACGCGAGTATACGGCATTGTTATTTGTACAGCATGGATAGTCGCTCTCCTTGTTTCTGCGATCTCGGCTGGAACGTATGTCTTGCAGCTGCACGAGTATGTTATGTATTTTTGGGTGCCATACACTTTCATTCTCATGTGTATAATATGTGGTTGCAACATTGGCATTTTGATAAAGTTTCATGGAGAGGGTGCCTCACCACCGCAACTAAACAGAGACTCAGAAACAAACAGAAATAAGCGCTTAACAAAGACCTTGTTATTTGTATCTTGCCTGGCTTTGATGGCGTGGTTGCCTTTGATTATTGCTAACGCAGTATCTTTCTGGCTTTTTCATCTACAACAAACCGTTTATCATTTGCTAAACCTTTTCAACTACTCCAATTCTTTTATCAATCCAGTGGTTTATGCATTAAGAATTGCCGAGTTTCGTCAAGCTCTGACAATTTCTTATTTCCGAAGACAACCAGCTATGAACAATCCGCTTAGGCACTAAATGACTCATTACAGACATGAAATGACATCTCGTCAACGAGATCCAATGGATTCCAAATTGTACACAACGACAGTTTAACATAATGATACCGATTATGATAATGATGTTGGTCCCTGTGATGACAACAACACATCATTTATTTATGTAGCTGCATAACACTCAATAACGCTCAAGAAATGAATTACATTCTTACCGAGGCATGATTCATCCACGGCTTCAGTTTGGAGACTTTAAAATTAATCTAAACAGTCTGGTAACACCTTGCCGCTTATGTTCCTTGATATCTATTCAACTTTGTGTAATTTTATTCTCAGTCAACTGATTAGCATACATTACAACTGTATCAGGTTAACGTTTGTCACCGGAGGCTAGTAAACATGTAGATAAGATGAAAAAGCGTACGTCACCAAGACTTGTCTGCTGATGTGTCATTCGAGAAAAATAAGTAAACAAACCGGCAGCCGGTTCGTCAAGTCAAGACTAGTGTCTTAGAAATCCCAATAATTGCCGGTTAAGTTTGCTCATTTGTTGTAAAAAGGACTTTCCTCAGCTAAGCGTGCATTTGAATCGTTCTATAATACCCGTAGAAAATACAAAAATTATCCATCGAATCATATCCACTTCCTCAAAATTGAAGTACAAAAAATATAGGAATCGGTTGAAGATATTAATAAATTTGGCATACACTCACCACCACTTTACTTTTGTAGACGTACTTTTCAGCCTCCCTTGTAAAATGAAACTTAATTTTAGATAGTCATAATTAATGAAGACAAAACGGCGCTGTGGAGGCAATGTCGCATTGCCCATCAATTTAATTTTGGAGCTTATTTTAAGATAAGTTTATGAACACGGAACATGGAAATGGCTATCTCACATCAAAAGTAAACTTAAACAGTTAATTGACATCGGAAAAAAACCTATTGGCCAAAGGAAGGCGACAGATGTGCTAACTACTCAAACAAAGACTTCCTTTTAGTGGACTTCAAAAGTGGAAAGAAGATCGCTCACATTATCTGAAGACTCACCAGATAAATAGATTATATCGGAGTTGATAATTAGTACATTGGCCACCGAAAAGGGTTTCACCCGAAGCTTACGTTTCGGGTGTTAACCAATCGTCAGAGCGAAAGGTATACAAATTCGCTGACGTTACGACGACCTAAGGTTCCAAACAAGACCATCCTTAGAACTGCGTCAGTTTCCCTATACCACTCCTCTGATGAAAAAAAGATCGTTCGGTCATGCAAGAAAAAACAAGAAGAAAAATGAAAACAAAACAAAACTCACAGTGGACCTAATGAATTTCTAATCAGTTGATGTATAGGGAAACACAATATCTGTTACAATCCATTTTTTTAATGCATTAAGAATCGCTAAGTTTCGACAGGCTATGGAATTCACGTTGTTTCGGAAGAGACTGAGCCATGCAGCTATGAACACGAAGCTTACTAAAAAATTAGGAATGACTGGAAAGTAAAAATGATTTCAGTCACGAATGGGGTTTGAACTAGATGTAATGGATAACAAATTGCAAATGAGATCAGTTAAACCAGCAGTTTAGTTTTAGTTATAATTCAATATAAATGACGCAGGATAATCACAACTGTTCTATAACTACACCTATTGTATAATAGTTACAGCTTGGAGTTACTTAATAACTATCTAACTTTATGAAGTTTATTTAACAGTAAATTAGCATATTCTATGGCTACATCAGGTTAACTCTTAAAAGATAACAACAAACAGAATAGATAATGAAGGTATATGCATGTCAAACTTGACCCAGGCGGCTGATGTGGGATTCAAAAAAATATAAACAAACAGACTGCGGCAGTCAATATTAAGTCAATAATTGTGTTTTAGAAATAGTATAATCATTGCCGGTTAGATTTTTAGGACTTTCCTCCGCAAAGCACGCGATTGTAACGCTTTATGATTACTGTAGAAAAGACGAAAATTATTGGGTCCATTTTCTCAAAATTGAAATACACGATATAGTCATAGATAATGGCTATTTTTTCCGGAGTTAACGGGCTCAAAAATAAATAAAATTTGGTAACAAAAGGCATTTGACCACTGCTCCTCTCATTGAGCCTTATATTTAATGGCGTTCTCTTTTCATTATTTGAAGACACGTCGTACTGCTTTTCTTGAGGTTTTTAAATTGGAGAATATTTTGAAGGGATATTCCAATTTCTTTCATTGATTCCTGAATAACACGGAGAAAGACTTGACGATACGTGAGGACTTGTAATTTCTTATTAAAAAAGGATGTTTGACATCGGAAGAAATCATCTTTATTAATTAGCATGATAAAGAGTCCGTCTATGAGATCAAGTGGGACAGATGAACCTGATCTATTCAACTGAACAAAGACTTCCCGAAGGGAGCGATTACGAAATGGGTTCATCAGAAGCTAATACAGTATGACAAGAAGCCAGAGATTCTTCAAAATTTGAAATGCGAAGAGAATTTTCAGTCTATTTCTGAGCCTTCACTTCTAACGGACTGTCTTACTCAGATCCGCTGTGCAGTTACATCGAAGTTATCGTTTGGTATTCTTATTTGGGACCTTGGATTTCCATAATGCTGATGTGATGCATAACATATGCTTTTTCAATAAAAGAACGATTTTGATGTGAGTCGAAATGTAAATTTCGGTATGCTATAAAACCTTGACTAAGAACGCTTTTCAAGGTCGGAAAGGAGGGACGGACAGAGGCGATTCTGAACGACTAAAGTTCATTTTGTAACGTTTAACAGAGAAAAAACACACGAACATCGTCAGATGGCATTGTGAGAGACACCTACTGTCTAAAACCTAATGTAATTTCTTTGTCTTTACAGTCACAGTGGAAATCATTCCCTCGCGTTCTGGGCTCCTTCATATTTCCATTCTGAACTCATTTCATATTCATATCAAGGGCTTATTCACGCGCATATTCCAAAGGATCCCCGGCTTTAACGACTGTTTGCATGTAAACTAAACGTCGAGAATATCTCTATGAACTGCTTGCACTCGAAATGGAGGTTAGGAGAACACAAAATTTTTTCCAATTCTGCTACTTGACATCCAGCACTTCAGAGCTCTCGATACCAGCTCAGTATTATCGAGTGGAAGCATAAACTCCCAAGATGAACATGATAACAAATATATCTGCTACTAACGTCGGCCAAGCAAATGATCTAAGTTTTTCGAGGGATGCTCCCTACAAAGCAGAAGGCATCGCATTGTGCAGTGCTTTTATTTTGACGTTTGTTTTCGTTGTCGCGGGAAACTCCATCACCATCATTCTTTTTGCGATGAACAGAAGTTTACGCAAGAAACATCTGTTTCTACCCATCAACATGGCGGTTGCTGACCTGTTGTTAGGAGCTGTAACTTTACCAATATACATTTATCATGTTGGCTTCAGTTTCCAGCTGTGGACCAGCCGGATTGGGGATTTAGACACCAACATGTCTCTCTCTATTTTTCGCATGATTCTTGATACTACTTTCTCACAAGCCTCACTTATTTCTGCAGCTTTCATATCCTGTGAGAGATTTCACGCCATAAGCTGGCCGTTTAAACCCGGAACATTTTCAACGCGAGTATACGGCATTGTTATTTGTACAGCATGGATAGTCGCTCTCCTTGTTTCTGCGATCTCGGCTGGAACGTATGTCTTGCAGCTGCACGAGTATGTTATGTATTTTTGGGTGCCATACGCTTTTATTCTCATGTGTATAATATGTGGTTGCAACATTGGCATTTTGATAAAGTTTCATGGAGAGGGTGCCTCACCACCGCAACTAAACAGAGACTCAGAAACAAACAGAAATAAGCGCTTAACAAAGACCTTGTTATTTGTATCTTGCCTGGCTTTGATGGCGTGGTTGCCCTTGATTATTGCTAACGCAGTACAGTTCTGGTTTTTTCATCTACGACAAACCGTTTATCATTTGCTAAACCTTTTCAACTACTCCAATTCTTTTATCAGTCCAGCGGTTTATGTATTAAGAATTGTCGAGTTTCGGCAGGCTCTGAAACGGTCTTGTTTCCGGGGACAACCAGCTATGAATAATCCGCTTAATAAGAGAAGAAAGTATAGGCTTCGGCACTCAATGGCTCATTACAGACATGAAATGACATCTCGTCAACGAGATCCGATGCATACCAAATTGTACACAACGACAGTTTAGCATAATTTTTATCTTTTCCATGAAAAAAGGAAACCCTGTGAAAATGAAAATTATGTTTGGAAAACACAAGTAGAATACTTTAATGTCGGGAATCGAAGTTGCGATGAAACCTGATAGTGCTATTACTTTCATGTACTGAAAGGAGGAACGGACAGAGGCGATTTGAACGACGAAAGTCCATTTTGGAACGTTTGACAGAAAAAACGGTAGAAATAATTCTCTCGCGTTCAGGGCTCTTTTATATTTCCGTTCTGCACTCATTTTACATTCATATCAACAGCTTATTCACCTACTCAAGTTTTCCAAAGAATCTTGGCTTTAACGAATATATAATTACTTACGCGCTAGACGTGAGGAATAACACAGATTAGAGAAGGATCCATTCTCTTTTATTGGCTGTTATTTAACAGCGAGCTAGACTTGCTGACAAAAACTGCTTCCCTACCAGGATTTTTTAAACAAAGTTCTGAATAGCTGGATAAAGCTATCTAAAGCGACCGTGGAAAGAAAATCGACCGTGCACTACAACCAGATTAGCTCAATTCGATTTTGGTTCTGGTCTTGGGAAGCGTGGAATCTCTTAAAATTAGAATCAATAAATTTCTCAGAGTGTTTCAGTTTCAGAAACATTGTTTTCAGATCCGAGAAAAGATCCGGTGAGGATTACAAGCGGTTGGCGCGATCAAGCATAGTTGTTATTAGCGATCGTTTATATCTATTGTCAACATGGCTCTGATAATGGAGTAGAAGCTTTTTGTTGGTTTTTTCTCTGCAGACACAGGTGTTGAGGGGGTTATCGGTCATGTTGATTACCCAGCCTAAGAAGGCAACCGAATTGGAATTGGTTTTAACACACGTGCCGGACTTTTCATCAGATATCACATTAATTTGAAGTTTTTCTCTGTAGATTATTTTTGATAATTGATTTCTCTAAGTTCAAGATAAACACAATTTCAAAACACCACAAAGTGTATTGTTCATCGTGGTGTAAGATAGGAAATGAACTTTATTCGTTTGTTCTACGATAGAGACACTTTTGATGTCGATCGCGACGTTTCGACTGCGATACTGCTAGTCTTCATCAGGCGATGAGGTCGATTCAACATCAACATCAAAGTAAGTGACTCTATTGTCAACATCAAGTGACTCTATCGTGAGACAAACGAAGACAAACGAATAAAGTTTATCTCCTACCACATAGTAACATTGTCACTCCAAAGGCTTCCTTTGGGACGAGCTGAAATAAATATTTATAACTATTATGACATTTATAACCATTTCCTGCCCACAATATTCTGTCGTGGGTTTCTGTTTACGTAGCGCGAGTGCTTTTTATATTTTCAGGCACAAAGGAAACAGCTGATTAACCAGAACTACAATTACCAACTTCAATTTTAATCTCACTGAATGTGGCAAACTATTGAGATCAATTTTTTAACAACAACGGAAAAGCAGTAAGAGGATGGCAACTGAGTAAAACTCAGATCTCTCAAGTTTTTAGGTAAATTAGGAAAATTTAGGCTAAACTTATGCTAATGATTTAATCAGAATTATGACTTAACTTAGAAGTGTCGTTGGTCATTAGTGAGCAGCTTTGGAAGGGTTGTTTGAGAGATTATTTAACAGTTCGAATCAGCGAACGATTTTTAATTCATCTCAGAAAAAAAATCCTATCAGGAACACGCTGAGGAGATATGTGGTTAAAACGACACAGTCCTAACAATAGAGTCAAAGATATAACGATCTTCAAAGTATCTCAGGACTAACGAAATATACAGACTAGCTGGAGGATCAACCTAAGAGCCCGTTCACACCACGCCGGAGAGATATGAAAAAGCGAGTTTATCCTTTTGGTTGGATTCTACTGTTCTCACTAATATAGGTAAAACGCTCACCGAAAACAGAGCTTTTCAAACTATTGACGTCATTGCATGCTTTTTGGTATTTTTGGTTGGATAATTAGACACTTGTAATGCGCATGCCTAGGGGGATGAAGTCAAGTGTGTCAGCCGCCAGCTATACTTGGGAATTTAAGAAAACCATGACGGCAGCGGCAACGAGAATGTAACAAAAAAAGAGAAAATGAATAGACGAATAGTTCTTCATTTGTGTTTTTAACCTTTGTTCGTCTTCGGGCCGTCCCACGCAAAATCCTCAAATTTCCCGTAGCCCAAGACCTATAGTGGTGCAAGAATTTAGAGTGATCGCAAAAAGCCCGTTTTACAATAACAATACTTTTCTGATATTTTGATATATTACATTTACGGCAAGAAAATTTCATGGGCTGTACAATACCCATGTACAATAGGGTGAGACTCAGTGGCTGTTATTTTGATCTGCAATGATAAAGACTGCAGAAAGTTAAGTCCAACTACCTTACTTTACCAAGTCTCTTTCAAAAATGTCACTGTCGTAAATTGAAACGGGATTGACTCCAAACGAAATGTTTAAAGTACATTTTAGTTCACACATTTATTGATTGTTGCAATTCTGCTGGGTAATTCTTGAAAAATAATTGTTATATAATTTTATGTAAATACGCACGCCGGTTGATCAACATCAGTAATAGCTCTTATGCTGCACATAATTAAAATCGCGTATCAAAAACTTGAGAGGCCACTTGAAGTCGACTAGGATAGCTTGGTAATATTCCAAACTCTTTTACTGGCGTCGAAACTGACATCTCACTACTGGTCGTTTCAGTCCGTTTCCTGCTAGATACGTTTTCCCTTCTGTTGAAGCACAAACTCAGCGCTTGTCTGATTTCCGGAATCCTTAATACATAGACGATGGGGTTGACAAAGGATCCCGAGAAATTAAAAACGTTTACGACGAATTGAAAAGTTCGGTAGTCGAAATATGCTTGACCAATACCTGAGAGGGTTAAACAGTCGAGTGTAATCAACGGTAACCAGGTTAGCAGTTCAACAAATGATATAAACAGCAACGTTTTTGTTAAGCGTTTGTTTTTCGCGGCTCTGTTTTGCTGTTGCGATGCGACATTTTTTTCGTGAGACTTTCTCCACGTACCGATAGTACAAACGCATACGATGAGTATCTGAGTCAGAGCAACACAAACCCAAAAAGTCACCGTGGCTCTGAATGAAACAAAGTAACTCAATAATGTCCCTATCGCTGCAATTAGGAAGGCCAGTATCCACACCGTTAAAATGACTAACCAGTATGCTCGCGAGGACAACGTTCGGTGCTTAAATGGAAAGTTTACGGCGTAAAATCTCTCACAAGATACGAAAATCACCGCGAGGAACGAGGCTTGCAAGAGAGCTAAATCGACGAATATATAGAAAAAGACTACTCGTAGATTCCTGAACTGGACCAACCATAGTTGATAATAATTCCCAACGAAGTAAGTAATGAACAGAGGTAAAGATACAGCCCCTAACATGAAATCAGCAATAGCCAGGTTAACGACCAGAAGCAAAGTTTTCTTGCGTTGTGTCTTGTTAAATGCAAAAAGCACAATGGTGGTACCGTTTCCGACTACAATGAAGATTAAAACACAGAAAAATACGACGCAAAATGCAATGCCAGCTGCCTGGGAAGGTAAAATTGCTGGCACATAATAAAAACTGTTGCTTTGGCTTGTGTTCTTTTCCGATACGTTGTACATATTTCGGATTAGATGCAGCTAAAAGTCTCTCGTCGGTAGCAGATGCCTCAGTTTTCCAGCGATTTGTAGTTAGACGAGTCTCGTGCCATGTGTAAGCCATTTTTATACGCTGACAATGACTCTTCTGACGCAAGTTTGGTCATTAGAAAGAAGAGAAATTAACTTAATGCCCCAAGGCTATAAAGTACCAACATCAAACGGAAATACGAACAAAGGAGAACGGTAATCAGTGCAATACAGCTCCTTCTTGAGAAGTTTGTTTTTGAATACTTTGATATTTTGTGTTAAACAGTTTTAATTTTCCTTAACCGTTAACAAATTGGGAGTAAAGTTGCTCGTTTCCTAGCATGTTGTATCTTTCATTCATTTACGATGCGGGTGAAACCAGCTCGAAGCCTATCTGGTGAACTACGCCGGATGCAGACTTCCGTTTGAACATCTTTCTCAAATTTGTCATGTTACGCTTTCATTGTTAATGATGGAAAACTTAATCTGGAGCCTACGTATGCATTTTAATTTGTTACCCTCCACATCCAGATACACGATGGATCTGTTTCGTTGGGTCTCCATTACAAGTCAAAGATAAAAAAAAGAGAAAAAAAATTATAACAACTTTTTTTAAATTACACCACCAGTTAATTAACTTCTCGATCCCTAACTGTTTTGAACAACTGTCTAACATATGGAGCAACGAACGGGTCTGAAGTCCGACGCAGGCTCTGACGCAATACGAAGGTCCCTAACTTCATCAATGATATTATCTCGACAGAAATAGAACGTAAGAGTTATCATAAATCAACAAAACGATGTTTGAATCACACATTTTCAATTGTATCTTTACCTATGTTAAACTGCTGTGTTCTGAAAATGTGCACCGGATTAAATAATGGTTCGTTACATCCGTCGGAATGAATTGCAGCAGAACATTTCTTGTTTGACTTTGAAAACTCGCTCCAGTTTCCTCTCTTCAAATCTCTGGTTAAAACATCAAGTTCGGAATTAAAAACATTCTTTCGTCAAACTGTAGAGTTATCATGTTTATTTGGTCGAAACCATCCGCGTAATAAATTTACCCTGTAACATCACAGAGTGAACACATTCTACGAAAGTTCAAATGAGACCAATGTTATTCCATGACCTTGCAATCTTCGAAACAAAGCTAAAAGAATCTGGTACACAGTTTTTAATTTACATATATATATATATATATATATATATATGTCATGAAAGTTTGTGTGGTGGAACAGAAATAAGTAACTACTATATTCTAGTAAACACTTCTCACATTGTCCTGCATAAATTTTGCGTCCTGAGTATTTATCTACTTTTCTCGCACTTACTGTGTATAGTTTTGTCATGGAACTTTCTCAAATTCCTTTCTGTCAGAGATATAAAATTCTGTTGGCCAGCTTACACTGCAATTCGCACACAAGTGAAATTTCTGAGAATGTCACGGTACTGTGACAACGATCAAGATTGCAAAAGCTATCTATTCCCCTGATAACGTCCTCATGTAATGTCCTCATGTAATGTCCTCACGTGATGTCTTCATGTAACACTCACAGATTTTGCCGTCAGCCATGTGGAGTAATTTCTCCTCGTCTTGTTGTTATGGATATTCTTCAGCTCAGTTTGATACTGAGCCCATCGCTGTTGAAGTCTCATCTGCCTGTCTTCTTGGCTAACAAGTCTTCATGAGAGGAGAGAGGAAATATTTAAGCTAAAAACTTTTAACTCTGATGACGAATAAAACTGAAAGGGATTCCATTTAGCGCACTGACATTTTCGGGTAAGGCACAATGTTTTGCAAGAGCTTCCCTCAGGATAGTATATGCCTAACAGTTGTGTTTATTTCACTCCTATTTATTTTCATAAAATATGAAATTAACTGGAATTTATTCTGGAATGATGGCTGCAAAATTTTCTGCGCTTGCGCGCAAAGAAGAGAAATAACAGGCTTTGAAATACTTTGTAATAACATTTGCCTATATGGTTAACCACGCTCCCTAATTAGCTCAAAACATTTCTTAGCCAAAATAGAGCAAAATCCAAAACCAATTGTGTTTTTACTCTGCGTTCTCATTGCCTCCTTGAAGTACTTCTTGGCTTTCACGACAATCAGTCAGCAAGTCCTGTGCTAAGATGATCACCGTAACTATTAATTCAAATTAATGAGGACTCCGAAAATTGCGTTTATCAAATGTATCATCGTTTCTCCTGAGTAGAAGGAACTAAAGGTAACACACCTTCCCTGGATGAGAGAATGTAGCCTTGCTTCGATAGTATCAGTTTGCTTTGGAGGCGACACCTCAGAGGTTACATCTTCTCTCCAGTATTTTTTCAGGGTAGGGAAGAGTTGCAGATTGTAAGAAAACGGCACTGTTGTCTGAAAAACGAACAAAAAATGTTGCTGTTCAGCGTCATGACAGTTTCACTAGCGAAGAGACAAAGATTTCAACCTTCAGGTAAGGTTTCTGTAAACATTACGATTTAGAGTTTTAATTCGGCGGACAGTGAAATGAGTGAATAATATTCATCATGAAAAGGTGCTAGGCAATGTTTTTTTGGACTGTGACAGCATCATCAATTTGGAGGCACAGTCAGACAAGAACGTTCGATAATTGCCCAGTGCATGTTTAACAAGGAGATTCTATCTATGTTGTCCTGTATCTCTTCACTAATAGGTCCCATGACGTCAAAATGTGGTAAGGACAGAAAGTGAGCACACAAGGTACAGCCGATCATGTGACTGTTTTGGATCATACACTCACCTCGCTGTCCAACGCTTCTTGATTCTCTCCATTACTTTGCGCACCAATCAAAATTAAGACCTTGCCGCTAGCACAGATACATGGCAGCTGTGGTGAGAGCAGATAAGACTCGGGCAGCCCAACATGACATATTGCTGTACAGCTACAAACATCGTACATAGTAATTCGTCCACTCGTTACAACAGCAGCAACCTAAAAAAAAAGCGTTCCGTGAAACATGACTGTTTCGAGCTGCATCACCAAAAGACCCAACCATCCTAAGCACTGTGAATACGATAACAGGTAATGTCGCCCCCTTACACGGTCGCTCCAAGTCCCTTCGCCCCCGAGAGAAGTTACGTAGCCCCGAAGTGTGGTCAACGGTCGCAATGTTGCAATTGCTAAGTTCCTAACTTAGAGGGACTTCATATTGTTAGCTTTTTGGACACGACCGTTGATTGAAGGTTTTGATAATCAGGCCGTTGAACCTCAAAGCTTTGAAACTTATGTCAAAATATGTCTAAATCCTTAATGAAACTAAAGAAAAAGTTGACGGCGACGCAACCATACTTCGAGGCGATGGAACTTCACCTGGGTTGACGGAACTTGGGGCGTCACCGCACAAAGGAGAAACGTCACCTACAACCTTAAAAAACCACTACGTTTGAGTTGTTTCCTTACCACTTGTGGTGTCTGAGACATATTGACAACATTGGTAATGACCTCCTTGTCTACTGCAGATCTGAAAGAAGACGGCAAGCAAATCCTGTTTTCATCCATTTGGTTCAGTTAATGAAAGAAATATCTAAACTCAATTCTTGAACTTACACTATGTACGTCTGATTCGTTCATGCAGCTGAAACATCTTCAATTACATATCCATTATGTCCCAAATTCCATTATCAAGTTTTGTTATTTTTTAATGAGCTTACAAAATTTCATGACTATTCGTGACCTACACAATGACTATTCAGATAATTTTGGCAGTAAAATGCGTTTCGTAGAAACGTGTTTGAAAATAAAATCTTGTGAACGTACCTGTCCTCGAGGGGTTTAGCTGAGTGTGACAGAGCAACTCCACATTGCAGGAGACAGAATGTCCCATCATCACAGCTTACAATGAGATTGGCACATGATGATGCTGATGAAGGCGATAAATCATTACCCTGCGTTGTGATGAGGCCTTCATTGCTTGTCAAAAAGCACAGGACAAGTATTCTTCCTTTCTCAGTGATGGGACAGACCCTCAACAGAGTGCCTACAGCACAAACAAAATGGACACTGTTGACATTCCATAGCATTCCAAACCTCTGAGGTGTGATGTAAACGTTTTGTAAGCCACTACAAACTTTCCTAAAATGCTGGTTACATAAGCAATTGGCCCAGTGAGTCAAAGGGCGGATAACGCTATCCAAAGGATAAATTGCTATCCAGCGGATACGTTTTAACAAAACGAACAATCCACTTCACTCTCCATTGGACAGAGATTTATCCAGGGGATACCATGGTTTCCCCTTTGAATAACCAAGTAATGGTGAATAGCCAGCGACCTAAGATCTTGGATGACTGGATTCATGTTGTCTTAAAATTTAAAGGATGCTTCTGTTTCAGTAGTCTGCTATTGCAGAACGAACAAATGAAAATCTGATGTTATGTAATTTGCAAAAATCTCTCTATTAAAAGCACTACTTCACTGGCAGTAGTATGCCTTTTTTCTCACCTCTATAGACATCCCAAACAACAACAGTTCCTGTGTTGAGACCCAAAGCCATAAAGCAGCCACATTCACTGACTGCACTAATGATAATCTTTTCTGAGTGAGGCCATACTATGTCTGGCTTGTGTTCAAGATCTTGGGAAGACAACAAACTTGCTTTAACATTTAAACTCATTTAACATATCTTAAGAATAAAAACTGCCAATATCTGCACTGCAGAAACAATATAAATGCTGTAGGCTACTTTTCTCATTGCATTTTCTCACAAGCTTTTGAGTTTTCCCACATTAAGATATCTGTAAATACAATAGAGTGTGTATTGGCAACCATTACAAAGTCACTGTAACCTGCATAGTGCTTTACATTCAAGGAATGTCAGCTACACTGAAGATTTGACTTAAAAAAGGCTGCAACAATAAGACCCTTACCTTTAGCATTCTTGACAAGTGAATACATATATAACTGAGTACCTCCTGACCACCACACTGCTAAGGAGTTAACTTTACCTTCAAAAAAGACAATGAGCATAAACTAAATAATTTCAGTGTACTTTGCTATGATCTTAATGATCTAAAAAACATTGGAGACTCTTAAGCAAGGTATGTTCATCAATACAAAAACATCATTGGCTTACTAGGTGCAGACTCCAATCCTGAAGGAATTAACCTGCTAGGTGCCAAGAAGTGTAATCTTGGGAAGCTGCAATCAATATAAAAACACCTTTTTTAATTGTAACAATTACAGCAACCACACCCAAGTTTGACTCCTTCAATGGCAAAACAAGTGCTGAGATGAATAAATGGCTGACAGTTCCTAGTTATATGATCTAGACAGCTCCATTCATCTGCTGTGATTGAGTTTGATTGACATCATACTTTGTAAGATTATGGTGTCCTAATGCATGAACTATCTATATACAAATTTCAAACTTACATAGTTTTCATGATTACTTAGGCCAAAGGGGCAACTATCTGAGGGAGGACATGTTACTCACAACATTATTACATGTACTAGCTCAACTGAAATATCATGGTTCACATTTGACACAGAAAAAAAAAACAAACAAACAATGCAGAAATTAATAAAGAACTATTCATAACTAAATTAATTAAAAATTTCAGACCTTGTCAAATCCTGGTCATCAATGTTCAGATATTTCAACTCCTCCTTGTGAAGCTGCTGGAATGCTTTGTCATAATTCTCAAAAAACTGCATCATTAGCACATGGCTTGAACCAGTACCAATGACATTACCCTCTGCATCAGTAGCTTTCAAGGCTGCTGAACAGTTAGTGGCTGCACAAGGGCCCACTGGAGCAGGGGGTCGCACTCGTAATACAGCTGCTGGTTTGGTGAAGGAGATAACTGACAGGCCAGGTTGATGCTGTCCTGCCTGAGCTGAGCTTGGTCTTGACCCTGAAGGTGACTATCAGAGTAAAGAGGTTAGTAACAAAAACCTGGAAAGATGCATGTCAATCCTTGTTTCTATCGTAAAGAACCAACTGTATAGAGAGGGTTCTATTGACAACAAATACAGTGTAGGTAATTGCTCACTAAATTTAGCAGAGTACATGGACTGTACTGAAAAAACTTTAAGATGAGCAGTCTCATATCAAATGTACACTAACTGTTCCTTCAGGTGGTTCTTGATCCTCAGTGGATTTAAGGAGCTGTTCTGCTGCAGCAATTTCCTCCAAATCCTGAAATGAAAATAATCAGGGCCATGAATAGCATACTCCCCTGGGTAATTCATAATTTTAGCAGCAACAGGATTCTTAAACATACATGTATATGTATCTAACAGAGTCAGAACTGAGAGTTGGAGATTTCCTCAGGAAGAAAGGGTGCTTAAGACTACATTATTTGAAGTACTGTTCAAGAACTAATGCATTCTTTGAAATGGCCACCTTATGCACCCTCTTCTGGAATATTTAAACCACAACTCTCTGCCAGATAGTTAATGATTGTTTTGCAAGAAATCATAATAATTATCACAAAGTAAGGAGAAGCAAAAGTGTCACCATGCACTAAAAATATTACTTTCAATGTCCAGCTGAAATTTGCTTCACATGAGCATGAGAAGGAAAAAATTTTTTCAAGAAAACATCCTTAAGACTCACTGGTGCGGATGATTCTGCTAATGTTGGTTTCCTTGAGCGAACTGCAACTGCCATGGCTGTTTCCAATTCCTTGATCCATGTCTCTCTGGGAATTTTATAGATTTCCACCCAACTCTCTTTCATTGGAACTACACCATAAATGAACATGAAGAAACATAATAATTTTATGTACATGTAAGTTCTCAGTCAAACACCACACTTGCAAACTCTTTCAATATTTTTTCATTCTGTAGCTCTGCCAAGACAAAAATTACCTCAATGTTTGGGTTAAATTACAGTTTTTTCAGCACATGTTAGCATATTTCAAAAATGTTCAAGGGATCCTGAGAAAGAACATGTCCCATGATGAGAAATTGCCACTTACAATTTTTCAAAGCTTCTCTTTAATTATAAAAACCCCTCAATAAGGTCTTTTCCTAGTTTTAACTGAATTTTTATCATTTTTTGTTGAGTTACCTTTCCACCCAACTCCAATGTATCCCCCATCTTGACTTATGTCAACAAGGGTTACCATGGCCTGCTTGCTTATACCTTCCTAAAGAGGATTGACATAAAAGTAATTTATAATACAAAGTTATTACCTCAGCTAAGAACTCAAAATTATTTGTTCACCTATTAAAAAGCAGAAATACTATTGAATCTACTGGCATTTAGAAAGTTTTTATTTTTTGCGATTGTGGTTTTTAGTTTTCACTTGTCATTTGGTGGTAAATTAAAGTGTAACTGTTCAACTATAAAATTCAAAAGAGTAATTAATGTCATTATGATGAAGAATCTAGTTGGCTACAACAGTGTTCTCAATTATTTTAAGCATGACAGGTAAAAGAAATTTTCAAACGAGTAAAGCAATCCTTTTACAAGATGAGTTTTCAAGAATTCCAAGCAATTTTAAATGGTAATAAGAGGTACTACAGGCAGTAAATGTTAGTGGTTACTGCCTGAAAAGGAGAACACTGTACAATACACAGTCACATACCGGCTCACTGAATGTTTTTATGAGATGAACCTTATCTCCAGTGAAACAGAAGAGCTTGGCACATCCTAAGTATATGGAATGAAGTCAATACATTTCACTAAAACTGCACTAAAAGCTCACTATTTTATGAAAAGTAACTAAGTTGAAAGAAGGATTATACAACATGACTCTCTTCTGTTTTTTGGGATATTACTGTTATTATATATGTATATTTGAAATTTTCTTATAGTATGCATTTCATCTGAAAAAAAAAAAAATTTCAAGCTTATCATGATTAAGGACACTGTACATGCACATGCAAGGTAACAGAAGCTTCATACCTACATCATCCAAGGTTGAAATCAGAAAACATCCTTCCTGTAGGCAGCAGGCTGACATTTGTACAGTGTTATCTTCTAATTCTTCGTAGGAAGCAACTACAGTGTCTAACAAACTGTCTACCACTAAAAATCTATTAGTATTAGAAATAAACAAGTAATTTCCTTCGGCGGCCGTGCAAATGCAAGTCGTCCCGTTGTACTCAGACAGTTGTTTTGCAAGGTCAAACAGTGGCAATACCGCTTTGGAGCGCTTCAATGCCTTTCGTTCTTCAATGCATTCAATACGCTCCCAAGCAGCGTCGAAAATTTGCCTCAAAGTTTTGTCAACAAGTCGGAATGGTTGAGGCAATTCATCGAAAATTTGATCTGGATCCACAACAAAATTGTCATCGACTTCATCTTCCGAAGGAGGTGTTGTTGGTCGCTTCGGTTTCTTAACACGCATTTTTAAAAGTCTTATAATTCAAATGTTTTACTACTTTTCTCAGCAACGTGGTTGTTTGTAAGACATGAAAGCCTTTCCAAGATCTTGTTTATCCGCCATCTTGGCTTTCCTTGACAACGAAAAAATTGCCCAGTCTCTCACGAGATAAATTGTCCTCGACCGACCCAGTTTTTTCGTGGAAGGTCAAAGGTACGCCGAAGACGGGACAAGTACTGTGAACACGTAGTAGTACGTAAGTCATTAATCGAACTTTTCAGCTTGAGGCAGGACAATTTTTCAACTGTCGGGGAAAACATGGATGTAGTCTCTGCAGTGGTAAAGTACAATCAACAAACGTTAGGAAGGGATAAACTGTGTCGGTAAGTGAGAATCAAGCGAAGTTGTAACTACTTTACGTGTACCAGTTACATATGGAATAATAAATTATACAATTTTGGTGTTTTTTATCGATAAAATATTTTCTCCGTCGTAGATTGAAACGAATTTTGGTATTTAGAAATGTCGAATTATATTGATATATTAAATTTTTAATGAATTCAGTAAATCTGTGTTTTGGTAAGCCATAGTACATAAGGGAAATTATTTGCGATCGCTATGGCCATTAATAAACACGTGGTATAATTTGAAGCAGTGTCATTGTATTGACGTCAAACATACGTACAAATGTTGGCACTTATTTCACGGTGGAGCAATTCTCTTGCATAGTTTTTTATACCACCCATGCACGAGATAAATTCTAGTGTTTCATTTACGTATGTCTGTCATGGGATAATAATCTATTTGTTTTGAACAATCATGTGTTGATGAGAACGAACATTGAGGGGGTCGCGTTATTCAAAGTCATGCAATCTTTTTGTCATTAGAGCATGACAGCAACATATCACTCTGAATTTGCTCTCCTTCAAAGCGAATACTAGCGATAAATATAATTTGATTTCTTCAATAAAATCTGTGGCGATTTCAAAAGATCACATCATGTGTACAGGCATTGACAGATATAAGTTATATGACTGACCATTCTTTGTGTAAATTGTACAAGAAGTAAAGTTTTCTTGGGCATCGCATCGCTGTTATTATAGTTATATTTTTTTGTGTGCAGCCAGATAACTCTTTAACAAGCGTCCTATTCCATTTTCTGATTATCTGTCGAGTCATCTGATGTTCTCTTCTGCCTTTATAACTATTGTGCAATGCCACACGTGGATTTAGATTAATTATGCAGTATTAATATTTGGTAATATTGTAAAGTTGTCATGAACACGTATCCAAGAAAACACATCATAGGTGAAAGTGATTGGTAACCACTACAGCCCACCACAAGTCAAAGTCCATATATCCACAAAAAACATTATTGAACCCCTTCTTTTGAATAAATAGTCAATAAAATATTTGATCTCTGTCAGTTTACTTTTTGGTTTTTGTCACCAGGATTAACATTTTGTTTTAGAAATAAATGTGTTAGTTCTCATTCTTTATTTTTGTTTTAAGTTCAGATGTTGCTTTTGATTAAAAAAAATGTTAATTCTTGCCAAATGTGCTTGAGAAACCAAAATCATTTTGATTAGTACTTGTGAATTTCTTGTCATTAGGATCATCCAGTATGCCTCAAGGTTGTCCAGTTATCTTCTTCAACAAGGTGGCGCAAGTGTTGATTGGGTGAATAGGGCAAAAACACTTGATAAACAGACAAGCACCTCAAGGAAATGTAAGGAGTTTTTTAAGATGAGATTAATTGATATTAGGGTTTTAGTCAACCAGAGACTGCTTGAACTTTGTACAGGTCTACAGGGGGGCTTTCCTTTTCAAATTTAGTAGCAAAAGAGAAAATTTGAACTGGCAGAGAACATGGGCAGCAATCCATTCAACATCCATTTCTTTCATAATATCCCTTCAAACAAGGAAGTTTTCATTTTGACCATTACTGCAAAAAGATTCACAGGTGACAAATAATGCCAATTAGAAGCCAAAATTTAAAAATTTTTTTATGTCATATAGTTTTTCCTGTTTACCATGACTTTGAAAATCAGAAAAACACTGATGTCACTTGTACAATTTCTTTTTCAGTATTTAGGTTGGGAAAGAGTTTGGACATGATAATTGGTGCGATTAGAGCTAAGGACATCCATCATGACAACATTCTGAAGGTCCTGATCATCTGCCGACGAGCTACATTAGCCCTGTATTATATCATTGATCACATAACTTGGGCTGCAAGATTGGGACTCTATAAAGCTACCCCAAAGGATTGGTCCAAGTTTCAGGCAAAATTCTGGGCCATTGCTCTTGTGTTTGGCCTTCTCAGAAACCTGTATGAGATCTTGAACCTAATTTTTGTTCCAATTAAGAAACATGATGGTGGAGAAGAAAGCAATTCACAAGGAAGTTCTGTTACATCCCGGCTGATGACCCGTCCCCAACTTTTTCTTGACACAGTCAAGAATTCAGCTGATTTCCTGTTGCCTTTCAATGTTATGGGTGTAATTGAGTTGAATGTTGGTTTGGCTGGGTTACTGGGATTAATTTCATCAATTGCAGGTGCAATACCTGTTTGGAATCCTAACATGAAATTGAAACCTTCTTAGAGATGCAATTGGATGATTTGATGTAGTGTACTTGTGATCAAGGCTGACAACTGGCTACACTATAGAACTCTTAATTTTATCAAGGGGGAATTTTTTGTGCTATTACACTGTTATCAGTGAGTGCAGTGCATTTAGTTGCAGTGTTAGAGAGGCAACCTTTCTTAAGGAAATAGTTGTCATTATACTCTATACCGCTGTATTTTAATATGTATAATTTAATTTGTGCCATTAATATTAGTGAATACAGAATTTGTTTGAAGTGACCCATGCCTAGCAGCACAACTCTATCATGTAGCTGAAATAATTTTTCCGATGAGATGGTCAGTGACTTGAAGAAATTACTGATTTATTCTTTTTTACCCTTAAGAATAGGCCAATCTTCCTGAGATGTCTGGGGAATCAAGAATTACTTATTAATAAATACATGCAAGTAGTTGTATTTTCAATTTCAAATGATAGGCCAGAGTAAGAACAAAAAAGCTGATGACAGTGAAAACATCTGTTGTGAACACTAATATATTTTCTATACTATTTTGCTTTGAACTTGATGGCTTGTTGTGTAGGTTAAAAAAAATATATGAAAACCTAATGAAATCAACTTTCCATAATTTCTTTTTCCAGCACTATGTTAATTCTTGTTAAATTCCTGTTCCTCGCAATGACACAAGCTTAGGGAAATGCTGTCTCAGCAGAGGGACATGCAAAACGTTACAGAGCCCCAAATATGCAGAATGAAAAGCTCAATGTCCAGAAAAAGCAATTCTTTTTAAACCAGTATTGTGCTTTGGAGCACATTGGGGAAGCACTCCTTTGAAGTGAACACTTTCACCTAGAAATGATTGCTTGCACATCCATAAATGTCAAATCTCAATTTGAATATATAAAGATGAGTGATCTTTGAACTTCTATTTACATTAAACTTTACAATCAGCTTGAAACTCAAATATGTTTTATCCTAATTGGAAAAATTTTTAAACTCATCGCACAATGTTTTTGCTATAAAATGTTATAAATAAGTTCATCAGATTAATTATATAATTGTTTCTACACCTGCTTTTAGAATATCAATGTATTTATCATACCAAACAAACACAATTTGTGTGAAGAAATAACAAATGAAAACTGTTATAAGGAAATATAAAGGTAAATCCTAGTTTTCTCAAATCTCCTACCCAACTCGGCAGTGACTATTGTGATAAAAGTTATCTTCAACCTATACTTATTGTATAGTTAGAGATTAGAATTCTCCATTATTCTTTATTTGCAACAGTGCTCATTGCATTTTAAACCATTTAAAATGACTACCATTATCGCTTTTCAATATCAGCCTTCCAGACATGAATACATTGTCAGTCATTTGAAGCAGTACAAAAAAAGTTTCGGCAACAAACGACAACCAAAAGATAGCTGAGAATCCGCTTCTGTCAATGCAAATGCAGCAGTTAAAACTGCTTGCTATTAATTTATTCCTTGAAGGTTTCTTTGTCACCCCAATTCTCACAAAACGAATATTGTGAGATCAAGAATCCATCTCAAAGCAGTTTACTATTGACAATAGTTTCTCTAACTGAGAGCTGCCTCCATTTCACTGTACCATCTCCCCCACAAGAGAACAACTGTCCATTGTGGAGGTTCATAAGAGCCACACCCTGAGTCCCGTACTTGAGAAGATAAGCCCCTTTGCCATGTTCTTTCGGGTAACACTCTAACTCTTCGTGTACTGACAAACCCCAGACCTGAAATGTGAAAGCAATGCTATAAAGTAACGGTACAGAAGTGACTAAGAACGAAAACAAGTAATCCCCGTGAGTTATTTACAGAAACCTGAACTTTCTGTTCCGATTAAGATCAAGATAATTTCCACAACCAACCAATTACAATGGTTGTCTGGTTCTTCAAAATTGTGCGCGCGCATAGCTGCTCCGATGGACGCGAACTATATCAAAACGAGCAAAAAGGGATACTGGTAACAACCAATCTACATAAAAGGTCTAATCATAAGCTAATGATGACTACAAAATGATAATTCTAAGTGTCTTTCGCCGCGACGGGTAAGAAGTAAGCGAGAGGCTGTAACAAGAAGAAATTGATTTCAAAAGTAAACATTTTTCCAGTGCGCCTGTCTCATTAAAACACGATTGTACTCAAACCAAGTTATTCCGTTTACGGATACCTTAATATCGCCATCTTCAGAGCCTGAAATGAAGAATTCTTCATTTTCATCCACAACTATGCTCTTCACTGGCGCATCATGAGCTAAAAATGTGTGTCGCAGTTGACGTTGTCGTAGATCAAATATACCTTACAACTGTTAAGGACGCTCATTTTAGTTTTCGAAACCTTTCATAAGACATTCATGAGGAAAACACAAAGAGAGGATATGGACAAAAAGCAGGAACAAAGTATAGCGGTAGAGGAAAAAACTACTGAACCATTAAATTTTAAATATAACATTCCTTTTCTACGAAACACCACCATTTGCTCAGTTTAAGTCTGAGTGAATCACGGCTCAGATTGCCTGATCTGACAGCTTCTCTGTAGAAGTTCACTGAAGTGATGATCTCGCTCTCACCCAACCCATCTCTATGGAGAAGGCTAAGCCGGCGATGAAAGGAAGTCAACAGTTGAACTTTAAAATAACAGTCACCTCTTCCAAACGATACAAAGCCAACTTCGCCATCCCTAGTAGCTTTAACGTTTTTCGCGAGTTACTTAAGGATACAAATATTTCCTTTACGTCCTCCTGAAATGAGTAGTTGCTGACCAGGAACGTGCGCAAGACAGGGCGCTCCATTTTCATGACAAATAAATGCTGTCGAACAAGGATTAAAAGAGGAAAACTTTATCAAACGCTCCGATTAATCAAAACTGCAACTGTGGTGTAAATTTACATGTAAGCATCCCAGTCTCCATCGAAAATGCTGTTTGGTCTCGTCACGCGTGCGCAGGAAAACACTTGTAACCAGGCTAGTCACACTTGGAGTGACCAGCAGGTTCTGATTGGCTGTGACGTTCGCGGCAAATTTTTTTTTTCTTTTTTGGGTTTCTGTTTTGTTTGTTTGTTTTTTTACCAAATTACTGATCGTGTATTGATCTTGTACTGCTCACAAATGCGAAAAAAGATACTTATTCTCAAAAAATTAATATTAAATGAGTCTTACCATGAACAAGTGAACTGTGCTGAGGGACTAAAGTATCCCAAAGGCAAACATTGCTGAGAGGAAGAAAAACAATTCCGTAAATAAGCTACAGCAATACGTAAGCTGGAAAGGAAATTCTAGAAAACCTAATCGATGCCAGGGTACAGCTAACTGAAACGTGTTTATACGAAGCTTCAATAGTAACAACAAAACTGCCAAAACCAACGTAATTGTGAAGCTTACCTTCCATCCGAGGAGTGTCCTGCCGTTGCTATAAAGCTCGAGGAGCCAACAAACGCAAAGTCATTGGTCTGTTTATTGTGACACTTTAGAGTCTGGAATAATTCGAGAAAATTGAGATTAGCTATCGACGGTTAATGTTCATGTTTTTTGGGTCGCATATAGAGCAGCAGGTAGAGCTGTTAACATAAAAGTCTTACCAGAAAAGGATCAGCAGATGTGGATGTACTACTAACTTGCCATAAAAGCAACTGACCACTGGCATCTGAAATTCCGACCTGCAAAACATGCAGACAACAGAGTGGTAACAACAAGTCTGTAAGTGGGACGACCGTGAAAGATTTCATGAAAGTTTCCAATGTCTCATCAAAGATGGTAAGTCAATTTTCTTTTAAAATTTTCATGGATGTTTATCACTGAGTGTATCATTCAAATGGTGAACCTCTCACGTAAAATTATAAAGCCTGAAAAAACTGCAGGTAATCATTACCTGCAGTAATGATCAAAATATTCAACATTCCGCGAGGTAAAATATTGGTATTTATCCAGCCTAGCCCATGAAATAAGCAAACTATAACAAAAAGCGGCCAAAAGCCAGACCATCAAAACCTTCAACTTCCAAAACTCCTCAAAGTGAATTGGTGATGAGATGAGATAATTTTGCCGGCAAGGTGTTCATTTAATATAACAGGAAATTCTCTTAACTTATCTACCAGGAAATGTGTTGCAGCTCGAAGGGAGAATTACGAAACAGATCCTGAATATACCTTGTTTCCATGCGGACTGAACCGTGCTCTCGTCACTCTTTGATACGAACCAGATGTACGATGGGATGTGATCTCCTGCGCATGACCAAATTCCCACATACGAATGCTTCCGTCTTGAGAGCCGGAGATGTCTATGCGACGAAAAAAGATCAAACACATGTCAGGTTCAAATTCTAAGACAGTAATAGAAAATGATGGCAGCTTCTGTTTAAACTCACAGTAAGGGAGATGAGGGTGAGAATCCATCCGTTTGACACCATGCACAGTTCTCCTGAATAGCTGCAAAAATGAGAAACACGTATATAGTTTTCAGCGATTCTTGACACAAAATTAGAACTTTCTCTCTGATTGCATTTTTCCTGAACTTCGAGGCGTTTTAACGTTAGGAGTTCCAGCCGCTTGGAACATCACTTCTCCTCCCCACCGATTTAAAGTAGCAAACAGGTTATGTTATTCTACTACATGTTGGAACAACATTGTTACACTTCTATTGTTTTTTAAATACGTCGCCCTCTCTTCTCGCTATTCGTTACTTGTATCAACAGCGGAGCAAAATCTCTGACAGAACACTCAGCAGGATCGATGAAAGAGACAGCACTAACCACTGTGCCTGAGTGAAGAGACTGTCCACCTGGTGTACTCTTCTGAGGGCTGATATTTCCAGTTTGATTAAAATCGGACTCATCACTAAATGAAATAATGGAAAAAAAAATGAAGTAAACGATTAAAAAGATTCCAACGGTCAGGGGGTACTGTAATAGTATGTGAAAACGGGCTTAACTGTACAATATGTTCGAGAAAAAATTCGTAAGAATTGCAGTAAGTAGCAAGCAAAGAGGTATATTGGAGTATCATTGTCTGAGCTTTCACTACAGTGACCGCATAAGAATGTGCGTGCTTGGTTTAGCATTAATGTACTTAAACAACGCAAAGAACATTATTGAAACATCTGGAATTAATAACTTGCAGCTTTTTAAGGCAACAATGAACTGAAGAAAGCCTTCAGATCCAGTTAAGAAATGACTGCTTTTCCACCACACCCATCCGACACAGTCACAAGCGATATTGAGCTACAACATCTTTATGTAAATACGTTAGCTGAGATTTCCAACTTCTCTCGAAGGCGTTTACAACACCTCCTTGCAATCAGCATCAAATCAATACTGCTACATAACCTTTCAAAAACTTAACAAGACTGCCTAGTTTAAAGAAAATACCTTCTTCGCTGAGCATCACTCTGTTCGCGTTCAACTTCATCTTCAGCCCACAGCAGAGGTTCAGGACTTAACACGCGAGAAATATCCACTTCTTCTACGTCCTTGAGACTCCCTACAGCGATGCAGTTTGGATTTGCCTACAACACAAAGTTAAAAGATTACATTTAAGGCCGACATCTTAGGTTACTGAGGCTGTATCTAAGCTGATAGATGAGACTGTATCTACCACAGACAACGTAGGTAGCTGTATTAACATAGTAGATGGCTATATATATATATATATATATATATATTGTAGACAAAGTAGACAGTAAATAAATTTGTCCATAGCGTGAATAAAGCATCAGACGAAGTTATCTTATGCTGTTCGAGCATGAATATACACCTAAACATCTTTGAAGAAAACACTACCACACACACACGCGATAATTATACGCACCACTCGGTAGCGAGCTTATAAATAAGTTAATGTCTGAACGTGAACATGCTAATCGCACGTGCAACATTAGTTCGGTTGCCTTCCTAAGAGCGGTCATATGGCAATTGAACCTTCGTGATGTAAAAGAGGATCCCAAAACTATAAAGTACAGTGATACCTTGTTGATGCAAAACGTGTTGATACCCTCTGGGTCTTTATATAAAACTTTCACAGGCTTTGCGTCTGATACAACATCCACGTGATCAAACTAGTACATAGAAGACAACAGCGAAAATATGATTTATAAAGAAAAAGGAAAAGTAACCGCAGTACTGGCTTGAACTTCAACTTTGTTCAAGTCCTATTTAGCAATAAAGCTTACAAACTTTCCACTTAGTCGAGACAATTTTGTCCAGAACAGAAAAATCTCAGTTTGGATATTATGAGTCCAAACATTTTCTCGACATTTTCAAACAGACGCACAGAAGGGATGAACCGTCTTCTTATAACTCGAGAAAAAAGGTTCGAGGAGTATACCTCTTCCATCGTCGTCATGTCATTCTTGAACATATTCTGTATGAAGATCTCCTGTATAGCTTCTTGATGTACCAAAGTTCGCCATAACCGTTTAACAGGCTCTGCAGAGTTACGAGTGGATCTACAGGAGAGAAATATATCCAGTTACAAAAGTGGCAGGATGTTTGTCGGTCTTCGTTTGTTTGATCGGTATTGTTTCGTTTGTTCGTTCGTTTGGGCGGTCCATGGTTCGGTCAGTTGGTCAGTTTTCGGTCGGTCGGTTTACTCAGTCGTCCGTTTATTTGTCTGTGGGGTCATTGGGTCGTTCCTTTGAGACCGCCCCTGATTCAATATTCTTTATTAATACAGTTAGAGCCATGTTTGCTTATACAGCTACAGGCTAGAGAGGTGTGGCACGGAAGCCACGACATCACTGATATTGGTTTTACCTAAAAGGAGTATTTTGTGGATCCATCAGAGCCTTGTATCTCATTAAAGCTCGTCCACCTCTTGGAAATCCATCTTGGCTTACAGGGAACTGTGAGATGAAGTCAGGGGGAGGTCCCTGGAAAGTCTCGAGTTTGTCGAGGAAAGTTTGGGTCCAGCGCTCCACCGTCTTCAAAGCCGCATGTAACTGAGGTGATAAAGAGGGTAAATCTGAGGAAAGAAGCCGAAAACAAAGCTTGAAATATGTCAGTGACCACCATAGAGCAAAAATAAACTAATACAACTAAAGTGTTAACATTCTACAGCGAATTTCAGAACATAGTCTTAATCTTACCGGTTAGTTCAAATCCCACATCTGGCAGAAAAGATTGTAAATTAGTGAGCACCAGTTTGCCAATGGTGTAATTCATGAGACACCAGCCATAAGATTCAGGATCTAGGTGATCACGTGCTTCAGTTTTCTTCCTTCGTTTGGTTGAGAAATACTCAAGATCACTTTCAGCGTCACTTTCAAACAAGTCATCATCTTCCGAGTCGCTTGCATCATCTTCAGAATCGTAATGTTTCACGCCTTTCTCTCCAATTAGTGGGGGCTGAAATATTAACAAAAGTATACCACAATGCTAATTGAATAATGCATGTCTAGTTACTTTGTAAATTCGAATAGCTCTTGAGGAATTTTATCCGTGAACTTTCAAACAACTAACGACTTTGTTAATAGAAAACTTCAAAACAATGTCATCTAAGCAACTGCGCACCTACCCCTCCCTAATTAACCCAACAACAGTCAACTGATAACAAGTTGAGGTTTCTGTTGGGTTTGGCGAAGGGTAGATGTGCAGTGCACAGATACTGACAATGATCACGAAACTTCAAAGACAATACGCAAAAGCACTTTCAGTTACTGAAGATAAATAGTCAAACAGGTTAAACAATTATTTGTAAAATTACTTATCATAAAGTGGGTTCAAATACAATACATGGAAACAGGTTAAACAATTATTCCAATTCAAACTTAACGATGTTCAAACTTAAAAAAAAAAATCATGGCGCGCACCGTACCTTGCTGATAAAGTATTCCATAAGAGTACTTCTTGGTGGAATGAACTGCTCAACGTAAACAGGTTTCACATCAGTTGACAGCCACTGAGACATGGTTTCTGTTAGACTCTGGCCTAACAGCTTGAAGTTCCATCTTTGCCGAGCACCTTGCCAATACTTGTCACCTCTTCCTCGTCCATTAGGATTGACAGCCGCTGAAGTTCTTTGCTTCTTTTTGACATCAGTCCCAACGCCTTACAAGATAAAATTACCTAATGTGGATTTCCTCCTTTACGTAAACCGAATGTGATGAACGATCAAAACCGTGACTGGGTTAACACGAGCAAAAAAATAAGGGGGAAAAATAAACCATGTTTTCTTAACTATTTTTGTAAGCTTTGAATGCATTTGGGTGCTCGCATACTTTCCCTTCTTTACATTTCGTCCGTTAAGGTGATGATCTGTCTTCTGGTCAAACTAGCTTAACAAGCCGGACTCCACTCTTGATTGCCCGCTTGTTCATCGAAACTAACTCTGCCCGTGAAAATCTGTGTGAGCCCCTGGCTCATTTACACCTCCAAGAGGAGAGAATAAAATATTTGCACTAAAAAGCACGTGCTCATCGACTGGCATTTGAAATCAGACTGCTGCACATGTCACGTTACCGCAAACAGCCCATTAATTCGTGATCGCGCATCTAAATGTAACACGGTTGCATGCAACAAGTTCTTCTGTTTTCGCGACATAAGTTTGAAACCCACCAGCAGATTGTTGAACAACGGTCCTTAGGCCTCCACCGAACACCAAACCCCACATGCCTGACTTGAGTGAATTTACAACCAATCGATAGAGTTGATTGGGTTGAGAATTGGACCATGCAAGAGCAAGCAGACTCAAGTATACGGCAACACACGACTCTGCCAACAGAATCCGCAGCTTGGTGCTGTTATCTTTCTGTTCAGTGGCCAGCAGCGAGAGGAGCAAGCGAACACCTGGCCACTTGGAAGGAGCACCGGTAAGCGCTGCTGGTTTGTTTGCATCCGATGAGCTGCTTTTCTCTGCAAAGAACCACCATTAAAGTATTTAGGAAATGATGAGGTGTTTCTAAGATACCGTCAGTATATCACAATCAGTACCTGTGGCAGGCTTTGAGCCACTTGAAGAATTCTCTTCTTGAGTCATGCCGGTTAAACTTTGATAGATGCAGTCTGACAAGGTTCCTGTCAGGTTATGCAGCACATTTGCCAAGCGAATCGGATGGCTGGGGGATGGTGGACCAGGCAAACTGTGCAAAACAAAGTTTTGAGGATGAAATAACAGATTGTTTCAGCATAAGACTCCTTAGATAGGTTCGTCCACGTACGTATGAAGGGGCACGAGGTGACATGAAATTACCGGAAGCACAATGAGGATTGAAATGACGTGAAGTGACATGAAATGACAGGCCGTGACTTGAAGTGAAACAAAAGGAATTATGAACACAAATCAATATCACCTGAACACAAATCGAAGAATATCCTGCGTGAGAGATTGTAAGAATCCAAGAGGGCTGGCCAGAAATGAGGAAGCAGATACTGAGGCCAGGATGAGGGGTGGAACAGAAGGTCCTGCTGATGGTACGCGCAGGGGAGATACCAAGGAATGCATCTGCTCCACCTCATGAAGGAGAAGTAGAAGTTCCATATTCATTGCTACATAGAAAAGAACAACACATATCTTTGAACACCTCCCATTCCATTAAATTTGGCAATAATGTCTGATTGAATCGTGCTCATCTTTCGTCAACAAAACACAGTTTGGAGCTTTACGACAAACGCGATAAACTGCGTTAACGCTTCAGCAACCTGGTGTTTTTTTTGTGCCACCACAACTTAGGTCTAATTTCAGCCTTACTGGATTAAAGCTGATAAAATATTTAGTTTTCTTGATCATACTTTAAAGTTGAAGCCATTAAAACGAAATGAGCAGCTTCTTTGATTCTAGATAAGTCTGCCCAAGATCAAAACGCTTAGCGTCTCCCTGCCTTTTACAGGGGTCTGTTGCCAAACTTTTAAGTTCAACATGATGAAAATATGTTACCTGCTAGATCTCCGCCGCTAGCTCCATGAAGCGAACAATAATTCAGTAAAATTGTGAGAAGCTTCTGGTTCTTTTTCAGCCACTGAATATGCTTGGCTGAGCGATCGATTTTTAACGCAATGTAATTTTTATCTACCGCACTTCCCTCTTGCGATTCGTCTGCTGTTCAAACAAAATATCACTAATGATTAGTATGATAAGAAGTAGTTTGGTATCTTGAACTCTTCTTTTGCATGCATCAAACTCCCTAAAAATAGGCACACAACTGTGACAAGAAGAATCTTTCAGGCACACCATCGTCGTTCAATACAGTACAAGATACACGCATAGTAAACATTTTGTACTCATGTAATATAACAATACACATGGATAATCTGATCTTAAAAACTGTCTTATTTCAAATTATACCAATTTGTTATCATCACAGCTATCAAATAGCACACCATGCCATAATTAGTCACAAATTGACTTTTTTCTTCTTCATACAGGACGGTGAATCCAAACTCGTTTCCTGTTCAAACCTGTCTACAAGATATCAATTCACGATCCGACCACCGTCCATCCTCTGTATAATACGTAAAGGTAAAGGAGACAACACAACTCTATCGCAGAAAATAAAAGCGTTTCATACCTGATTGAATGTTAATTTCAACAGTGTCTTCCTCCTCATCTTCACTTTCCTCTGCTACAATACCATAGTCAGACATCTTGTGTAGCACTCCGAGCTCTTTTTCTAACCACTTGATGAAAAACGGTCGCAAATCTTCATCAGCAATCTCGCAACTTGATGGCAAACCGTGTAGTTCGTTGATTAAGAGTTTAATAATTGCAGAAAACTTCATCTGTTGTGCAACTACGTCCAAATGTCGCGTCTCCTTAGGCTTGGAGGGAAGTTCATCATTATGTACCTTAGAATCACTTGCGGTGTTGTCTTTTTTATACTCAGAGTCTTCATTAGTTTCGTAACTATTGTTGGGGTAAGATGATTGGTTGGATTCTAAGCCGTTTACACCATCTAGCCCCAGTCCACCCAGCTTCTCGGACACAGGTTGACTCCAATCAAATCCATTTGAAAGGTCGTCAAGACCGTCACCACTCAATTTAGACGACACAGGTTTTGACCAATCAAAATCGTCGACACTTCCACCTCCTAGATCAGGCGCTAAAGGCTGACTCCAGTCAAAATCAGCCGCTGAATCGCCACCAAGCTTGGACGAGACCGGCTTACTCCAATCGAAGTCATCAGCTCTCCCATTCACGGCTGTATCAGCGCCACCGAAGGAAAAATCGCCGAGTGTTCCTGTGCTGATCATATCACCTGTCACATCGTCTGCCATGTTGCTAGTGTCCTCCACGGGGGAATCACCTTCCGCAACAGTGCTTGCATCTCCCGCAGATATGTCAGTAGCTGGAAGCTCCATCAATACCTGCAGCGCTAAAGCGGGACATCCAGAATTCAAATGCGCGTGAGCAGTCTTGAAAAACAGTTGCCTCTCCATGGGCGTCAAAGGTTCGTCAAGTATTTCCTCTTTGCGGATGCTTCCCTGTCTGAGATAAAGTTTTCTCACACCTGATTTCATTTTGATCTTGTTGTCGTGTTCATACATGAATCTTCTTCTTTTAATCAGGGGATGTTTGCGCAGGTAGAGATAAAAATTGAAGACATCAGGATTACCGCTGGCGGCTAAAGAATTGCATTTTTTCTCCTGGGACTTGTGTCCTGTTGGTTCAAATATCAATGTTTCCAATGCTTGGTTGTAGTCTTTCAAGATCCAGTAAGCGATGCTTCGGAGGAATGGGTCTGAAATGTTCACAAAAAAAGAGCAAGCGATCTCAGGTTATACTGTAAACCAACAATCGCTTCAGACGAGAGAAAGAAGAGGGGGGGCGGGGGGCTTAAGACCCCTTCAAGGTTAGTACTTGAAACCTTGTAGCTATCACTTCCATAAGAAAAAGCCTAAATTTAGGTTTTTTTAATTTTTTTTTTAATTCATCCACACCACGGTAATTAACCACCATGAAAGATTTCGCTTACCCTGAGTTGGCTCATGCGCACTACCACCTTGACCTAACAAACACTCCTTTAAGATGCGAGTGTAGAGGGCCCCCCCTGAAGCGTCTTCCTCATACAGCCGAGCGAGGACCATGGCTAGTTGAACGTCTTGCAATCGACTGATGCAAACCTGAAAAGTGGGAGCAGAAGCAATTTAAACATAGCTTAATGCCTCAAGAACGGCTTGAAAGGAACGCCTGTTTTAGTAACAAAACAGGCGTTACCGAATGAAAAACAAAAAAGATATAAAGAAAAAGATGTAAATGACGCATCTAATCATTTTCTTCTGAGTCTCTGACAAAGCCTTCGTGAAAAACTGGGATTATTTATTCAGTGAGAATGAAAGTTACATCTCCACACGACTGAATTTCTACAAAGTACCTGTATCGCATCCCACAAAGAGCCAGCCAAAAGGAAGAACGCCGCGGCGTGATCAAATCTCTGCTTTCCTAACAAAGAATAAGCATTCTTGAGAGCTGCCTTGCGCCATCTGTCTTGTGTAAAATCCCGAGCAAAAAACTGCGACATCTTCGTGTCTCTTACAGTTCTGAAAAATTAAAAAAAGGTATAGGAAAGGGTTCAAGTTTGTTTTGAAAACTTCAGCTATGGTGATCAAAAAAGGAAAAAGTCCACGTTCAAAAAAGAAGTTCATTAGCAGCGAAAGTGGGAGAAAATTAAAATCTAAATTACCGATATGCAATCGAAGTCATGACCTTTGAGATTAACGGGAAATATTGGATTAACTTAAGATCAATCAGTCAGGCCTGGAAAGATCTCCATGTTCTGTATTTTGTGATAAAATTGAGAAAGGTAGTTTTGAAATAAACATTGTGTTTAAATGACCGGAAATTTAAACCTGCACGAAACCTGATGCACAAACGGACAAACCACTCATAAATTTCAACAATAAGCGAGAACAAACCTGTACAACCCACAGATTACATTCTTTTTCTTCATGGCCAGGTAAAACAGAGCACAGTCAATGGGATCTTGGTTCTTTGAAAACTGTGCTTTAGCCGTCTGCGCAAAGTCTGTTAACTAGGGGTTAAAAGATTTTAGTCAAACACAAAACACCCCCCTTGAATAGTTAACCAGTCTTAAAAATGTTAAACTCAAAAAGATTTCACATCTTTTAATGGCCCATTAATGATAAACATTCGGAATCCACCACCACGCCGCATTCGGAATGTGGTGGTTTACTTTCAACCTTCTCTACAAACCCTCTCAGGTTTTTGTTGGAGTGCGCACCGAATGGGTCTCACGTTGAGGTGTACACAAAGTTTTTGTTACCTTCTCGATCAGCCTTCTCTTTTTGTGGACTCAGCGAAAGAGTTTCATTGCTCCCTTCTCCACCCACCCTTCTCACCCCTCAACCACCCAATGCCGTAACGTCTCAGTTCCGACCAAGTGGCCTCACCTCTCAGCACGGGAGGAACCATGGCTAATAATTCCTCCTCAGATTCAGAATGAAACGCCCATCCGTAATATGATGATGACAAGCCCTGCAAGAATTTCACTCTTGATATACTCTCTTAACAAAGGAAGTCTTTGACAATTCATAGCAATTAAACGTATTAAGAAGGCAGTTTGTCGTGGAACATTAATTGCAGCCTTAGCCCTGACCCCAAGCCCAATCACAAGGAAACTTGAGAATTTCCCTCCCCACTGGAGGGCAATACAATAAAGTCTTGAAATTAAAATTAGTTTGATGAAACAACGACGAAAGAAATGGGGAAATCAAGTATGAGGAGAGGGATTGCTGTCGGCATGAGAGAGGTAAATGCCTACAAAGATGAAACAGGAGTGTTGACTGTCTGAAGATGAAAGGTAAACGTCGGCACAGCATAAGGAGGCCAAGTGAATGCGTTCATAGGAAACGGGAATATTTGCAAAAAGGGTGGGGTGACTGCATCTGTATCTGTCGATGTTCTTCTCTGATTTGGGAAATGATCGTCCACTCGGAAAGGTGCATTTCTGCCAGAGAAAGACATGTCCCCATAAGCGAGTTGGACTGTAAGATAAACAATAAATTTTACCCTTTCCTCCAGCACTGCCCTGTGTTTAGGAGGCAGTGACCTCATTAGGCAGGTATGATGTCTCATGGCAAGTAAAAAGCGCAACCCACACTCATCCACAGCATCTCCGCCACTCCCTGCTGTTGCTCCAATGCTTCCTGTTGTAGCGTATCCACCTCCGCCTCCACCGGGACCTCCCATCAGACCACCTACGCTGCTGTAACTTTCCTCTGCAAAGAAAAATAAACTTTGGTAACAGGCTACAACACGGTTTGTAGACGTTAAAGAATTGAGACTACAATTTCAAGATCGTCTTTCCTAATCTTTTTCAATCCTTGTTCAATCGTCCTGGAACTACTCTTCGCCCTTTTCTGTTTGTCAACTCACTCCTTTATCTGTGGTTTTACGCTATTTGACCCTAACTAGCCTCTAATTTCTCCTCACAATATATTCCCCGAATCACACATTAAGGTCAAAGGAATAAAGAACTTGATCACCAACTAAAGAAGTTCTTGATTGTTAAACAAATATTCCTTGTCAGCGCCTTAGAGAGTATAATCAGGACGGATGGAGAATATGCATACAGAGGGTGTAGAAGCGTTTAAGACGATACTCTCTAATCCTCGAAATTACTTGAATTGTTGTCGTTTAAAACCGGCTCACAAAGTAAAGTTGTGGCTATATTTCAACGATAATTCGGCAATAAAACATTTTGAGGTACCCTCTTTCTTCGCAAACTTCACTCCTCTTTCAATTGAACCAGGACTTTCCTCCAAGTCGAGCTTGGTTGAGGCAAAGGTATCTGCCAGAGCCAACAGTTCCAGTTGTTCAATGCTGGTTAAGCCGGGAAGAGGTTTCCTGCTTAGCTGATGGGAAAGCAACTGAGCCTGGAAAAGACGAATTCAAAGTACACTGAAACATGAGATAAGAAATGCTACATCAAATATACGAATCATTGGACCGTGGAAATGTAAAGGGTTGTATACCATTTACACTCGATGGGATTTTTCCCGGAAATCATCGACGGAGAAGACGTAAAACCATTTTCATCCTCCAAGGAGACGTCACACATTGCTTCCAATTAATATTTACTACAACTCCTTTAAGGCGCCTGATTGAGGACCTTCACTACTGCCATAAGTAATTTAAAAAATACATTCTCTCTTTAATTAAAAAGTATCAACATAGGGTTTACGAGGCTATTTAAGCTACCATATATGTTCATTTGACTGAAACAGTCTGTTTCACAAGGCTCGATGTATCATGCAAACCTTACTCGGTGGATTTAAAAAACACAATACCAATTCATGCAACAAGACGGAAAGGCGAGGAATCAAATCCACTTTCGGCGCGCGAACTGGTGTTGAGACAATCGAAAGGCGTGACGATGTTGTCAACCTTCTACACGCGCTGCTGTTGGGATCTCCCTACGTTACTGCGAAATCTCTACTGCTCTGCGACGGAAAACCTAGTAGTTACCGACCTGTGCCAACCCGAAGTGCACCGGACTACCAGCCTGTGCCACATGAGTTGGGGTGCTCTTGGCTCTCTTTTTATCTAAGAATCTGTTGTCTTCATCGTCGGATTCAAAACTGGAGCCATAACGCGATGACTCAAACAGGGTACTGTAGTCTGTTTCATCAGCGGATATTCCTTGTGTTCCATCTACTGAATCAGCTAGGGGAACAGACAGAACTGTATTTTTACGAAACTACGACATAAAAGCATTCAAATCCATGGGTACGCCAGTAGTTGAAAGCCAAACTCTTACAGAACCAAGTTATGATTAATTTCGTAAATATGAAATTTTGAAAAAAACTTTTCCTGGAAATACTTAGAACTACAAGACAAGCAACAGTGATGTCCGAGCATTGCAAAGGACAATTGTCAGGCCGCTGATTTCCAAACTTAAAGTATACTCCATTCTCATCTTCTCTGATTTCACCCATTTATTCAGTTTGAGTTGTCCTAAGTCTAAACAGTAAACATCCGTTAACATAAAGTACAGATCAACAAAAAGTATCAATGCTGATATTAGATAAAAGTATGTAAACTAATCCCTTAAAACTGATAAAATGAAATTATCATCACTCATGCGATCAAATGTAATTCCGGTGACAGGACTGCTTGACATTCGAAGAAAACCGATATTACGTGACATGCCAAACTAATATGAATACCTGCTGTAGCCGATCCACTGCCACTAGTGTCTTTATCAGCTGCAAGCAGAGCATACAACGGTAATGGCGGAACACAAAGTGCTCGTTCTTTTTCGTCGGGCACCAGTCCCTCTAGGTCTGGTTCGCTTGAGCTTGACACGTTTCCAATGCTCTTCATGCTACTCATGCTGCTAAGACGTGGCCTGCTGTGCGCTGATTGGACGACAGCTTTAGTGGCGGCTTCCATGGCTTCACGGCCAGCAACACAGTACACCTACGATAGAGGAAAGCAGCTGTGATTCACTGAACAGGGGCTTGACCAGATCACAAAGGGCACCAATCTCATCGTTGGCAAAAGTCATCCATTTTTTTTGCTACAAATCCAAGATCACCCTGCCAAAATAGGAACTCTCAATTTCTTGATGGGCGAGAAAATTTATTTTGTACCTTTAAAAACGTTTGTACCACAACATTGAATTATTATTTCGTATATAGTAGGTACTGATTATTTTAAACAAGGTGGTTTACCTAAATGCTGATGCGGAAGAAATTGTTTAATTCAGTTGACGTAGTTAAAGTTCTTAGCGTAGTTACAGGAAAAGTTTTGGCGGACTCTAACTAGTGGGGTTGGCGGTGTCTCCTTAGATTTCATGCTGAACTACAGTAACACACTATTTAATATAAATCATACCAAGTGATGTAATATCGCCCGGACTCTCCTTAATTTGCCAAAGTTCATGAGTTCCATGAGATGCTTGGGATGAAACTGAGGTAAAACGGGAGCTATAGTTCCGGCTCCCTCAAACAAACCAATTCCACCCCCTGGCGTTAGTGACAAGGGGACAAGCTTTCCTGACCCTCCCCTGGACACTTCGCTGACCTTCTTCAAGGTTACGGTAGGAGCAAAGGTCATGGTGTCCGAGGGAGAGAGGGTGCCGTCCTTCATTACTCTCCATTGTGAATACACCTGCATTTCGGTGCCCAGGCCTACCACAAGGACTCCATTGCGTATCCACGAGAGTGCTCTTGTTAGCAGCTGCCATTTGTTCTCTGATGTCAAATGAACACTGTGAAGAAGCAGCCATGTTTCCTTGCCAGTGGACGTACTCTCCCCTCTCACAGTTGTATTGGCTATTCTTGACGCACACCCCAAAATAAAGGCTTCATTGCCGATACAAACAGTTAGAATGTACGTACTATCCTCGGCGGAAGTCCATTCTAGACGAATCTGTGAATTATCGGTGAGAAACTTGCAGTCGAGTTTCAGTGTGTCCTCCAGAATCCAGTCCATTCCTCCTGACGATTCATTCTCCCAGATACACACTGAATAGTCAAGCTTTTCTTTTTCCTGCTCTTCAGTGTTCCTGCAGAGCGTGGCAATCCTCCCTGTGTAGGCACAACTGAGCGATAACACCTCCCCAGGTGCATCCAGTCCTAACACACGGCTGTCTGAATGCTCCGTGGAATGAGCACATTTCCTGCCATCTGACAGCCATGAAGTCTCTTCCCACGTGAACCGACCCTCTGAAACAATTTCCCTGCATGACCAAAACCTTACCTTCCCATCTGAACACGACGACGTGAACAAATACCGCGCTGGACAAGTCGGATTTACCGCAGAGGACGACATCTTATCAGCAGCTCTGGTAGCTGTTTTAATTGTCGTTCCACTAGGAAGCGGAAGCTTCTGACGACAAACACACCTTGATACGATACTACTAGTCACGTGCCCTGATTGGGGCAAGTTTAGGGGACTCGCACTCCTGTTGGAAGCGCTACTGCTGCTTCTACTTAAAGGCTGTATAACCTCTGGGTAGGTCGATAGCGACTCCAAGCCTGATCCTTTCAGACTCGTTTCTGGTTTGGTAGCAGTGACAGTGACCTGCCACATGTAAATTATAGACACAGTATCACTTTGCTCATCGGTGATGTTCTCAACACCGACTACGTAAAAAGTGTCTTCAGATCTGTGCGAACTTCGTTGATGATCTTCCTCATTCTCATTACTCGGTTTCTCGTTAGAGGAAAAGAAACAAGAGGACTTTACGGAGCTCTCTGTGAAAACGTGCAGTAATAATGGCTCTCGTAGGACATCCTTAGAGTCAGCTAACGAACAAAGCTTCAGAATACAGCCAGGTGTTGCGCCAGATTGTCTACTGACTATTGACTCAATAAAGCACTCAACAGGAACTGAACTGCTGGGGCTTTCAAAATCTAATGAGTCTAAACTCCCTTCACTACCACTTGAATACAGAGTTGAACGTGTTCTGGTCTTGTTGCTTGATATATAACCTTGTAAAGTTCTGGCATCCAAGATCACTTGATAGAATCTGTAACAAGTCCCATCTAAGGCCAAGAAACACGCACAAGGAGCGACAGCATGGGGCGGAATCGATGTACTGCTGTCGAATGAGATCAGGGAGTGAGAGAAAAGGGTTGGAACCCAAGCTATGTTCAGAAAAGCATTTGGGCGAGAGGAGTTTACACGCGTGAGCTCCATGACTCCACCACTCTGCCGTAACGGTGACACGCTCTCCACCTTCCACACAATGAGTTCGTTGCAATGTAGCTTTCGAGTTTTGCTTTTGTCATCTATCATACTTAGTAACTCCACATTGTTCAAATTGTCTTCGCCCTTACTCGCTTCCATTTCGTGACTTGACGTGGAAAGCATCAGGGGCAGCTCTGGATGAGCTAAGATGTTAGTGATGGGATATCTATGTCCACATCTGCGGGCATGATGAGAAACACTAACAACAGTAGAAAATGATGAGTTGTCAGCAAATGCAAGTTGCCAGAGGTTCAGAGCACCGTCTCTGTGCGTTGAAATCATGATAGCCGTAGGATGCGTCCCTCCTGTTAAATTACCAAAACTTGAACGGGAAATGTTGAGTCCCGTTCCGTTGGCTTTTGTTGCCGTCCGCTGACCTGCTAAGACTACGTCACTCTTGTTGACCATCACGTTCCTCAGAGCTCGGACTTTGTCTTCCCTCGGACAATAAACAATGAGCTTGTTCAATAAAGAGTTCGCATCTGCAGGGGGAAGAACATTGGGGATGCGTGATAAAAAGCTAACTTGAGGCTGTCTGTATGGTACACCATTCTGCACGTCAAGCCATTCCACAAGCCACACCAGAAGTGAACCATCTACGGGATGAACAGCGAGAAGTGTGTCAGGGCTGTTGTACCACTCGTGGAGAAGATTACCAATACATGAGGATACCACTGCGGCGTAAGTACTTGATTCCTCAACGTCACTAAGTGTGTCATCTTGGATGTGTTTTAAGTAATCTAAAGGAGTTCTTGGTCTCGGTGTGGAAGGGATCTTGATTTCTTTCGCCATCTCTGGTGCAGGTATTTCTTTCTTGACAGCTATTGAAAAGATAAAAATACCCACAGCTGTAAAAGAAATTCATATTTACCCCCAACCTTTGCAGATGCCTTCCTGAAAAGAATTAGAACGCGCGTCGCTTTGCTAAGATTAGGCAAAACTCCATTCCTTGTGACCCTAGGAGAAGTCTTTTCTGTTCCATCAGAAAATTCAATAGGTTAGCACCATTTGGGGCACTGGCTCTGCTATGGCTTTTAAGCATATATCTCTTCATCTTTTTGAACATTTTATGGCAAGAAATGGACTGGTCTATTTCGACATCCAACAGAACTCAAACTGCACTGTAAACAAAAAATGCTAATACATTGAAATAAGATCCTCCGCATGGAGCCTTTTTCCGTGAAAAGGTCGCTTGGGAGTTCACGCCTTATGGAGATTATGGCAACTCTACCTAAAGTGTTATCTAGCTGATTCTTACGTTTGTAAGATTCTGGAAATTCCTCGTCACTCGGCACCAAGAGCTCTGCCTCACTGTCACTGTTGGAAGAGTCATCGCTGATGTCTATACTCTCCACTTCAAGAGCGAGAACTGGTGCGCCAAGACATGACTCAGCCGCCATGGTAAACTGAATTTCTTTGTTGTTCAACCAGTGAAGAACAAAACTACTGTGATTACTGCTTGAGATGGAATCAAGCGAGGACAGGATTGGAATATCATTCAGAGCATTCACCGCAACAGCGATGTGAAATTGCAAGGCTGATGGCAGTTGGTATCTCAGTAGAGGATCTTCTGCTGTGTCATCCTTGGCTACAGGCTTTTTCGGTTGCTGTGATAAATGCCACATGCACCTGTGATGATTCTTTGTGGGATGGGAGGGTGAGGCATTGTGGTCACCTTGCTTGATGGACTCACACCAGATGCGGCAGACATTGTCAGTGCATGAAGTAAGAAGACAGTTGGCTACAGTTGAGCTAAAAGATGATAAGACCATAAAGAAACGAATTTGTTGATATTTAGACTTGGCAATTCTTCAGTGAAGTTAGCCGGTTTCTGGTAATTTTAAATTTGTACCCTAAAGTATTGACCTAAATGTCACCAGGAAAGTAACACACACGGTGAAAGACCAAGTAATGCATAAAATTAATATGGAATGGAATGTGGAATAATAATTTCAAATATAAAACTGAAAAACATTGTTTAAAATTTGAAAATATTAACCCTTTTCTTCCTTTACCAACACCATTATACCAACCAGCATTTGCTTATAGTGATGAGAATAGAATTACCAATCAGGAAGGTCAGTGCAGTTTGACACCAAATTCTCTTAACCATAAATAAGTTACAGGGAGGTATATAAAAACTGTAATTAAGGTAAGTTATCAATTGGATCTCAAGAGTCTAAGGGTAATATATCAAAATCTCACACACTCAAGAACTTGTTGGGGGTAAGAAGTAAAGAATGTTTACATACACAGGTATATATTTGCTGGTTTTTCTCCAAGAAATTCCTGTCACTGGTCCAGGATGAGCCAGATACACAAAAGTGTAATCTAAAACACCACTGTTCAGAAACTGTCCTCTTTCTTGCAGCTCTTCAGTCTCATATTGTGGATTGACTGCAAAGTGCAAAAATGTAGAAGATTAAATAGTGCCACACACATTTGCTGACTGGATGTAGTAAGAGAATAAGCTGCAGCAGTATCTTGTTTTGGAAACAAGATACATGGAGTGGTTAGCTTCATAGACCTGTTTCATTTAACAATTAACATAATTTCCAAAACAGAGGTATCAGAACAAACTTGGCTGCACCTCATGACACTGACCTTGGTTGTTGTCAAACCACACTTTGATAAGACGATCATGCTACAAAAAAAAATTTAAAGCAAAATTCAAAGAGAGATTTAGTTCTAAGAGCTTTTTTCATTTAACTCTTCTGGCCCTTTTAACCATTGTTCATCTGGGAGTTACTAAAAGACAGCTCCTCTTTACAAATATCAACACATTTCAAAGCTGAAGGTGATGAGAAGTGATGGCAAAGATATCAATTTCAGAATGTTGTCTGATTCAAAACCAAATTCTTAGGACTAAACTTAAAGGAAATACACGAAAAACTGCACAAAGACCTAATATTGAGATCTTGTGAGTGAATGGTTTTAGGGTCTTTATTGTCACAAAATTTCATGTAAATTACATTAAAACAGGAAAAGACCTGAACTGGAAGAAAAAAGACAATTTAAGACACACATATCAACATCTGTAAGGTCTTGACAAACTTCAACATAGACACACAGCATATCTTTGAGGTTTACCTTTCCAACTGAACAGAAATACTGGCCATCAGGAGAAAACTGCAGAAGGTGAACTGGAACAGAAGGCCTAAATCAAGAAGGCACAAAGATTACATTTTTATCAAACAGAGAGAATGTTTGTGTGAAAACAGATGAATTAATGACATCAGCAATGTCAATAGTGTAATGTTTGTAGATAGAAATAAGAGAGATGATAAGTTTTGAGGTCAGTAAAGAAATAGAGAATTATGTTTGTTTTGTCTTGTCACGAGCGTGGGACAAAAGAAAAAATTCTTAGTCCCCATGAGGAATCGCACCTCAGACCTTTGGATTCCACACCCCAATGCTCTACCACTGAGCCACAGAGACTCCATGGTGGGCGAGGTCTGTTACAAAGTTCATATGAAAAAGAAACTTGTTTGTACAGATATGAAACAACCAATGCACAGAAACAAATTTGAAAACTAAGAGCTAATATAACATACTACATACTTGCATGTCCAAATACATGTCCAAAACACATTCTCCTCTAGTAAGTTTCTCTGTTCATGGTAGTCTTCACAGCTCCACAGCTGAATAAAATCCCCTCCCACAAGTAGTCGTTTTCCTGGAAAAAAAACAGAGCAATGAGTGTTCCAAAGTTCAATCTTTACACAAGGTTAATGTTTTTCCATTTCTATAGGAAAAAAAACCTGTGAACTATAATGTCAATAAATAAATAAAAACAACACCAGCCTCCTTGCAAACTCTTATTATTACCACTGCAACATGAGCATTTCTTGGCCCATGAGAAAGTCTGAGTACTAGAGGTAAGTTAGCCAGCAAAAGGACTGCTAAAGATCTGGCACTACTGGTAAAAATGAGTATTAGCACCAGACTAACACTTGTCCAGAAGCACTAATAACAAGGAATACTTGATGGCTTAAATAACAATGACATAATAATAATAATAATAATAATAATAATAATAATAATAATAATAATAATAACATGTTCAACCAGGGTAAACCCTTCAGCTGAAACTGTTATAAATGGGTGCCCTGGGAGACTAAAAAATTAACAATTAAAGAAAAAATACCTGTAACACATGAACCAACGGAAAAATGTAAAAACTATTTACAATGTCGATGGATAAAAACCAAGAATTATATAACTATATTAAAAAAATCCAAAAGATTTTCCAGAACTCTGAAAAAAAAATATCATTAAGCTGTGTTTTAAAAATCACTGTGGAGTCAACTTCCTTACGATGCAGTGGCAAGTTATTGAAAGTCTGGGCTCCAGTATAAAATGTTCCTTTCTTGGCAGATTGTGTATGGACTTTAGGAATTAAAATACCTAAACCATTACGCCAAGTGGAATAAACATGCAAAGACTTGATAAAATAACTCTTAAAAAGATCTGGAGCAATGTGATGGAAACACTTAAAAACAAAAGTTAAATTGTGCATAGTAGAACACCCCTTAAGGGACTTCCAACTTAGTTGCCATAACAGTGGATGGCAACTAAGACTACTTTCCTTCAGAATGATTCTTGCAGCCCTTGCTTGATGTCATTCTTAAGATTAATAATAATAATAATAATAATAATAATAATAATAATAATAATAAGGACTATAATATCCAAACACAGTTGAAATACCTTCTCTGTTCCACGACAAACAAGTAATCCTAAAGTTTAGGCAAAGTTCTGCAGATTTTTCCCAATGAAAAGGAAAGCCCTAAAAAACAAGCAAAAGTGCAAATTCATAGTCTGAAAAACTTCAACCTTAAATGATTAAATCAAACTTAAGAAATACAGTAAGTATATATACTGACATACATGGTTGTTACCAGCTGTTGCTGATTTGGCATCAAATATGATAACCTGTTTTCCATAAGATGCTGCAATCTGTTAAAAAATAATGATAATTTGTCTCAGATTTAATTGTGCAGACATCCTTCATATTCCTACAGTGCACATAAATCAAGTGTCGTAGAAAAAAATTCTCTTTAAACAACACTTATACCACTGATAAAGCTAGAGTTACTCTCTGCTAAGCCTCCCCAAGCCTAAATAGAGCTTCTTTCATGCTCTCCAAACTTTTTGCATGCTTCATATCTCCAGGGCATGCTGATGCAAGGCTATGATTGGCTATTGTAATTTCTTTGATTTTTGTTTTACAACACTCATTTGAAAAGCACTCTACTGTAACACTGCTTTGATTTCATTGCACAAATGTACCTTTCCATCAGAATCACAGCAGTCAATACAGCTAACTTCTTTATAACCATACAGTGAACCAGGAATAATCTGCACTCGAGTGAAGCCACTCAACAGGATAACAACATCACAGCCAGATGCATAGGCCTTGGAAAACAAAGAATACCAAATACAAAGCAAACAAACGTATGTCAGACTATAATCTCAATTCAGTGTTCATGGAATATATTTCTGGAATATATTTCACGTCGATAAAGAGCATAAAAAAATTTGCTTTAGGCTTCTGTGATTAGCCTGAATTTCTATAATATAGTTTAAGACCTGATAGCATTTTCAAAGCTTACTGTAACAAAAAGAAAAGTTTTAAAATGATATATATCGATCTCTAGAGTCATTTAGTTACTGGGCTAAAAATCAATTTATAAGCAAATTTACGAGGTATTTCTTATGATTGAAGTCGAAATAAACATTGTCATTCATTCATAGTGGTACCATTATTGATATGTTGACATCTGCCTTCCTCTGAATTCATTATTTTCTGATCAAAACCGTAAACCAGTAATTAAATTATTCAGCTCGAACTGTACCGTGAAAGGGTGATCATCTACACTGCCAACGGCGATTGCAGCCTTGTCGTCGAATGTATTCGTCGCCCCTGTTAATACCTGATGAAGTTTCATTATCAAAAGATAGAATCATGATCATGTTTTGAAAAGAGAACGACAAAAACTCTAGTTCGCAACACAGAAAACGCCGCCATTACTTGACTTGAATTTGCCTCAACTAGAATCGAGAAATCCGCTGGTTGATCATTGCAGAGGCACGTTGCTGGTCAGTGGTTAATCCCATTAGGGAAAATAAAATGGCGGACTTGGATGATGGTGAAGACGGAAACGATTTTTTCCGCAGTTTTGCCGATGTTCCCTTGAATCCTCCGGAGAAAAGAGATATGTGTTCGAGGTGTAAGTAAGTAAACTTTGGTCATGTTTACTTTTTGTTATTTCCGCTGACATTGCTGTGAAGATTGACGTTCTAATAAAGCAGATAGATGAGTAAAGACTGTGTACAAATGTCCAGCATATACATACACACACACACACGCACACACTCACATATATAAGTAACAATATTACCTTCTATTTATATATGTATATATATAAATTAATTTTGTTTTTGTAAGATGTCATACAGGTTAAATAGATGATTTCCTTGGATTCTTAAAAATTCTCTTTCGTTTTATAGGAGACCACTTGCAGTGTGTCTATGCGCTCATTTTCCTACTCATTTTCTTCAAATATCGACTACGATTCACGTGTTGCAACATCCTCGTGAGGTTTGTCTTATTAGATTTATATTGTAAATGTCTCTTAGTTATCCAGAGTTATTTGGGGGAGGAGGGGGTGAGTAAAACGGCTGCTTACCAACGATCTTACACCACTGTTAATATTTTTTTAGTCAAATTGGTATGGCCTATTCATATTCATAGCTTCTTATTCCATGATCAGTGGCCACTCCATAAGCAAAATTAATGAAGCCCTTAGAAATGCACCTCCAGACAATTTAGGAAATGGGTGTTTTAAAAATGTTACCTTGACTTGTGATGCAGTTTAAAAATTGCCATCTTCATTATTATCATTATCATTATAAGGGCTGTCAGTAAGTTTTTAAGCAGCCATTACATTGGAGATATCACTGTTAACAGTGTAACAGAGTCATAGCAATCAACATACTCACTAGTAGCATTTACATGTGGTGAGCTCAGTCATAACAAATGTTTCAGGTTATGGCCCCCCTTGAAAGCCCTAATCAGAATCATCCTTACTGGGAGTCATAGTTGTCACCAGGTTACTATTACTTAAAATGATGTTATTTGAACATGAACATCAGGATCCTATAGCACAGGGTTTAGACAAAATGGTCTAAAGCAAAACATCAGAATGTGCATCAACAGAAATACAGGGGATGGAGATGTCAAAAATGATACTGTGCATGGTTTCCTAACTTGCTGCTATGATGATTGAATAAAGGACTCTCCTCTTTCTAGGAATCTAGGCTTTTGACAACTGTCCCACTCCTGGAGGCTTGTTTGCCTCCAGATAAAATTGTCATCAGACGTGGGAGAAGATTCCACAAAAATGACTGGCCAGATCTCCATGAATTACTCGATAAACCTACTACACTCCTTTTATATCCAGGACCTACAGGTTGGCACAATTATCTTATAATTAAACCTTTTGCACCCAAAATCAACATGTCAATTTTCTGCATTGCCTGCTGTACACTTTGTGGTAAAATCAAACCCTATCTCTGTGCTGTTTTTTTTTCTCATCACCTTTCCGCCTACTCAACAATGTAACTTGATATTGATGGGAGAAGACTCTTTTTGGTCACTGACAGAAGGGAAAGAGTTAATTACTTTGTTGTATCCCTCTCTTGTGTAGGAAGCAGTGGCCTTGGACTGCAGATCAAATGATCAAAGTTAGCTTTAAGTACAGGGTCATGTTATTGTGTTGGTGGACAAGACACTGTATTCTTACAAGGTCCCTCTCCACTCAGGAGAATAAACTGGCATTGACACACTGGATACCAGGCTCACCTCATCCTTTATATTATATAGCTTGACCACATTTTTGTTTTGAATTTTCATCAAACTGACCATATCTCTTTACTTTCAGCTGAAAATATAAAAACACTGGGTGAACCTCCCTTAGGAGAAAATTATGATATTATTGTCCTTGATGGAACATGGAGACAAGCCAAGGATATTTTTCATAACAATCCATTTTTATGTCAAGCTAGACAGGTATGTTCATAAGTGTCAAAATGCCTTTTGAATTTTGATATTGTAAATTAAAGTACTGCAAATTAGATGTAATATTTGTGGTGTTCTTGAATTAATTCAAGGTGCAATTAGAGCATGACCACATCAGTGAATACGTGATCAGAACCCAGCCTAACAGTAAAAGTTTATGTACAGTTGAAGCCATTGCTTTGTCATTATCTATTCTGGAGAAAAATGAGGAAATTGCAGAGGTGAGGCATGATGTATTAATAACTTCATTGTTTTATGACCAAAGTACTTGACATAGTCTTATTGTTGTGCTATTATTATTGTTGTGCTATTAAGTTGAAGTAAGTAGTAGCAAATTGTTAGAATACATCAAACATTGTCTTCCTAAGTTGTCCAGGATCAATATCAGTATCTGGGCAACTGTCCACCTACCCCTCCCCTAGCCCAACAATAACCCTAACTTGCTATCAATTGGCTGTTGTAGGGTTAGGGGAGGGGTAGGTGGGCAGTTACCCAGATACTGATATTGATCTAATGTCCCTAAGAAACAAACATACTTTAAGACTGAGGCAACGGCCAGATTGTTTCAACCATGGAACGTTGACTTTGATCCCCAAGAGTGACTAACATCTGATTTCTCCTTACAATAAAACCCCCTGAATCAAATTTTAAGGTCATGAGAATAAAGGAAATGATTACCAACCAAAGAAGCCCTTGATTCTTTCACAAATTCTCTTTGTTAGCTACTGAGGTAATGTAAAGAGAACAGAATGGAATATGTGCATGATGACATGATGATGTTAGGGTGTAACAGGTTAAGATTTGTCACTCTTGAGCAAATTGATATAAAATTTAAAAAATAGGTGCAACAACTTCAGCTCTGAACCTACTAATGATCCAGCTTACCGTGAAGTCTCTGTTGCTCAGTGATAGAGCATCGGAGCGCTTAAGCTGAAGATCTGAGGTTCGATTACTCATAAGAACTCAGAATTTTTTCTCTGTCTTACGCTCGTGACAAGACGAAAAGACATCTCTCTTCATTTCATTTCCGAGCTTATAACTTTACCGTCTTTCTGATTTTACTAACTACAACGTTGAATGTTTCTAGTTTGCAGCGTAATGTCTGTAAGATACTCTCAGCTTACGGTTGAAAACGAACAATTCCTGTGGTTTTTTTTCCTCAGACTTTAATTCGACCTTTGCGGGCATTGTGTAAAATACAGTTGGAGCATGGTGCTGTGGTACATTTCAATAAGGAAAATGAAGACGAAATCATGTTAAGAGCGTAAGTGGAAAATCTTGTGATGAAGAAGTGAAACTTGTTTTAACATCAAACTGACAATTTATTTCGTTTCCCGGTGTTATTCTTGTGAAAATATAGCGTGGAAATCGATTTGCATCTTACTTTTTCTCTTTGGAATCCTTTTTCAGTAAAAGACAAGAACGAAGTCATAGAAAGAAAATGGGTGGATTGAGTGAAAAGGAAAGATGACAAGATATAAGAATAGCGTCCAAGGAGAAACTCGTGATTGACTATTTAGCGTGGGTTTTTACCTTCCTTTTTAACCTTCATTTTACCTAACTGGGGCTATTGCAGAGCTTCTGGTTTGGATACCGGTTTACAGAATTTGTCCAAGATAAGAAGAGGGAGACACGGGAAAACTTCGGAGTCCTAACTCATTTGCTTTGTGGAAACAGTTTTGTGAATCTGACTGTTCATATGTTTTTAAGATAATTTGTTTTTATCAACTTAGTTTATAAAGTAGCTTGGCCTTCGTAAAGAGTTTCTAAAGCTAAGGGTTTGAGCGTGAGCCCCCGTCACTTTGTTCATGTGCTTTGTTCATGGTGCGCTACAAGATTTCAGTACAGGATATGATAATGTAGCATGCACTAGCAAAACTTTGTCCCTTTTTGTTTAAGTATCTCTTTGTGTACATGGTTATCATTGAACCCAAAACTGTCGCACTGCGTTCACCAAGACGTGGCCACTCTTATGCCTTTTTTAGCTCTTCTTTACCCCTAGGCAGAATTTTTCTGTAAATAAAACTGAAGAATACTTTAACATGCTTACATTTTTTTATTACTTCTAGTTACACAGCTTTCTTATTTGTTTTGTGTTTATTTAGAGCGTTTTATTTTAGCAAAATTATAACTTATTCAATATTTACCCCCTGTCAAACCCCTGAAAGCGAACAAGATAAACCTTGTTTACACTAGTTTGTCGATAACCAATACCCGAGCACAGTTCAAAAGCAGTCCGTGTGACCAGGACTGTTGTCAGTGTAAAAGCAAACGTATTTCCTCAGGCGCGACCCGTTAGCGTTCATACTTCAGCAATTTGCAATTGAGTGTCCAAAGTAATCTAGGTTTGCTTGGGTTTCACTTAACCTTTCTCTGTGACTGGTCCTGAAAACTCGACCATCCCTTTAACCAATCAGATGTATAACTAAAAACAATCGCGACTGAGTCATTTGCGTTTTCCCGCGCTTCAAACAATTTGCTCGTTTTCACTTTGATTTCTCATTGGCTAATTCCAATTTAAATCTTTGTTCTGATTGGTCGCTGGGATTACTTTGGTTGTCAATTCAAAACTGCCATGTTAATCGGTAATAGCTTTAGCCCTGGCGTTATGAGCCTTAGCAATGAGTTCTGAGGTCTTTATGATTCCTTTACTGACTCCAACTCCAATTAAACTCCCAAAGAAACCGCCAACCATGGCCCCTACTACGGGCACCGGAATGAGTACTTGCCCTACGATGGTTCCAGTAGTTCCTCCGATAAACTGGCAACTCGAGTCACACAACTTCCGTCTTACAGTAGACTTAAACTGCGAGTTTGTTATCAAGCCTTTATCACGCTGCATTTTCGAACGCGTCACACTTCCGGCGGTTAGAGCGATGTCGACCAAAACTGATATTGCTATACCTGCCGCAGCTTGCCCCAGGGCCATCGCAGCCGTTTCTATGCCAACGGTAGCCGTGCTTTCGGCGGCTGTTGACGTTACTACGATGGCTGTCTCAGTGATGACTTCCTTGACAGTTATTGCATTCTCCGAGGATTCACCGCTGGCCAACATAATATGAGCGCTGATGTCGAGAATCTCGTCAATAGCTCGGAAAATTCCTTCAATCTTAGCTTGCCTTTCTTTGACGGAGAATGGAATATTGAAAAAAGCAACGTGGAAAAGATCAGCTATGTACCCAATGATTAACTCTTCATCAATTTCCAGTGTAATTATCGGCTTAGAAAATTTTTGGGCTAGAACCCAAACTTCCAAAGTTGTTCCCTCGAAAATCTCCGAAACTGGACGTGGAAAACTAGCCAACGATAGCATATCTAACCGCACTTTTATCAATATATTATCTTCGTCTTGGTAGATATTTCGAAAGGCATTCGATCTTTCGCAGTTTCGTAACCAAATGAAGACCGGATAATGAGGTCCAAATTTTAATCTGTCGCTGTTGCTTGTGCGTTGCATAACGTGGTCAGAAATCAAGGTTAGCGCCATTGAAATTCGATCGCGGTTTACATGAGTAAAGCTTCGAAAAGAATTTTCGTGAAAAGGGTCGAAAGATTGGTCAGTGTTTTCCACTGGTGGAACAAGTTCCGCAGTGTCCTCATCGAAACCGATGTCGCACTGTCGTGATATACGTTGCAGCATCCATTTGTTGCATGTTTTGTTTTCGTAAACCATAACACATCGTCTGCATAACCTAATAACTGCAAACTCATCTTCCTTTTCAGCTTCGACCCGATCAAGACTTACACCAGCATCGACAGGCGCTGAGTCCCGTAACAGCGAAAAATCTTCTTTTTTCTTTTTCAAGAATGCTATCACTGAGTTAACCGCTTTCTTCATACAAAGCAGCTTTCTCCTTCAACGGAGTTTATCCTAACGAGCTAAGGTTGTATTGTCATGCTGAAGAAAGCATCGGCGTGATTCTACGGTTGCACCTGCTCCTGGGGCTACACTGAACCTCGGGAAATTTCAAGCCATTGTTTTCTGCGGATGAATAAAAACATGCCAGTGAAACAATTGGAGAAATGCTTCGCTATTTATGCGTGTAAGGCGTATAGAAGACCGAAAACACCACAACATTAGCATAGGGGAAAATCTGTTTGGCTGGCCGATAGATTTCACGATAAATTACGCATTTAAAATTGATGAAGTTTGTATCGATAGTAAAACGAGTTTTTTCCTTATTAAATTTTTATAACTCGTCGGTGAGTATAGTTCTATAAATTTCGAAAAGATTTTTCTTAGGCCAGTTTGCGAGCAGTTCTTGCTGCGAAGTAATGTTCGTACAAATATTAACGGAAATAAAACAGAAATGTTTGCATAGGGAAATGGCTCGATGAAAAATATTTTTCTTGTTTCCTAAATTACTAAGACGATATAAGAACTGTAAACATTGTTATTAGATCTGCGCTCGTCTTGAAGACGAATTACAGTTAAATTTTTAAACGATTTCAGATGGGCAGATCGTATTTTTATTCTTCATTTCATATCTGGGTCAACTCCTGGTGCAACCGCCCAATTTGGCGAGCCACGTTATAAATTGAAAGAGAATTTAAAATCAGATCTTTCTTGAATACTGAATTAACCTTTGTCAGCTCTAATGAAGAAAACATTAGGTTTTTTCTTGTCCGTGGGCGAGAGATTGAAATAGATTATTCACTTTTCTGTTCAGCCTAATTGTTTTTGGTGCAACCTCTATTTTTATTTTACAACTTATTGAATGTCGGGAAATGTGTTTTAAAACATTCGTCCTTAAATTTTAATCACTAACAGATATATTTTTTTTGACTGGTAACCCAACCAAGTGCCGCTCAACGTCAATCAAATACTCTCTCCTTTGAATCACGTTCGACCTCTGCTCAAGTGTATTCGGACCGTGCCGAAATATTTTGATATTTAAAGCTGATAGGGTTTTCAGGTGAATGTCACCTTAGACTCAAGATGCTAATGAGAAATATTTTAAAGCGAAAAAAAATATATGTGACATCGTTAAAAAAAAAATAGGTAAACATGAATTTTGAGTTTTGAAATTTGGTTAACTATTTGGCAAAATAGGTTTGTTGATTCCTTTCATTGCCAATATGCTTCACAAAGTTCAGAATGTTTGTGTGAGAGTATAAGTAGAGGCGGAGTAAGAAAAAATATTTCTCAGGAAATCAATCAAACCGCAAGATAATTTGAAAGATCAGTTATTCATATTTTCCCAATCTTATCGTTTTTGAAGAAGGTTCCTTCATTAGAGCAATTAATTGGTAGATATCAGAAAGAAAGATTCGCATTCGGTATCAATGTCCTATCCTCTCGCTTTTTACAAGAAGTAAAACTTGTGCATTTTTTTCTTTTAAGGCTTTTTTGTGTGTGTCAGCATAATTATTTTTTCGCTGACATTGCTTTCTATTTGCATGTCAAGACTTGCGCATCACACTAATAGGTAATCTTCATTAATAAATTAAGCACGGTTGCTTTTAAAAAGTGTCTAGCTTTTTTAAGGGGCTATTACGTCTATGCTCTCCGCATCTTGGTAAATTAAAACATTGAAAAAAGTAACAACTAAAAGCTTTCCTAGACAATTCGCTTAAAATGAGAGGCGGAAAACCGAACTGATGAAGGCTCGAATCGCTGTTGCATTTTTCGTCTGTCTGCCTTTCACTTGGACGACAGTTTAACTCACCACTACTGTTTCCTCGACAACTGAAAAATCCCACAGGAATCTTTACCTTAAGAAAAAGTTGGCTCATACTTTTCAGTTTTGTAGATATCGTAGAAACGACACTTGTTGTCGCCGATCTTTTATTTGATACATTTAAAACGTTTTTCCATAAATCTCTCTTTTAACTTATGCGTTAGAATTATCGTTTCTCTTTCTTTTGACTCACCCCTCCCCCCTAAATGCTGGCCTGCGGATTCAAGCCCTCCGCCCTGCCAGTCGGTGGCCCGGTTTTTAAAACACCTCGGCTGCACTTTGTACATAGTTTACTAGTTACCCTCCTACTAGTAAGAAATCTTCTGAACCACTCCATGCCGAACTGATCGTCAGTGTTTTTATACTCTGCGGGTCGCAATAAGAACTACCCAGGTTCCTGGTAATTTGTTCACCCATATACAGCAGCCAATCCACAGGGAGGGTGTAAGGGGTTCAGACCCCCCCCCCATAGAAATATTCTGTGTTTTTTGAATTAAAGTTTTTTGCCCCCCGCTCGGGAGAGGGTCTCAAAGTGATTAACCGTAAAATGGAAAAAAATATTTAGCAGTTAGGCGTAAAAAATAACTGTAAAAATTTATTATTTTGATCACGATCGAAAGGAATGAACCTTTAGCCGTAAAATGGCCAAAATTGTAACCGTTAGCCGTAAAAGCTATTACCCCATTGGGACCCTCTTACAGAAATTCCTGGATCCTTCCCTGGTACAAAGTCATTTTTCATTACAAATTATTATGATTATCCCTAAGCAAGTTATCATTCATAGAGGTCCATGAAGCTTATGCCAGCCTTGTATGGGTTTATGAGGAGATAGCGTGACTGCTTTCCAATGGTTTATCTCAGACGGAAATGGCGCGTCCAGACCCAGCCGCACGTGACCAATGACCTCGTTCCTGTGCATAAATTCGTGTTGAAAAACAGTGAACTGAACGCCAAAGTTTTCAAGAGTGCAAGAGCTATTTGTAGCAACTTCAAAACTGAATTCTTCGTTAATGGTTAGGTCTTTCTTCCCAGCTTTAGTCTGATGTTTCTGAATGACTTCCTCTTTGCGATTGTGCGTGAGTTCCACAGCGACGGAAGGATCTTTAAGAAAGAGAAAAAAACTGAAATTAGAGAAGTACAATCTATACAGGTTTGTCCCTCTGTTATATGTAAAAACATATCAAGAATGTCATCACGTTAGAGTTTCTAGACTAATTTTTGTAGTAAAAAATGTTTTGGGAGTATTCGTATTCGCTATGTTATCCCTTCAGATTAACCGTGCTTAATCTTAGTCAATTTACTTGTGAATCTAGATGGACCGGAAATCGTTCGTAAATACGGATGAAAAGAGACCCTATGCCCCCAAATAACTTAAGCCGACGCTAAAATCAGCACCATTGTATCTGCATTTCAATGGGCCAATAGTAAGCTCATCATAACTACCCTGCACTTGAAGAGTTGATTGATGCGTGAGACAAAAGCAGAAGCGCAAACAACATACATCGAAGCTGTGACGCATTGATCATGTATCTGTTAAATAATGATTTTGTGTTATATACGACTAGAATGGTTAATTTTTCATCGCTTGTGCCAATGTGTTCCTCCTGTTTCTGCTTGAGCTTGTTGCCTTGTATGGAATGTCAGCCACACCCTAAAGAGCAATATTGCGCTAATGGTATAAGAGCACTGTATGGTTTTAAATACTTTCTTACTTTTCACGGACTTTGGAAGATCTTTCAACCTCATTATGATGACCTTCAGATGAGAAGATGTGGCTTCATGGCAGAGAGAGAACTGGAGCTCACCAACGAACTGAAAGCAACAAAAGAAAATATTTTCACTTTTGAAAGAAGAAACTAATATACTATCGGATAACTCCACTCAATGGTCACCGCCATTTATTTTAATCCCGACGGACCGTACTTGTATTCACCTTAGCTCTGTATGACGGCCACCTTTCTACAACTACCACATACCTTATAGTTCCTTAAGTTAATCGATGTGAAGAGGTCCCTGATTGTGATACTGCACATTGGGTAAATTCTAAGTATTTTCGCGTTGCTGGAAATGAGCAGGCTAAGATTGACACTCTCTGTTATTCTTTAAGCTGCTACTCAGATTCATAACAGTACTATTTGTAGCTAAATTTGATTCATATAATCTACTGCCACCAATTCCAGTTGCGGTACATATCTTGGATAATGATTCTTAGCACACATTGCGGACCACACTTACCTGAGGCGACAGGTCTCGACACAACTTGTCTCCGCGCATGATACTTTCGTCGCATAAAGAAAATACTGTTTCTCCGATCGGTTCGTATCTCGATACGCCATGGCGATCAAAGAGCCTGATCTTCAAACGTCCTTTCTTCAACTCGGCCAAATGAAGATTTTTGAAGACGAATCGTTCATCGAATATAGGGTTACAGGTCTTCTTAAGTAATTTGCTTTGAAGTCGTTCGCCGCGGCGTTTTGACGGCGTCTTGAGTGAAAGCCGCGCAAAGACATCCAACATGCGGCCATGTCTGAGTGGTAGCTCTGTGGCGTTAATTAAATGAACTTCGAGACTGCGAAGATCTTCAGCAAATGTCATTTTTAAGGTGATCTTGCCGCGTTTTCGCGATACTTGAGAATTTCTCCTAGATCGCCTGGTGCCGGTGTAAGAGACTTCATTCGCACTTTTCCTCCTTTGCTTTGTCAGCTTTGACTTGGGTAAAGTAGTATTTATAGAAGACACCAATGATTTGAGCATGTGCGGAGTGGGATCTGGTAACGATGACTCCTCTGAAAGTGATTCTCGAGACAAACTTTTGAGGCTATCTGCGCGAGATCCTCTACGAAGAGGTCTGGGTTGAGGGCCGACGGAGGAACACCTCGGCAGCAATGATTCATCTGTGGAAGGAAAACATCAGAATATGTCACTACATTCCTCGAGCTACCCTTCTATTGAGGGCCCAACGAAAATTATCAATTTATTATGCAAGAGTAAAGATAATTATTGATTCAGATCTAGATGGTATTGATAGAGGAGATAATCCATTTGTTGCAAATTAAAATAAAAGCAACTCAGAAATGTGGGGTATTTTGAAACAGCTAGATATTTGTTCGCTATTAAAGCCTTGGGTTTCTTACCACTTGAATGAAAACTCTCGGCGCCATCGTCGAAGAAAAGGGATTCTCCTCTCTTGGTGCTGCGAGGTGCATGACAACGTAAGTTAACCCGCTGACCATTTCTGTCCAAAACACTGGCCTCAGAGTGTAATCTCGGAAGCGGAGGACGGACTTTGCGCTCTAAAGAAGGAAATTGGGTTTAAGATGGTTTTCTCTAGAACAGAGCTTATTAATGAAAATGCCAGATATTCAAGCTGAGAATACAACATGTTATGAACATGGTGATGAACAAAAGGGTCTCATAATAAAATCCCTTTTATAATCACGGGTCTGAATTGCAACTCAGTTTTTGCAGTGCTGTTTTCTTTTTCAAAAGGTCTTTTTCTTACACTGACAACCTCAGCGATGACTGTTGTTGTGGGTTGTAAAGATTAAATCACGATGTAATGGAAAAAAGGGAAGAACATCCATTCACCAACTCGCGAAGTATCTTGGTCACCGCCAATATTCTAACTTCCAAATTATATAACTTTTCGTTGAAAAAATAGAACACCATAAAACGTAATCATTGGTTAACTCTATGTTAGTATCCTTGGCAGCATTCTATGTTTTGTCACACAACACAGACATGCGTGACATCCAGTTGACTTGCATGACCCATGCTTTAAGGAACGGCTTCGGTGAATACATCGAATAAATAGAATAGATAGAGCAGGCATTAAAGTGTTTAGAATAAACCAAAACACAACGTGTGTGGAGAAGGACGCGAGAGGAAATTGAAACGGATTACAAAGGAAAGCCGTTAAACTTGAATTAAACACCATTTGGTTATGGTAGATCTTTGATGGAGAAACCACTGTTACAACTCCTTAAGCTATTTGCCTCCAAGAGTGACCTCTTTTTAGATTCTCTTTGCGATTTAAAAACACTGTGAAGCAGACATGTAAAGAGAATAAGGATGATTACTAATTATGGCCTTAGTCTTGCCATAAAATACCAGATTCTCTGCTCTAGCTAACAAAGAAAAAGGGGAGAATGACCTTTTCGATCTTGGAAGTGATAAACTTAATCATGCCTTACCACCAGTTTGACTCTTTTCGGGCTCGTGACCAATGTCCTCGCTGGATGCTCCACTAACAGAATAGTGAATATCAAACTGATCTACTTCTTCCTCCTCTTCCAGTCTGTCTTGAATCAAAAGCGGAACTAGAAAATCCACAGGCTGGGAAGACAGTACCAGCTTAGGTACGGGTCCTTCTGCAAAAATCTGCTCTTTCTTGTGTTGCCTCTTCCATCTTAAATAACATCGGATGACAAGGACGGCTATGAAGACTGAAAGAGTCGCTGCTACCACGCTAATGGGCAAGAGAAGTCTTAAAGTCTCTGTAGACATGAGAAAAAATGGAGATAAAAGTCAAAGATCTTAAGCGGGCATACGTGCTTCAAGGAAGGCAACTGCAAGTCAAAGATTTTTCTTTGTCATATAAATCAGAACAAATCGATCAATTTTTCGTCGCATTTGCTGAAGCGAGGACTAAGCAGTTAACTGGTGAAATGTCAGACTGCTATAACAACAGTTGGCTCCAATTCTCGGAAAAGTTTACGTTGATGTTTCAGCTCTACAGACATTTTTCGGAAATCGCTCCACCATACTTGGCGAGAAGCCCAGGCGCAAGAGAATAATGTACATCAATCATTTGTTAATTTGCTAGCGAATAAAATCATGTAAAGAAGAAGAGATGAATAAATCAGAAACAAGAATAGCTTACAACTCTGGTGCTAACCAACATGCAAGAAAACAGAAGTTATGGATTAATTTCATTACACGTAATTGACATTTTTCCAGAAGAAGAGGTCATGCATGTAATGTTTTTATTTGTGAGAGCAAAGAGCGTGGAAATTTCCACAGTAATTAGTTAATTAAGTATGTCTTGTTATAACTGGTTATTTAGAGACTAATTTCCCGTAGCTATCGGGAAAGTCGCACACGTTTCCGCGTGTTTAGTGCCCTAGTTCTTAACGCGCTGAAACGGGTTCACACAAGTTAAATAGAGAAACGTGAGAACCGATGGCGTTGCTCAATCAGTACAACAATAGTCAAACAGTGTGGGGTGTACTTCATTTGACATTTAAATTTACATTAATTCCTGTAATGTAAATTCAAAAGTCATTTTGAAAAGGGATTTAAAAGAAAGAGAAGTTTTACGGCTCGCTCGCTACATTTGACTCTTGAGTCAAATAAAACCTTTCCTATTATTGACTTTTTAACTCCCAAAAGTGATGAACCTGTAACTTCTCCCTAAGATATTAATACGTTATTCAGCAAACAGGTGATAAGAATACTCAAACTTATCAGATAGAAGTTGTTATCATGATTTCACGCCAAATTCTCGTCACTAATTTACAAGGAAATATGCAGCAGCTAGAGAGGAGAATAAACAATCAGATCTGGGGAGTTAAAGGGTTAATTAACATGAATTGTTCAAAACCTTTCTAGATCATGGCATTTTGTGAAACGTTTCTTTGCTTGAAAATTCGTGCCAATCACCGGAGTTAACTAACTCATGGTTAATGTGCTGTGCAGCTGTTTATCGAGATAGTGATTTTGTTAAACTAGAATTTTTAACAAGAACTTTACGAAATGTGGAGTATGCTCAGTAATGACGGTAACAAGCGTGAAGTCAAAGTAACTTACACTGAATAAAGGAATTTTACTCAATGTGTACTTCGATATCACTCAGCTGATTTCCCTTCCATCTTTCTTTAGAACGGAAATTACACTAATGGTCTTATTTTGATTCTTGTCTTTCTGATCAAAGTAAAGGCTTTCCACACTAAATCTTGGATATGTTTTTCGAAGTTGTTTCCTTCTTTAGACCTCCAATAGATTATCTAAGCCTTTCATTTTCACGTCTTCTGCCATGGGCGGCAAAACGTATCTATGATTAACTTGTTACACATAGCTTACATGTATTTTAAATTGTAAACTGAACAGAACAACAGGAATAAGGGCATCAAGGCTTAAGATGTCTGGAATACCACGCGGCTTAGAATTACAGACTTGCTCCTACAGTTGTAACCCTCAAAATGTGACTAAATTTACGGGTTATTTCTCTAACCTGTCATCTTCATGAAACTGTCGACGCCATCCAGAAACTATTCAGCAGATCTCTTTCAAATGCCATAACTAGAAAATGGTTGGTGCATCTCTGCGAAGGACTTTGGAATTCTTCCTATTTGAAAAGAAGTGCTTTTCGACGACAGTGACCCTTAGCGCTTCAGTGCTTTTTCAAGTTCCTTAAACCTAATCCACGACGGTCGAGATTTCCAAAAGTGTGGTTAAAAAACGTAGCCCTTGGGCAGCAAAATTGATGTCAAGCAAACGTGATTCGTCTACACGGACATTATTCCCTCAAATTCACAATCTCTAAGATCAGCATTCTCAGTTGGTCATTATTTCTATCATTACGTGACTGATCGAGCGCTCTCCGAGTTATTTCCGTTTGAGCTACAATGCACTCCGATTACAAGTAATCTGAGAAAGTGAAATGCGTCATGATAAAAGAAGCCATTCATTTCGATTCTCTACAACATTTCGGAGTACGCGAGGTGTATTAATAGGAATGCAGCGTTTGATGCTTATTGTTCAACTGGCTTAATGAAATGTGCACCTGAAAGAGACAAATAGTGGATAAATCAATGTGCAAATGGGGAAGAAAAGAAAAAATGTTTGTGGAAGGGAGGGATTGGGACTGAATCAACAGCTATTCCACAACAGTATCTGGTTTTAGTCAAAGATTGTCTCAATGACACTCTTACCAAGAAATTCGCGAGTGTCTGGCCATGGACCAAATTCCAATTTTTTTTTTTTTTTTTTTTTTTTTTTTATCTCTGAAGCCCGCGTCCCGCCAGTCAATTACGATCTGTCGAAGATATACAAATCGAACAATCAGGAACATCTGTCGGCTTAAAATCCTTATGAAAACATGTTGATATTATTACTTAAAACATCAAATTTGTATTATGAAGAGAACGTACACTCCCTCTAGAGTCTGGTACGTTCTTAGAATGTTCGTACGCGCACAAATTGTTTCTTTAAATTTCGCGGCCGGATTTGACAGGCTTTTTAAGCCGCCAGAATCGGAAAGGCTAATAGAAAATTCGTGACAAAGGGAGACTGATCGAGACTGATGGATATGTTCAACAGCGAATCCACCCAACACTCGCGTAAAATTCTCCTGTTTTGAAGTATCAAGTAAAATGAAAATGTCGGAGAGGCTTCGTCTCAATTTTGAGCGGAAAGTAAAAAATATTTATTCGAAAAAGAATCAGTCTTCTGCTATTCTTCCCAATTTTTTCTTTTCTTTTTCGGGCTTACTTGCGAATGATCGTGAAAATGATAAGTCGCTTTGAGGAGAAAAAGCTGTTGGTCAAAAATGAAAAAGACTAACTCGCGAGGAAAAAAAAATTCGTGTAGACTGGAACGAGGCCCCAGATATTGTACTGCAGGGGCTTGCCGTGAAGAAATTTGCAAGATTTCCGAAACACTTCAAATTCGCCGAAGACATACTGATCGCAGAATTTCACAAAATTCCCAGGCCAAATTTCAATCAACGCTTTGGAAACATATTTTCTGCCCCGCAAACTTAATTCTTGATACTTGTATTGAGCATGGAAAATAGAAAGAACCGGAAGCGGTCATCCACGACAGTTAGGAGGAGAACGTGTGAAGAGGAAAAAAGTTGCTTTTCAATTCAAATATTGACTTAGTTTTCTTTGTTGCATATTGAATCAAGCGGTCAACACTCAACCCAACTGTCATAACTGAGTCACGTTTGATCGGCTTTCCTCGTCAACTATATCGATTGAAACATTAATCTTATGTCTGTCATCCTGCTTACTAGTTTATTTTGTTTCATTTTGCAATCAGACGGTTGTAGAAGATATATTTTCTTCATTACCCTTGACTTAAAAGTTTAAGGATATTTTGCATGACAGATTGTGTTACACAGGAAAAATGACATCACCGGAACATGAAACTTCGTGTTTGGCCCGAGGGCTCTTGAATCCAAACACAGTTTAAGTGCGAAGAAAACGGTTTTATGAATAGATCAGCTCCTCATAAAACCACCTGAAACTTTGAATCTACTGAAAAACAGATTGGTTTGGTAAGCAGTATCGCATGTGGGGAGAGTCGATCGAATTTGTGCTCTAGATTGAAGAGGAGCCGTCACGCTAGTAGCATCCTACGAGATTTCTATTCAAAACCTGGAATAGAGCTGCGATGGAGTCTCGTTTCTGTAGAGTTCGAAAAACCAAAGAATCTTCTCTACTGTTCTGTTAACGGTTACTTTTGTGGTAATTTTACCTCGAACAAGGAGCAGTGCGTGGCTCTGAAAATTAGCGCGCGGTTCGGATTTTTTTTCTTTTAACGGTCAACCTACATCAAGGCGGGAAAAATGGAATCTTCGCAATTCATCGCCGCATCAGTCGGACTTGGGGTCTTAGTTTTCATCCTGCTTCTTTCTGTCGTGGGAATCGTTTATTTCAGGAAATATCTGACGCAAATAAATGGCTCGAAAGCATCGCAAAAGCTAGGAACCTACATTTCGCCAAAAGAACCGCCTGAATTCGTCATTCCGCCCTATACCCTGATTGCGGATGAAAGCGATGGAGAAACTTTTAGCGACTTTGGAGACTTTAGAACGGACGAAATAGGTGGAAAGTTTACGCCTCCGGCCTTCAGACGAGCTATTTCAATGCCACCACCATCAGATCAGTCAGGGAATTCAAAACAAGAAACAACAGAAGGACATGAGGAAACCGGAGCTTCTGCGGTCGGAATAGCAACGGCGGAGTACCGCCCTCAATACAGAAGAGCTGTTTCTCAGTACGCACCTTACTCAACTCAAATCAAGAGAGAACCCGTGAAAAAAATTTCCATTGCTCCGTACGGAAAACTGGAAGTTTCCGTGCATTTTCTAACGGCTAAAAAAGTGCTCTTTGTGCAGGTATTTGTTAATACTTATGTACCAGCTGTTAAGTAGTTAATATAATTGTTTACAGGTGGGCTACAAAACGGGGTTTTCCTGGCATATTTTGTGTATTTCACTTTCTGACGAATAATCTCACACAAATGTTTATTTTTCTTTATCTATTTGTCTATTTATTGCTATTTTTATGAGATTCCTTCTTGGCTCTTTGTTTGAAAACAACTTTAATTTGATATTAATCGACAGCGGTCTATACCTTCCTAAAACTTCATTTTGCTCATTGACGCCTCCCTACAAGAAAGAGACTCGAGAGTTTTATAAGGTTGCTCCTTTCGTCGAAAAGATGCTCATGACGGACGAACGTATGTCACATGACGTAGCGCCTGACATTGGGGAAAAGTGATAAATAATGATACTAAAAATAACCTAAATTCCTCCCCCTACCATGTAAGTTTAGGGTCCCCTCCGTACCCACCCACAGCGCCTCGATGCATAACCCCCCTAGATTTCCATCACATGCTAGTAGGATTTACATTTGCTTCCCTCGAGCTTTTCAAACTACAAAAAGCAGACACTGACTTTTTTTCTACTGAAACTCCAGCCTAGGACCCTTACAATAACGTTCTTTATTTGCGGTATCTTTGCAGGTAAATGGCGCCTTTGATTTGCCTCACGTGCGCCTTTCTGGGATCTCTACCCCGTACGTCCGCGTGCATCTGTTATCAGGGCAGCGTCACAAAGATACCAGGTCAAACTTCTTGAATCTTGGAACGAACCGAAAATGCATGTTTGATCAGATGACGTTAGAAGAAGCACACAGGTACATTTTTCAATTAAACAGATTAGGATCAGCTTCCCAGTTTGAGAGAACAATTTCTCCTCTCTTAAAAAAACCCTCGCAAATCGATTTTCTAATGAATTTCACGGTGATTTCACAGTTTGTCGAGCGAAAGGCAAAGCCTTTTGATTTTAAGGTGTTTTTTTTTTTAATGTTTACTGGTGACATTTTTTCTTGCCTTTAACCGATATCATCCTGAAAACTTAACCCTCTTTTACGTTTGTTCGTCGGATTATGTCTTAGAATCACTCCAATATTTAAAGGGGGTAAGTTTCTAAAGAAATTGTGGTATTGCGATGGTGGAAGAGCCGAGCATAACAGGGTAATTTAGTATTATCGACCGAGTCGATAGCGTAAATTGGCCACCGTAAAAAGTTAAAAAGCTGATGTTTTGAGCGTTTTGCTCTTTTTGCTCCTCATCAGAGCAATAGAAGAAGGGCCAACGCTCGAAACGTCAGCTTTTCAACCCCTTACGGTGGCCAATTTAAGTTATTTACTCAGTTGATTATAAAAAATCACTCCAATATTTAGCCTACCTTTTATTGCCGCATGGTCCTCCTACTCGCTTTCTCAGTAAATGTGGTTATTACTGTTGCTTTTTGTGCCTTTACAGTTCTACCCTTAAGTTTGTCGTCCTTGATTATGACAAGTTTTCTCGGAGTGAATTTGTGGCTGAGGTAATGTTGTCGCTTCTCGAGGTGGATTTAACTGAAGGCACCACGTTGTCACTCCACCTGAACTACAAGACCATCAATGAGGTAAGTACAATGTGCGGACAAAAACATCCCATCCTAGGTTCGCACAATTCACTCGCAAGGCCAGCTTTGTTACATTTGCAATACATACTTCATCTTTCTTATTGTTGTTGTCATTATTTTCAGTCCGCTGACCGAGGTACTATAACACTGTCAGTGTGTCACCAACCTACTGCTAATCACTTACATGTGATCGTTATGAAAGCAAGTGGACTTCCTCTTCCCAAGTCAGATGCTCCTGAAGGATGTGGTAAATGGTTTTCAATATAACGAGCTTAATTCTTCTCCTGTAACGCTATTAATGAATTCTTGTATTTGTGACTTGTGCCACGGTCGTCTTTATTTTTGCGATCGGTAGTCAGCTACTCAAACAACAATAACATCAACAACGTCAGTCCACATTGTAGTACGGTACGGTGCAGTACGGCGCGGTGCGGGGCGGTGCAACGCAGTGCGGTACGTGCGGTACGGTATGGTGCAGAGCAGTGCGCGCGGTGCAGTGCTGCGTGGTGCGGTGCATCGCAGTGCGGTGCAGTATAGTCCGGTTCAGTACGGTGCATTGCGGTACGGTGCGGTGCGGTGCGGTGCGGTGCGGTGAAGTACGGTAAGGTACGGTGCGGTGCAGTGCGGTACGGCACGGTGCGGTGCAATGTAGTGCAGTGTAGTAAGGTACGTTACGGCGCGGTGCAATGCGTGTGTTGTGTTGTGGTGTGGTGTAGTATACTGTGATCGTTCAGATGAGAATGGTCCGAAAAAGAATTGTCGTCGGTGACATTGACCCTATCTTGATTAAATTTAGTTTGATATACCATTTCTTTATCAGATACCTACGTGAAAGTCCTTCACAGCGTTCAGGGAAAAGTTATAGAGCGCAAGAAGACCAAGGTGGTTAAGAAATCTACTTCACCGGTTTTCAATGAAGCCTTCGTCTTCGATGTACGAGAAGAAGACTTACGACGTTCCAGTATTAGTTGTGAAGTGCATAGAGGGGATACAGTGTTGAAAACAGAGAGGATCGGTCATATAACGCTGGATTTGGAATCGTTTGGCACTGAAGTACGACAGTGGAATGATATGATCACGTCACCTCTTAAGAGAGTAACAGAAACACATTTGTTGCATGCGTAAGGGCAGAAAAAACCGCTGACAAGTCCTGGAGACTCAGCATTGTGTTTAGAGCTAATATGTGCGCTTGGCTTTTGTAAACGTTTTCAGAGAAAATTTCAAAGAGACAGTGAGAGCTGAACTTAACCAGTATGTTTTGTTCTTTGTTAGGTCAATGCTTATTTTCACGCAAAATCCTTTAAAGGGTTTGAAACGGGGGAAAGTGGTAATGGAGAGCTATGACCAAACAAACCTGAATATCAAAATCTAAAATTTACTTTCCTTGGTAATCAAAATGTTCAACCGAAGTGATCTATTCAAAATGCCTATTTTAAAACTAGACTACGAAGTTTCATTATTCAAATACTTAAGTGTTATAAAAAAGTCTCGCTTATAGTGTATTAAAAGTCCTAAAGCATTATTCCATTGTTATAAAAGTAATTCTCCAAGTCCACTCAAAACAATCCACTAAATTATATAATTACTACTTATCAAAGTCTAGATAAAATTGATAACCTAACAAGTAATTTTGAGAAGAACTATTCTAAGTGCCAGTAATTTAAATAAAAGAGAGACACTTCTTATTTTCGACAAATATTTGCCATGCAGTCATACTTTTTATGGATAAATTTTGTAGTTTTTTCTGGAAAAAATATTGCAAACTTGGGGAAGAATATTCATTGTTCAGTTTCACATATTAGGATTTTCTATGAATGTCGTCAGATTTGCATACTCCGAAGACGGTTTTCGGATAAAGTGCTATTCAGTCATTGTTAAGCTTGGATATTCTTAAGTTTAAAATACAAGAGATGGTTTCTCTATAACCATTCTTCACTTGCACGGTGAAATACGAACCTCCGATGTAACCCTAACTTTTTGGATCTCACAGCACAGTTCTCAATACTCACGTCCTCTACATAAATCAATCTTGCATCACAGGGTGGTAATTTTCCGTATTTGTACCAACGCATTGTAAACATCTCTCGTGTTGATATGCCACAGGCCACCAATCACATCACAGTAGTACCATTGGTGTTAATGGAATTCATGTTTCCATTAGGAAACCCAGCATTAGCCCAGTTGTTGGATGAACTCGTCACGACGCTGGTAATAACCAACATCTCATTCAAAGCACTTTCCACTGTACTTGCCAAATTGATTGGAGGAAAGAACAATGCCTCCACTGTACCAGGACGAATTAAGCGTAGGGAGGGTAGCCTCAGGAGAAGTTTTCCGAAGCGCGTTGGTTGGTTTGGGTACTGGGTGCGAATGTAATCTTCCAGTGCACACTGGGTACGCTCTTGGAGGCCTTCCACGTGAGTACAGTTAGAGAGTCCTTGAGAATCTGAGTATCCAGGAAGAAATGAAACGTCATGAGACAAATGCTGGTCAAAAAGTCATCTCTTTTACATTTAATTCATATAATAACTAAATTGACTTCGATGGTGTTTGTGAGACAGTCCAAGTACTTCTAACAGAGAATAATTTCAGAGTACATTCCATCCTTTAAAAAATGATGAAAAGAAGTTTTTCCTGCTGAAAGTGTTCTCATGAGCAATTTCCCTTGAGAGACTATAACTTTTTTTCCACGGCAAAGACGAGTTGAACTGTATAATAAAGAAATTCCACGTCTGGAAACGTAGACCTTTTATACTCTGAAATAAGTAAAAGACATTTACTCCACTTACCTGGATTAAAAAGAATAATAGCTTTAAGACAGCAAAACTCAGCAGAATCTATGTGTAAATTCTTAAGCTTTTCAACCTGTTCTTCGAATAATCTAAGATTTTCTGCAGAATCGAAAGTTGTGAGTGGTCCATTACTGCCTGCTGTTAACATCTCCGTGTTCGATGGAGAGGTCAACGCGCTTATGGTCAGCGGCTGCGCCATGTGAAACGGCGAGCAGTGCTGGGCAGCGTTTAATATGAACAGTTCACTCCAGCACGACCGTAGCAAGATGGATTGATCAGGAAGAGTCAACTCTGAAAAAAAGGGAATATTCTTTGCCCATTCGGTTATGGAAACCAGCAGTCTCGTGGCAAGCTCAGACGCGCTTTCCAATCCTGCAATATTTGTGGAGATCCCGAGGGATTGCTGGTAGCGCGCGATGGTGTCGGCTCGAAGTAAGAGAGTGATGTAATTTGAGTAAAAGGACTGAGGATTGCGCATGTCACCAAGGCCCATTTGTAGACAGCTTACATCTGATTGAGTTGTTGAGATGCGACCTTTCTGGACAGCTGTTGACCAGTGGAAATAAATTTTAGGCTTAATAGCGAACACTGGAATCATTCCCATGATAACTTCTCGAGGGAAATATTGTTGGCAAATATCACCTTGAACTCTATGAGTGTATTTATTGCACACCTCATCACTAGCGCAGCAGCGTACCGGAACGAAACTAAGAAAACCTGGTTGATGTTTCCTGTCTTCCACGGGACATTTGTTTTAAGAACTTTCTTAGAGGGAAGAAACACCTTAAAATATATGGTTCAAAGGTCAAACTTACCATCTTTCCTCATTCCAACTTTCATACACTTCTTGAGTCTGCAATACTGGCAGTGATTTCTGTGTTGAATATCTACTGGACAATTCTTGTATCCTCTACACGTGTACGAGAGATTCCGTCGAATGCTTCTCTTGAAAAAACTTTTACAGCCTTCGCAAGTAAAAACACCGTAATGCTTCCCAGAGGATTTATCTCCGCAAACAACACATTCGATGGAAGGTTTTGGTGTTCTAGAGCCTTCTTCGGTCTCTGAAAAATCTCCGGGTGAATAAAACGCACTTTCAAGAAGAACCGGCGAATCGGCTTCCGTGTTTGAAAATTCTACGCACGAGCTTTGCGGTTGTGACAAGCTTGTGAGGGCGTTTATGTCCACGTTTATGTTCGATGTCGCTTCATCGTTGAAAGAGTTCATAATAAACTTGAACTGAAGGTTAAACAAGTCGCCAACTGGAGGGGTTGGTGACTCTGTTAAGACAAACATGAATAACTATTGTTTGACCATGAAGAGAAATCAGCGACACAAGAACAAAGCCAATTAGTCGCCTGTGTCATTATTATGTAATATTGATTAAGGTACCAGTTAAACTGACAAAGCTTCTGGTTTGCAGGGGTTGAAATCAGCTGTAGCCTAAAAAGATGTAGATTAAATAAAAATAAAGTGAAACTTTCAGAAAACTTTTCAAGGCAATGGATAAATCTATTCCAAAAGTAATATTTTTCTCTGCTTGATTTGTGATCAACGCATTTGAAAATAGTACTTGATAAGATTTAGCTCAGTACAAGACAATTTCTTTTATTTCAAACTGAATTGTGACAGAAAGGCGTTTTCAAAACCTGGTTGAAATAAGCGATGAATACAATTCTACTTAAACTGTACAAATTTTGTTCAGCATATTCAACCCCCAAGTCAAGATGGACTTATTTTAGTACTCAACTAGGTATATGTAAAGTGCTAAGAGTCAACTGCTTCGGACCAAAGGCCAACAAAATGGCCTGCAAAAAATTGTGCCAAAAATATGTCTAATATCATTTGTTATTGGAGGAAAAGGCTGGAATTTTGAAGAGGTCCTATAACCTCTATGAATTTCTTAGACCTTTTTTATTTTTTTCTATTTACTAAAAATCATGAAAACAATTTTTTTTCTTTTTGGGCCCTGCAGATAGAAGGTAAAATACTGGTACTTGAATATTTAATCGCTTCAAGCAATTTGGGAGGTTGTAAGTAAATTGAATTAGATTCTGTGGGCGGCTTGTTTTGAAAAGAGATTTGATTGATATGTCATGTTAGAAACTTTATACTACCTAAGACATAAATTTAAGTTATTACAACTAGTGATTTTCCTCTCTTCGCTGGTTGCATTCAAATTATTTTGTCTTGTTTTGGTCCCTGTGATTGGATCTGGTGAACCGTAAAGATTCTGTTTATCTGAACGATCATAAAGATTTTATTTAGTAGCTGTTGAAAGCAAAAAAAATTATATAGTTGTTTAAAGTCAATAAGCTGTTAAAAAAAGAAAGGAATTCTGCGTGTGTTATTTCAAATTGACTAATATATGTAAAACCCGAGCCACGCGTGCGGTTGGTTAAGTGAAGTCTAAAGTGAGACGTGTAGCTGACTTGTAAGATTCTTTGTTGTGATTTTCTTTTGAAATTTAATGTGTGTTTGAGTCAGGTGGCATGTTTGTTTGCCCCATTCTGTGAAGATATTATTTTGGTCGGGTTGTGTAAAGTGTTTTGACTTCACAATGTATAAACAATAGAATCAAAGATAACTGTATCATTCTCTATAGAATCTATATTGCTAAACTTTCACTGACGCAAAACACTGAAATATTAGGAAAGTAACATAACTGCTTATTTCAGGACCAATTTTGAAAGGTATTTTATTGAACCCGTACATGGAAAACCGATCACCGCGTGGCTTACAGTTTTATAAAATGTTTTAAGCGTGGTATCTAGTAAAAGAATAGAGAACCGCAACAGGTAGGAGGAGAAATTTGATCACTTCGACTTTCTTCAAATCACATTCAAAATACTCACGATACGAGATCTTTGGTAGATACAAACACTTTCATACCCTCCAATGGTTCACTTAGAGCTTAGAACTGGAAGAAATGAGTCATAAAGTGATTTCGTTTCCAGATCTAAAGCCCTCGGTAACACGACGGTTGATATAATAAGGTTGATAGGAACCCGATATGTAAGTTGTACCACCTATTTAAGAGTCAAAGTTTTCTTCCGCTAAGTAAGGGTAACGAAGGCTCTGGTGACGAGACTGATTGCAAATTAAAGGGGCAAGAGAGAAAATCACGCGGGTATTCTTGTTCTCTCGTATCTAGAAACGTTTGTCAAACCTGCACATATTTCATTTTAGCCCGTGGATAATCCCAGAGGAACCGTCACATTAGAATCAGTGAACAGCATTAAATATGACTTCTTGAACAGCTGAAACAATTAACATAAAAGATCCTTCAGAGTTCTTTTAACTGCGGCTCGAATATTCTTCAACCTCCAGGAAAATAGTAACGGGTTGAATGAAGAGTTGATGAATGTAATCGTCCAGGAGACTTCAAAAGCAAGAGTAACCGATACAGGTGTGTGCATGTCACCACGTTGTTGAAAATGAAGAATAGAAATAAATGCAGTTGTCATATATGGAACATAACAAATCAAACAGATTATATACAGGTAAAAAATGTTGATAAAAGAGTTCTTGAGTCCAGTTGATATTATAATTTGCGCTGTGGATTGAAAGACAGTCACCTGATTCCAAACTTGAAGCTGATGGCGCCGAACTACTCGATAAATTTTGGAATACAGAACTGCATTCAGGAGAAGGCAAATGCCGACGAATGGAGCCGAAAAAAGCTCAAAATATCCATATTTCCAAGCGCCAAGAGAAGAAGCCACTGAACAAGGAAACCATACAAAAGCACAGAAGAAGGCAACTCTGCGTACGGTGACAATCTCGTGATATCTTAAGTGAAGATGAACAGCCAGGAATCGGTCCACACTTAAAGACGACACAATAATGTATGATACACCACATAACAAACTAGAAGCAAATCTGGTTGCTCTTCCAAGGAATCCGACAAGTGTTGGATCTTGTTGAAAGTGTTGGTGAATTTTCCACGCGATGTACGCAGGCTGTACAATTAATCCAACGCAGAGGTCGGTCAGTGCGAGACCGATCAGTAACACATTTGAAGGCGATACCAATGATGGAGTGCGTGCAAATGACACGAGAATCAATAGATTACCCACAATGGCTAGAACATAGAATGGAAAGTTGATAGCGGCGTTTATCACAAATGGAGTTGTATTGTTAAACATTTTGCTCCAAGATTAAAAATTTTCGTTGAGGTATCGATTAATTTCAGGCCTTCTTGGTGCAGGTTTTCGTGATATACTCAAAACCAGCTCAGGAAAGGTGGAATACTAGATTCCCTGATTTGACTTTCGCTTTTTCATAGCACTGAAAGTTAATTTTTTTTTAACAAGATCAGAGAAGACTGGTGTTTTCCTTACATCATGACAAGGTGGGACACTCTAAACGCAGCAAAGTGAGACAGCTGCAAATGATGATTTTAGTTAAGATTTCAACAACAAAAAAACTCATCGACTTAGCAAACAATAGAAATGAAACTGACACTTGAAACTGAAAAGGCAGCCTGGAATTTAATTTCGCCTGTTCGATGATATCATTATCTAGACAATTTGCAATAACCGGTCCTTTGTTCACTTTTCTCTTTATGATCTTAAATGCAATACTGGCAAGAAAGGCGTTTTCCTTGCGAGGAATTGCCTCAAAGCAGTTTATATAAATGAATAATAGTAACCAACGCTTTCCGTTGGTGAGTAATTAAATCTTTACAAAGTTTGCAATGAAACCTTTGTTGAGACATGAAGGGCGAAAAAAGACGTAACCTATGGTAATATTAAAAATAAATCAGCTGCACGGCGAAAACAAAAAAAGAAGTGATGCACGTTCTTTGCTTTCCAGATAAGCTTCTTTTTCTTAACCGAAACTTCTCTCTCAAAATGAATTAGGACTATCCCTGGTAAACTAAAGCCGTGCATTCACATGCTTGCTCCTTGTCGCAGTTTTGACTTAGGCAAAAAGGCCAGTATTACCGATATAGTCAAGTTTCAGAAAAATGAAAAGCCTGCCTCTCTTCCGAAGGCAATTTCTAGCTAGAACCAAGTTGCCAAAAGTACTCGAAGGCATCCCAAAAGAAGGCCATCCGCGCACGCGCTATAGGTTCTTTGAAATTATATTGACGTCAACAAACGCACTATTCTAGCATCTTTACATACGTCTCAACGAATGTAAAACATTACCTCGTCGTTCAAGGGCTATAGTTTAAAATGCCCACTAAAAAGAAACACGCTCCGTCCGTTTTACTCACCAACGAAGAGAATGAAACGATTCGTGATATGTTAGGACAAAAGAAATATGTGAGTGCTCAAGACTGAAGTACTTTTTAAATTGTTTGTATGAGCTTTTACGCGGCGAAAGTTGTTTATAGATATCGGTGTCTGTTTAAATATGTAGATAGACATATATGAGAAAAAAGGGATTTTGAAATTAAAACAAGAAGGAACTTCCCCTTTCATTAGCTCCAGCAGAGACTATTGAAGCAACTTTCCGTTTAGTGCCGAAAGTAATCCCGAATGTGGAATTGATGTGTTTCAACCTTCATAACTGATTGGTTAGAAAACTCTCACCACCTTCACAACGTGATCATTCAAGTTTTCTAGTCGTAAAATAAGCTCCTTTTGATGGTACTCTAATAAGCCATTGTACTCTCTATGGTTTTTTTAACGATCCTCAATTGAAAAGCACTCCCTTGCTCTCTTGTACTCCAAGGCCGTTCACGTTTTGCAAATTCTTAACTCACCTATGCATTCATTAATTCATTTGTTTATGAGTTCGTTCGTCCGCTAATTCATAATATGCTGTTCATTCATTCATCCACTTTTCAGTCATTAGCAACAGGCATTGTGCAGTTGTACCTCGCCCTTCCAAAGGATCGAACACGATGGAGTCATATCGTGACAGGAGTAGCATGCCTTGTGAAAGATGGCACCTTAAAATCGTATTACATCAGAGTTCTGGACATTACGGTGAGTACTCTCCATTGACACATATTATCCGAAGTAAAGTTTCAAAACTAGGATTTCGACTCTTTTCTAAGTGTATTACATCAGAGTTCTGGACCTTACGGTGAGTATTCTCCGTTAACACATATTATCTGAATGAAAGTTTCAAAAAAAGGATTTCGATTCTTTTCCTAGTGTACCATGAACAAATGCGAATTAAACGATAGAAGTAATGGGAAAATTGAGGCTGTAAAAATCAATTTACGAAAATAGAGATTAGAGTCTGAACTAAGTAGAAAATATGTATTAACCTTGTTAAACGAACAAATTGGCTAAAATAAAAAATGCGAAACTTCTTAAAATTCGAAGGGGAAACACATTTGCGCCAACGAAAGCTCAAAGACAACTAACGGAAATATCCGCGGAAACAAACAAAAAGTGTTCACGTCAGTTTTCCAATTTTAAGGTTAGAGTTCTTTGACGTGATTGGCTAATTTGTGAAATCACGCGCGCCGCGCGTGAATACAAAAAGAATACAAAGTGCGGTGGGGAAGAAAAGAATTGTTACTTGAAATTTAAAAACGAAAGAGATTTGCTACAGGAGTGGAGAAAACTGTTGTAGGTAAACGTTCAACCCCAGACTCTTCTCCCGAATGAAAGGCTTTTAGAGGATATCATGATTTGACACCACTATCTGGGATTATTCAACGAGTAAAAATAGCTTAAATATACAATATTGTGGTCGTTGAATTGTTTGTAGTTAAAAAGGGCGTTCAAAGAATACAAGTGGTTTCTTTCCTAAAAACCCTCCTCCGTTAAAACTTTTTGTTTAACAATAGACATCTGGAAATATTATATGGTATATTGAAATTCGTGATGCTGTATCTCAATATTTTTTTAAAAATTGAATGACGGTTTACTTCTTATACATTTTTTAAGTTTTTTTTCCCCGCACTGATCACAGAGCAAAGAGATTCCATGGGAACAAGAGTTGTATAAACAGTTCAAATACAGAGCCGCTACTGCAAAGTTCCATACCTTCAACGCACATGTGAGTCGAGTGAATTTGATAAATACTGAGGTCCTATTAAGGGTTATCGGGATACGGGAAATTTAGGTAGAAAAACTCCCAATTTTTTTTCATGTGACTGATAAAATTTTAATTTCATTATATACATATATATCTTGTAGAATCCATTTGACAGTAGCTACTCTGCAACGAGATTAATTAAGTGTTTTTATATCTGAGGTGGCCACTCTACTCGTTCAGATTACACTCAAACACGTTGAACAGATAAACATCGTCAAATTAAGTTAGGTTACTTTTCATTTCAATCTCAAGAGGTTTATTTTACTTTGGCAGGATTGTCGAGCAGGATTGAATTTCTGTGATGAGCAAGAGGCAGGTGCCTTTAAGGCAGCGATCAAGGAACGGATCAAAGATTTTAGACGAAAAAGACAAGGTTAAATCCATTTTTCAAAGTGTCGAATAAAAAGTTTACCGTTCGCCGTTTCCTTTTAACGAATATGTATGATACCAATGATTGTAACTATGAGTGAGCAGGAAAACTTAAAATAACGATGGCTGATACTAATATCTCACTGCCATTGCTTTTTAAGTCTTTGTTATTATTATTGTTTTGCGAAAAATGCCACTGTTGTGATTGATCTTTACGCCCTCAACTTCCGAAAGTTAATTATCTTAAAACAATATAATTTCTCATCAACAACACCTGCGAGGGCAATATCTCCTGGCTGATCGTTATCCTCTTTCTCATTATCTGTCCGCTTGACAGCGTGTAAAAATTCTTGAGAGAATTGACCGTTTGATGGCTCGTGGGAGTCAACATTTGACTAGGCACGAGCTGGAAAGTAAATGGTATTACAGTCGAACCTGTATTAAGTGGCACCGTATTCAGCAGTCACCCTGTATTAAGCGGTTGGTTTCCAAAGTCCTGAATGCTCCCGTTAATCACTGTAATTTTTACCTCTATTAAGCAGGCACCTTAGTAAGCGGTCAGGGGCTACACTTTACTGAGTCCAAACGGCCTATTTGTACTGTCTCCTACCTGTATTGAACGGTCAGTTAAAGCGGAACCATTCAAGTAAATTAAAACTAAGAGTAGTCTCTCAAGTAAGATTCAATTCATGGCCATCTCCCGAAATCAATATAAATCATATTTTTGAGCTAGTTTTTGTACATCAGGTGGTCAATTATGGCATTAAATTGTGTTTTCTATCGGTTTTATAATAACCTGATTCTGTGAAACTTGTATTAGGCGGCAACCCCACCATTCCCCGTCGATGACCGCTAAATGCAGATTCGACTGTTCCCATGTGATCACATTGCAATTTTTATTCGTTAACCAGAATTCTTGTTTCTTAGAGGCTCGCCAAAGGAAAGCTATGGCTCAACAACAAATGCAGTACCAACAAATGCAACAGATGCAACAGATGCAGCAAATGCATCAGCTGCAACAGATGCAGAAAATGCAGCAAATGCAGCAAATGCAACAAATGCAAGCAATGGTTGCAGGACCAATGGGCCGAGGCGTCCAAATGGTTCGATACCAGACTCTTCAAGCTCACAGCTCGTTTGCTCAGCCAAGACTTATGATGAGACCACAGGCACCCCAGATGATGGCCCGTAAGACACATATTTCTATCATATTGATGACCCTCGCCCCATTTATTGCCCAAGTGACATCTATTATTTTTCTTAATTGTTCAGTCGACTTATGGAATGATTTTTTGTAGAATTAGCCATTGTGAAATTTCAAAACTCCGAGAACAGGATTTCCGAAGGGCTCCCTGGAGTCCTTGCAAGACAGAAAATTACTCTCAGATCAATGCAACGATTAAAAAGCAAGTGGGTTGTACACAGCACACTTTTTGTTCCTGCCTTCCTGTCTATGAATTCCACTTCTAACACGTATAGGACGAACATAATTGCATTGCTGGATGAACTGAGACTCTTTTAACTACGTTAGGTCGGCCCCAGACCCCCAGTCGCATCTCTCGGTAGTGCTTTGAATTAAATTCTCTTTCAAGGGATACTTAAGGTAAGCATTGTTCTCTAAAACTGCAGCTCATCCTAGGCAACCAGTACCTATGCGACCACAGCCTTCTCAGGCACCAATGCAAATGCGTCGGGGAGTGCCAAGAGGAATGGGACCAGCTAGACCCGCCTCTCCCCAGCCTCCCATTCAGCCAATATATTCCAATGCGCCTCAAACGAGAAGGAATGTAGAAAACAATGTGCAAAGAAGACCACCGTCCCAGGCTCCGCCTAAGGGTATAGTAAAACTTCAGACGTACCTATACTATTAACTTGACCATCTACTTGAAACAGCCTACAACGACACTGACAAAGTAAACGATCTTTAGTTACAAAGATCTCCATTTTGATTGTTCGCTTCCGGGAGAATCTACTTCCATGCTTCAAGTCATCGAAATACCAAGACTCATATAACGCGTCTATTCAATAAAAGTAACATCGAGTTCCCAACATCTCAATTCTTTTGGTAGATTCAGTTAATCAAAGACCTGAGAGAGCCGCATCAGCAAAGCCAACACAGAAGCACGGAGAAGAACCGATTTACGGGGACTTGCCCAAAACTCGCCAAGCAAGTGGTTGGTGATAGCAAAATGTAGAATTTGGGATATTTAACTAGCGCTATCAAATCTGGCCTCTTTGAATAAACTTCTTCTTCTTCTTCCTCTGATTAAATTGTTCTCTTTGCGTTGCAGAAGTCGCAGCCAATGCCACTGAAACAGAAACAGTCTCTCAGCAGGAGGTTACTGCAACCGAAACAGACATGGATAAGAAATCAAGGAAAGACAAGAAAGAAAAGAAAGGTACAGATTAGATGAAACTGCACCATTAAACCAAGTCATGGTTAAAAAATGAAAGGCATTTCAAACTAATTCAAATTGCACGTCTTATTGCAAGGATTGCTTTACCAAAAACCACACGTATTTTGACGAAAGAAAAGTTTCCCGCGTGTGTTTTATTGATCCATGGTTTTTTTTTCTACGAAATACCTACTGCAACAATCCAAAACAAGCATATTTATTATGACAGGTTTCTTTGGAGGCCTTTTCAAAAAACCTTTGAAAGATTCTGAGGAAAAGCCAAAAGAGAAAGATACTAAAAAAGACCGAGGTCCGTCACAAGGTAAATGTTGTCTCTACCTTAAAAATTGCGGTTGATGCAAACTATAATGCTACTCTATATAGTAGGATGACAGAAGTTAACATGTGCAAACCTCAGTTGTCATTCACTGTTGGACGACAAGATAACAAGAGCGACTTGAGACATGGTTAAGCTCTTCAAACGTTGTGCTCTCTCTCTCTTTCCTTTGAGTGTATTTTAAAACTATCTGAAAAATAAGTTTAAAATTCGAAATCCTGAGCTATAGTCAGAGGTGCTGCAAGTGTTTAGGCTAGTAAGTAATGCCGAAATAAAGGGGAGTTGCGTTGAGAGACTTATGCAGTAAGTATTTACAACCGATTTTCATCAAGAGCTGGGCTGCCCTTTTTGATATAGCATCCAAGTAGATGTTATGGTAGACTGTGAGTACAATTTGGTCAATGAGAGGATTTAAATCAACTAATAATATACTCGTGTTTTGTTATTTTACAGAGCCTGCCCCCTCGCAGCAATCAGCACCAGCGGCCCCGCCTGCCCCTGCAGCTCCGCCCCCTCCACCTCCCGGAAAAGCCCCGCCAGGGGTCACAGCTCCGACCCCTGCCTTGACACAAGCAGAAGCACCAGCCCCTGCCTTGACACAAGCAGAAGCACCAGCTGAGGCAGGTGTTGAATCAATTGCTCTACCACCACCACCCCCACCGCCACCGCCACCGCCACCACCCCCTCCCTCAATGGATTTTCAAATTTCTAGTACAATGCAAAACTTGGAGAAACCAGTCGGAGCGGGAGGCGATGAACCAGCTTCTTTTCTAGACAGCATACTAGCAGGACCACAACTTAAAAAGGTCGGTAGAGTGTTTGTTTCCGTTTTCTGGAATACAGGTAATAGTCTCGTACCCAGAGCTTCCACGGCCAAGGGTTACAGTTAAACGGCAGGTTTTGGGTATTAGATTATACAGGTAAGATTCAATTTCTTTACGTAACAAATTAGACAACGTTACCATCTCAATACTAATATTATAAGTATAAATTACAAATATCTTATTAGACGTTTTGGTGTGTAGTATCGCTGAGTATTTTTACGGGTTGTGCCGTATTTTGACGAGCCCGTAAGGCTCGTCAAAATACAAACTACAATAGGGCGAGTCAAAATCCGGCACAACTCGTGAAAACATTCAGCGATACTACACACCAAAACGTCTAATAAGATATATATACTGCACATATATGACCCGTACATTTTTCTGACCAAATCTCCGTTAGGGAATCATCCATTGCTTTCGCGGGTTTAAACTAAGCTTTGCAATTTCATTAATTTATCTGTCTTCCGTGTATTCGTGTACTTGTCCGTCGATTCGTTTTCCTGTTCGCGTTTGTTCATTTGTTCGTTTGGTCGATCAAGTTCCTTCGTTGCCTCTTCGTTCCTTGTTTGCTCCTCTTTGTACCTACTTCGTTCCTCCCTAGTTTCTTCTTCGTTCCTTCTTCGTTCCAGGTTTCGTACCTTCTTCGTTCCTTCTTCGTTCCTTCTTCGTTCCTTCTTCGTTCCTTCTTCGTTCCTTCTTCGTTCCTTCTTCGTTCCTTCTTCGTTCCTTCTTCGTTCCTTCTTCGTTCCTTCTTCGTTCCTTCTTCGTTCCTTCTTCGTTCCTTCTTCGTTCCTTCTTCGTTCAATCAGTCACTTATCCTTTGTTAACTTTGCAGTGCCTGTTTGTTATTCAACAGACTTGCTTATCTTTCTACTGGCGCTTTCAGGTTGATGCATCATCTATCCCGCAACCAAAATCTAAAGAAGAATTTACGGGTATGTTGGGAAACTTAGCTCGTGCATTGGATGAAAGGCATAAAGTGATGCATTCTTCAGGTAACGTGACTAGACTTTGTGGTTTCAGCGGCGATATCACAAGATGCTTGCAATCAGTACCATGTATTGTGTGTGAGAAATGGTAACCTGATTATCATATTAGCGCGCTGAACGACCTATCCAGAGGTTTGGGTTCCAGATTCTCACATGTCCTCCCTTAAGTGTTTGCTGTTGCACTCTGGGAAAATTGACGAAATACTAGCGGTAACTGAACGGCTTTCCAGCGAGTAATCCTTTAGGTAACTTAAATCTCCAAACTCATAAAATAGGTTACGAACAACCACCGAGGAAGTCTCAAGCGCATAATCGCCTGCAAACGGCCACCTACGAGTGTCTTGTTGAGCTCGATAACCTCCGTATCCTCGGATACGAAAGGAGAGGAGTATGAGCTCTATTCTTGCACAGCGGCTGGTAATTGAATCAGTGTCTTGTTAACTCGATCGCTAATCGGTTAATACGATAATTGCATGGACTTCCGTATACATATTCTTGGATTTTTTCATGTTTTCCACAGACGAAGATGATGACGACGATGAAGACGACGACTTTGATGACGATGATGAAGAAGATTGGTCGGATTAAACACTTTGTTATAACTTGATGCATTGTTTGTACCACAGAGATGAATCTTTCGCAATTAAAAGCCAACTTAATTCACGGTGATTAGTTGCAGAGAGTGACCGTAACTTAAATAAATATCTCTGGGAACTTCCACAAGTAATTTACTAGACTGACAAGCGATATTGCTGTACTCTGAGTATTTGACTACGACCAATCCCTCCTTTTCGGAAAAATCCGTCACACTGGTAAAAAAGAAAGGACTGCTTGTAATCTAGAATATTGTGACAAGTGTCTCGTTTTAAAGAAAAGTGGAAGTGAAATCTCATTACTACATTACCCCCTTCTTCCCCCCCCCCCCACCATGCTGCCAAAAGACAATCAAAGTGTCACTCTTATGTTAGTTTATTTCTGGAGCGTAAATGTATGCAGAAGTAAAACGATAACCTTTATGAAAACAAAATTTCCATTACCAACATTCGTTGCTATAAAGTACATGACAAGTCTATTATTTTAAGTATTTTGTTCTTTCAAGAAACACAACCACGCTTCAGCGTTATATATCTTACTTTTAAATGGTCATCTAACTGCATGGACCTTTTTTCATTTTAATTACAATTCGGAATACATTGATTTCAAAACTGGCTGCGGCGCAATGTCGCAAATCCCTAGAGTGAATGATAAGCAACTAAAAGCAAACAAATCTAACGCCAGGGTCCCGCCCGACTTTGCGCACCTGAGAGACTCACCCCCCTTCATGTTCCAGGGATGACCTCCAGATTTCTATCGGTGGTTGACGAGGGTAAAAAACTGGATTTATCTAACAAAGCCGATTGGAATCACTCGTGCTCTAATTCAAATATAACTATTCTATGCGATTCTTAATGTAGTTTTTCTTTTTCTAAAAAGAAAACCCGTTTTTTCCCTTCCTACGATCTATCAGGAATTTTGGCGAAGCCTCACTACATCTCAATCTAAAAGCTACAGTTGCATATCCGATAGCACTCTATCTAAGCATTTTACTGAAAAGGAAAAGTGAGGTCAAGATTTCAAGGAACTGACCTCCCTACAATTAAATCTCTAGATTGAAAGCAGTAAAAAGTCTCAATGTTGACGTCTGCCGTCGCGTCATAGTAGAAAACAAAACAGCACACAAATGCAGAAACAACAGGCGCTTAAGTACAACTTGCCAAAAAAAAAAAAAAAAAAACTTGACCAATCAGACGTTCCCATTTAATTTCTGGCTTCGAGTGCTTCCTTACAGTTAAGATGCAAGATAAGTCCAGTTAAATTTTCTCGCCAGTTTCAGGAATTAAAAATTAAGCAAATATTCACCACCAATTAACTTCACTCTTACAGAGTTTCATTTATCTCTAATATAACTTTACTTAATTGCACACTTAAGAATATATCAATCGCTAATATATAGGGCGCTATAATCTATCCTTAAAAAAAATCCCAGGTTATGTCTCACACATACTTTAAACATGTGAAAATATACCACAATATCTAGATTTCCAGCCAATAGAACCGGAAACTGTCTTAACCAAAATCAGTTTCAAAAGCGCCCTTGGCCCTGCAAAGCGAATTTAGTTACTACATTATAAAACTGCCTTTGGCAAACAACTTGTTTAAATGAAAATACAAAACTACATCGTAGTCAAAATTAACGTTACATTAACTTTTTCGTGCTGTGTAAAGCCACGCCGTTCTAGTTGCATGTATCTATTATTACATTTTTCTCAAGGGTTTGAGGGGGGGGAGTATGAATTAACTCTATTGAATATATGTTTTTTTAGTAATATTTACACGAAAAAAATCGTAATACCAAATGACAAAAATGTACATATAATCCAAGGCTGCTATAGAAAGACACTTTCACTAGAAAAAAGAGGTTCCTCATTTTACACTCCTACATTGTCGACAAAATAATAAAATCGCTTTGATACCTTTCGATAATTATCAGAAACGAAACAGCCAAATGAATACCATAAAGTACAGCAAAATACTCAAATGTTATCAATTAATCAGTTGTAGGGTGTACTTGCAATAAATACCAATTTTGATGTCGGGTTTTAAGCCTTCGTACAACTACATCTCTAATAAAAACTCCGTAGCTTATTTGACGATACACCTGATTTTACTTTTTTCTCTTACTCAGTAACTAGTGCAGTATTGAAGGCGAGCTGAAAAAGTCCTAAGTCCTAGGTCCTACGGTACACAGGCAACTTCGCTTATCTTCATGACAGCTGAGGTTGCACTTTCAAGAATGCAATTTATCAATATTTTGGGCAGAGGTCATGGGGCGACGCCTCATGAAATGACAAACATGGGCAATACGCTGTTCTGCACTGGCTAATATTTTCACACGCGTCTTCACTTTTTCCCCCCTCAGGAAATAATTACAATTTTCTATGCTCTCTAAGGGTCAGGTCCTGCCTATTTTACCAAATCGATTATAAAATAGTAAAAAGGAAGCTTGAAAAAAAAAGCTTCCAGCAAAATATAATATTGATAACAGCCTTGGTAAAGACATGATGCCTGCATCACATTATTAATATTACTTCTTTTTTGCCAAGAAAACACAAATAAACCTAAAATCATCTATTTCCTGTATATAAAATTTTCATCCTGCTTTCTCAACGCCCCCAGCCGTTCGCAGCAGCAGAGATAGTTGGATCCAGGCGTGGGCGCTTGGACCCGGGGTCTTTATCCATGTCACGGTCATCTCTGCCGGCTGCTATCCTCCTCTGTACCTGGTAGGGTGAGGTGGGGGATATTGACGAGCGCGAGTTTGGTGACGCTGTATCCCTGTCCGCGGGCTCAGCCTTGATGTTCACAGCGGACATGCCTTGACCAGGAACAGTAAGGCGATTTCCCAGTAAATTCCTAGGAAACAAAGTTAAATTTAGTATTGGATCTTTTCGTTCAATAAAATCAACTTCCAAACTGATTAGACTTTTTGGGACCATGCTTTCAAATTATGCCTCCTCCTCAATATAAGCCCTCTTTAAAGCCTTGTCTAACCTTTTGGTTAAGGATATCAACCCACCCCACTCTCCCATTTAATTTAACTATTTGACCCTCAGAGTAAATACTGTAGCATCTAATTTCTCCTTGCAATATCAATCGTGGATCACACATAAGGGTCACGAGAATAAAGGAAATGATCAGTAACTAGGAGAGCTCTTGTTTGTTCGACAAATGGTCCATTTTACAGTTGCATGCTTGGTTGCCAAGCCTTTGTACTGGAGTGAGGATAAGGGTGACCTTGTTATGATACAAACCTTGCAGCTTTTCAAATGTAAATTACTTTGTTATCATGCTAACTTGAACAAGGTCACCTTCAGCCTCACTCTACATCAAAGGCTTGGCAATTGAGTACACAATTGTAAAATGGCCTATTCTCTTTGTCAGCACCTCAGGAAATGTATGAGAATATGCATATTGATGTTTGGTTGAGAGACCTTTTTGTATCAAATAAGAATTGTAAACAACCCCTTACCCTGCTTGTATCATGTTATTTAGCTGCAGCTGCTGCTGTAGTAAGGCTTGTTGCTGTATCAGAGGCAGGGCAGCAGCAGGAACACCTTGGTACTGTGCTATTTTGTGTGCCAGGGATTCTGTGTTGTTATCCATTGAGAAATCAGCTGGGAACCCAGAGGGCAGAGCTGAAGAAAATGACGGCGGTGCCCCAGCTATGTTAGGTGTGGCCATGGAAAAGATAGGTGTGGAAAGGGAGTGATTGTCACCTGGTGTCTGCATTGGTAAGTTGTTCAATGATATGACTGGGGTGGATAAGGGTTGGTCCTGAGCTGAAGCTAAGCCATGCCGGTTATGCTGCTGATACAGAAAACACAAAATTAAGTAAAGACAAATAAAACTGCAAATAAGACTCTACTACAATAAGTATGAAGGTCAACACAACTTAACTTCTTCAAACTGATAATCTACAATAACAATCTAATATTGGCAACACCAATCAGCAAAACAAGAGAACCTCACTGCTCACAATCACACAATAGCACTACTATAAAGAGTAAGCTTCATACATCATTACATCTAAACTAAAGGTTGTTATTCTTCATCCTTCACTGGTGATGTAAGTAACAATTTTAATTTAATCTTCAATCAACACTGGGATCTCCACACACGATGCTTTCAACAAAGAAGATCCTAGCAATTTGTGGGAAGATTGCCAATTGTCTATGAAGAAAAAATATGGCCTGACTCACCAATAAGCACTCTGTGGCTCAGTTGGTAAAAAAATCCAATTGTAAAGTTGAAAGTCTACTGGTGATGAGACACTGAGCTTTCCTTCTCCATATTGATGACAAAATTTAATCACAAACACACCTGCACAACTGATTTTTTAGGTCACATCACTTACCATCTGTCCTGCAGCTGAGCTTCTGTTAGGGATGCTAATCTTTAATGAAGGCCTGCTGGGATTTGGTGGAGGAGTGACAGCCTGTGGATGTGGCGACACAGAATTTCGTCCACCAGTCACTCCAGAGGAGGGTGTGACAAATGAGCCATCGTTGCCCTGAACAGATCCTGGAGTGACACTTCTTCTGTTGTACTCTGCTGCAGCCACCAAATCAGACATGTTCTGTGTATTTCCTGAAGAAAACGAATTAAATTGATTTCCATAAAGCAGATTTTACATTACTATAAGTTTGGGCACAAAACATTTGATTGAAATTGAAAAATTCCTACAAACAGCTTAAAAGGGCTTTTATGCTTCTCAAAACAAATTGTCAACGTGTTTTTGGATTTTTCTTCTTATCCTGTTAAATTTTGCTTTCGCAGACACTGAGTTGTCAAAGGCTAGCAAAAAAGTTTAAACCACCTTGGCGCTTTAATTTTCTCTCTTAGTTAAAATGTCACATTGACTTCTTGAATTATACGATTCTAGCATCAACAACATTCTAAGAAAAGTGAATATTTAAATTACATTGTCTTCAGCAAACTTTCATCTCTTTTCAATTTATCTTTCTGCTCAAAATTTAAGAGAGAGACAAAATTGCGAGTTCTGATGAAAAAAAAAATGGGGATGCTCCTAAGTTATCATCATATTACTAAATGGCTAAATATGAATAATAAAAAGGAACAGTTATCATTTAATTCAAGTTTAATGATTACAGCAAATACAATGGTGATAAATTTTAACATTTAATTTCAAATGCATGCATGCCATAATAATACCATTTTAAACCTCACTTTTAAAATTGTCACATATCTTATGATTTCCATTCATTCACACATTGTGTGTTAAAATTATACATTGAAATAATTACGAGATATTTTAGAACAAATAAATTACACAGTGGTTTTTTTGACATTTTTACACATAGTTAACAAAAAATTAGACCTCATGAGAGGATATTAAAATATAGAGTAAGACATGTTAGCCATTCCTGAATGAATTTAAGCTACAAAATTGAAACTTTTAAAATTAGTACTTGGAAAATTTAAATAGAAGTTACCATATACCATGAATTGAAACTTTGCCACTAATTGGCTTATATATACACTACATCGCACTTTTATCTTAAGAACTTTCTACAAATTTTTTATTCCTTTTTTTACTTGTTTATTTTATTTGTCTTTTTTATATTTATCAAGGATTGGATTACTTCTTTACGTTTAAGTATTGGTTATTAATGTAAATTGTAAGAGAGAAACAAAAATTTAACCATCAATAATAAAAGTTTATAATTAAGTAAAATGATTGTTTAGATTTTGTTTAGTATCTTAACATTCTCTATTAATTATAACTGATTCCATAATTGATATCAATATGTCAGTTAGATAAGCTAAGAGTAATCACAGGTTTGTATAATATTGGTCTCTCTGAAACTTCTCATAGTACATGTACTGGAAAGATTCACTGCCTATTTCAGTTCCTTAATTGAAAAAACTGTAAGTAAATTAAACAAAATTGCCAGTATATATTTTCAAAGTACAAAATGAATGATTTGAAAATCTTCACTGTGGTTGATTAAAAAAAAAATGGGTTTTAGATGTCACTTTTTGAAAAAAAAATTGTTTAAACTTACAGTAATTGTAGTAAAATATCAAATATCATTGTGGTAAATACATTTACTGACCTATATCCCAAGCTTATGCAGAATACTGTTACTATTTTGCTATTCACGCCGAAATCAGACTGACCAAATTGATTCCTTTTAACTGTAGTGTCAACTTCATGAAAGAAAAAAATTAAGGCATTCTCTACACTACTATGGATTTTGTGATAGATCTGTACATTCTGTGACAAAATTTTTCAAAGAGATAAATTTTGATGGGGGCAACAGCAATGGGTTCACATTTCCTTTTATCAGCTTTGGGAGTTTGATGGGTACAATTGGTCTGAAATGTAAGAACACTCTGATTAGTTCAATCATTTTGTAAAATATTCACATAAGTTTCAATTGCAAGAGATGATCTTTAGACAAGAAAAATTTGACAACTTCACAGTCAGCAGCAATCAGTTTTCTTTTGAATGTATAAAAAAATATATTTCTGTCTATATAAATTCAGTTTGGGAAACAACTATGGACATGACAAATTTCTCAATAAGTCTAGACTCTGGGCTTCAGAAATTATTAAAAATTGAAAAAAAAAATATCCATGCCTACCTGCTCAAGATACTAAAATTCACAAACTGACTTCAGGATGATGATGAAGCCATATAATTAATTGCTAACAAAATGTACTTTAATATGAAGACTCAAATTTTCACAGTTATTGCTCATAACTAATATTCAAGAAAAAAGACTGCTCCGTCGTCACTGTTTAGTTTAGGCACTTCCTATTTCACTAATACTGCCATGTCAGATTTACTTTACACACACTATCAAATGCATATTTTTCACACAATGCAAGGTAGCTCAAGCCCTTGGCACTCTTCTTTTTCAAATGCTTATCTTTGAGGACATACCTGGCAGCTCTCCTATTTTATATCTCCTAAAGAAATATTCAGTTTTCCACTTCACATTTTATTCCAGAAATAAGGAAGATCCCATCCATTTGTTGTTTCACGTGTGCTTTGAATTTTTCAGGTTTACTAATCTGGTCATATTGCTCTGGTTACAGTTTGTAAATATACATAGAAAAAAAACCCTTATTGAGATATAATCATAAAGAAGAGACATAATAGAGGTAACATTTCAGTTCTGTTCTGCAGTGCTGCAGGTTGTGACTGTTCTCATGTAAGAAAAATCTTGGAAACTAAATTTGCAGCAAAGGTCACTAAATTTGCAAACTGTGTTCAACAGTCTTGTACCAAGCTATTTTATGTTCTTACATGTACTTAGAATTTGTAGTCTTTCGATATTACATATGATTATTCAGACTGTATATACATATATATATATATATATACTTTTTTTTTTTTTTTTTGAGGTTAAAATTTTATGGCTGGTGACCATTTATGATTTTAAGTAGTCGACCAGTGACTTTACAAGAAGTTTAGCTTAAACCCCTGATTAGCACTAAGCCAGGGTTAAGTTAAATTTTCTCAATTATTTTTTACAGCATCCAATAATCAAATTCCAGACAAAAAGGAAAATACCCCATTTTCATTTTGAAATCACATTTCACACTTATCCTGAGTTATCTTAAACCAGCTTTGAACAACCCAGCCCTGTTCTATAAAGAATTAAAAAAAATCATTTCATAAAGCTTAAGTACCTGATATAGCAGCAGCAGCAGAAGCATTCCCCCGCGGGAAGTTTCCATTCATGTGTTCAGGATTGATTCGGCCACTAGAGCTGACTGGAAGACCAGAACTCATTCCAGGTGCATCAGCACTACTAGGCCTGCTGCCATAACTATCTTCTGAGCCATTGTTGGAGGACACTGGGATAGAGACAGGCAACTGATGATAACCATCATCAGACTGATGCTGAAAAATTGAAGCAATTGATTGTTAATCAACAATGATTAACATATATTATCAAATAACTTGCCCAACATTTTCATCAAAAACATCCTATGTCAATCCCTTAATGACAGAAGTACAAGATAGCAACAGCTGGGACAAAAAACGCTACACAGCCCTGCATATGGCCTTTCAAGAAGAAAGCAGAAAGATCACAGGATGAAGGGGAAAGAGTGTCAGTCATGTAATAAAATGCTTACAGGCTGAGAAAGATCAGGTTAGACATGGTTGAAAAATGGTTGAACTCGGTCATGACTGACAGAGTAACTGCATGACGTAAAGCAAGACCTTTGCCTATTCAGCACATCCAGTTGTATAATAACCTCCTCAAGGTAAAACATGACCAATTGGGTAAAAAAAAAAATAAAAAAAAAAAAGTTAGTGGTATTACCACTCAACCTTTTCAGTGATTTGATCATGTTCAAAATATTAAGCCTCATTCTGATAACAATTCTCATAACCTAACTTTACGTTAACATGTACAGACAATTATTTTCATTAGTTACACATCACCCAATCATTGTCAGTCCTCACTTGCTATTCAAAATTTTCATAAAGACATCTCAACAAAAGGAGAAAAAAATAAAAATTCTTGTTAAACTTACTGGCTGTAGAAGATTCTTTTTCATCATCTGATCAAATTCTTGATTAATTTTGTTGTACTTTTCTTCTGTTCTTGGGGTCAACACAAATTGCTGTAAAACAAAAAAGGACAAAGGATCTTAAGTCATACCAAAATACAGAAACTGCAACCTGAATTCCTTCCGTCTGTCTATTCAGTTTAATAAAATATACATACTGTAATTAATAAGTTTCCATTGGCAATACAATTGAACTACAAAAAAAATCATCCTCTGTGGCAAGAAACTAAGAAATTAGAAAATAGTTAATTTGCAAAATACAATATTTTTAAAAATGTAATGAGGTAATTCTTCATGGGAGCCTAATGCAGCTGAAATGGTCAATATGATGTGTTCAATGACACATTGTTTGCACAATTTGTGTTAAATTAAATGGTCATCTTCCATTAGTGAGGCATCGAGAAAGGAAATGAACTATACACAAAAAACAGGATAAAAATACAATTGCACATTACTGTATTCAATATGCAAGCAACTTCGATGCACACATTTGCTTGATATTTTTTCAAAGACCTTGACCCACCTTATCTGTGTCGTCAGGGGATGGCAAAGCCTTATTCTCCTTCTTTGAAATTGTCTTTGAATGGAACAGGAAAAAAAAACACAACAATTTTAACATTTAAATTCATATAATGAAATTTAAATTTCTACTGACTTATTCCATCAGAAAACAAACATGAATGCAAAATACTAATCCATGGCCGATAAAATGATATTGAAAAATTTCACTCCTGGTATACTTTTCCCACTAATTCCTTTTTGATTCCTGCCGTTGCTCTTTTGTTGTATTCACTTGCCAGGGGAAGTAAGCTCTACATGAAGAACAAAAATTCCTGCTCAACATCCATTACTTTACCTCAACAATATCTGTGTTTGTCCTGCTCTCATGTGGTTCATTGTATTCTGTATATTTTAGGAGGATCTTGTCCATGTCTGTGCTAGCGTACTGGAACAATTTGTTCCCAGAGTTGAAGATGATGAGAGCAATCTCGCAGTCACACAAAATGCTCAGTTCATAAGCTTTCTTCATCAAACCAAACTTTCGTTTTGTGAAAGTAACCTATCCAAGGTGGGAAAGATAAGAGTTAGATTTTTTCCCCCTTGACAAGCTTATATCACTAGCACATTTACTTTTAATTTTTGCCTTATGTGCCTCTTAAATACATGTAGATTATTTCCTAATAACAAAATTGACAGAAAAAAATTCACACAAAAGAACAATTTGCAATTTCCAGGCAAAACTTGAAGATGTTTAAAGAACTGCTTCCAACACAGGAAGTTGTATCAAAAGCAAGGGAAGCCACAATATTGGAAAAAGTTATTAATAAGAGGGACCCAAAACAAAAGCACAGATTTCACACAAAGTAAGATGAGGCAATTATTTTATTTCTGCTCTTCAGAATAATTGTAGACCACTGCTTCTGCAGGCTATTATTAGGCATCTATTGAAACATAATATATTAAATCTTATCCCTTGACCTGTCAACCCCCTAGCTCAGAGCTTCATGTATGTCTGACAGCAATAACTAGCATGGCATGTGGAATTCACAAGCTGACATTTTGTAAGCATCCAGGTTACTTTGTCTTTAGGTCAAGTATTGCTCCTATGCATGCTAAAATGTCTTTCTGGTGTTAAATTATGGTTCAAGTTTTTTCTCTATTTTTTTTAATTGAGTTACCCAGTTTTTCCCCTATAACAGATGTGAATATTTATCATTCTTTTTTTTCTGTTGAATTCAAATTTTTTATTGATTGAAACTGGCTTTTACAAAAAATGCTGAATATTTTTAAGAGGTATTGAAAGAGACACCTTCATGAAAACCAATCCTGTACATTCCTCTGTCCATGACAAGCAGATTTCTTCCAATTTAAGATTCCAAACATAGTTATCTGGGTGATACACAGTGCACTTGAATGACTCACTTTTGTCTCAAAAAATATACACTAACTCTTCAATATAAGCAGCAACGTTACATTATAAAATTGCCCCAAGGACAAATGCAGCAATTACTCAGATGAAAATGTCAAAAAGACATAAATACAAGGACTTTGAAATTCAAATGTCTTTTATATTTGAGGCAATTGCAGATGGAACTGATAACTTTCTCTCTTACTCATAATGACCAAAAAATTTACTGAAACTTCAATTTTCCACGGGTAGAAAAAAGAAAGAGACAGATGGTTACATAACAATACTATGGGTTGACAAGTCACACTGCTTCAACTTGTGTTTTTTTCAAAGAATGCACACTCTTCCTTTCTTTCTCAGCAGGTGTTGAGACATGGCTATTTAAGGAATGTTTCTAGAAAGCCCTAGACACAATGCCCTCAGGAAAGATAAAGCTATCCATTGACAACAACTCATTTAAATGAAGGCAACGAAAATTACGCGGATATCTATGTTCTCGCTTTACAAACCAAAAAAAAAAAAAAAGGAAAACAGATCAGAAGTCGTGAGAAAATTGCATATGTACGAAACGAGTTGACAAGGGATCAAATGTATTTAGAAACCCTGAAAAGATTATCTTTAGGTCAAGGATGGCACATGTAGCTGGATGTCTGGACTGCTGTGGAATTTTATCCGTGTTTCACGGTTGATGGAAGTCAAAATTTATATCAGTTATTTTGTTCAGAGGCCAATGGATAAGCAATGTACTAAGGAAACGGTGAAAAGCGCCCAAAACAATTGTTTCAACGAATGTACAACTGCACACGATAGATTTATTCAAACGTCTCTAAAATGTACGACTTTTGTCAACAAAAACGCATGGAGGTAAACGTTACTGATAAATGCTAATAGTGTGTTTAAAATGATCTCCAAGAAATTAGAAAGACAAACAAAGAGCCAAAAATATCTCACAACACGCGAACCCTTGGCTTTGGCTGTACACCTAATTAAGATTCATCCATATCAAACCTTGGTTGATGATAACAATTCCGAGCAACGAAAAAAACCGAAATTCGATCAAGATCTTGCTCTGACATATCGATTCTTTCATCAAAATGTGTAGCATCGTTCAGGCTGATTGTGAGTAAAAAAATATCCATCTCTATTTGTTCCACTGGCCGAGATCTGCGTTTTGCAGGTACCCGGAATTTTGTCGTAAACTATTTGCTCAAGACTTCGCACATCACTGCATATCGCAGCAGTCTCTTCATTACTGCGAAAACTTTGACTTCGATGCCATTAATCTTCCACTAACAAAACACCACACGACATATCCTTAAACTAACCCAATTGACCCACGAAAGCTAAAAATATCGGCCCATAATGAAATTTTAACCCCAAACCGCTCTTTCTATTTTGGACCTCGGAGTGCAATATTTAGCATCTCTAAGCCGCCCGCGCGGACTAAAAAAGCCACAAACTTGCTATTTGTGTCTGGAGTAATAAAAAAAAGTGCGCTTTGGGTGAATAAGTACCGTATTTGCTTGTTACCTGACGATTTCTCTCGTCACCGATTCTTGAAATCTGGATCTTCTTTCTTCCCATCTTGTGTTTTGCTTTCTTCGGGCTCTCGGTAATTTCTAGTTTTGAAGGGGGGCTCCTTGCCAGAGTTGAACTACAGTGAGTCCGATCGTTTGAGGCGTCGAGCGCGGTTGATCTGTAGAAATGAACAGATTGAAACAACAAAGTGAGTTCATTAAATGATTAACAAGTACCAGCTAGAAGTCTCGCCACTGTCGACAAAGTCTGCTAAGTTATCAACCACGTTTTCTCAAGATTTTTAACTCGTACAATTTGCGGTTCGTAATGATGGCGGAGTTCGATCTTCGTTCTCGTCCGTAAATTGCACTTCAAGATGATCTTAGAGAGAAAGGACACTTCTTCCTCCGCTTTCGAAGCGATCTTTCATTGCGTGAAATGATGTCATGCCGTTTACAATCAGTGATTTTCGCCGGGGATCTTAGCGCGAATGATCTCACTCAGGAAGCATTCCTCACGATACTTCCACGCTGCGAACACGGAACAGACTACTGTATTCGAAAGCAGTGAGGTTCTCGTCGAAAGCCACGTCCTTCTCTTCACAGAACTCGAAAACTAAGGCCGGAAACGTTGCTCAATTTGTGTTATCTTGAACTATGTCCAACGATCGAGGTCCGCTCGCGTTGAAACTGGACTTTGTTTATGTAAAGCAGACGATCTTACAGCACCATCTACGCCATCTTACTTCACTTCGCCAAAAATATTTTACACTGGATTTAGGTTGGCAAGATTGGAGATAAAATGGCTTGACTAAACAAAAGATAACAGCAACTAAGTTCAATCGACAGATAAATTTAGCCGTATGTGTTCGATGAGTCCAGTTCCCGCGAAACTTACACGATACAACTACCTTCGAGGAATAAACAACCACGCACTGTTATCGCCGCGCGCACATGATTTGAAAATTCGTTTAAGTGGAATGGACGACACCAATTTTCCACCAGCAGTATCGAACGTTTTATCTTCTTTAGAATGTAGTCGCAACATAACCTACCAAAGACTGCAGCTGAAGATGGCGAGGAAAATTTTCGGTATATATATCTTTGCCTGTTGGGACCTGAAACCACGAGCGACATTCGATTCGAATCAGTTGGGCTTGCAAGATAACATCAACCTTCTTATTTCTGCCGTTAAACTAAGCAACAATTACAAGCAAGCATCGATCGAAGAAAATGAAAGATGCTACAAGTAGATCGATGTAGCAAAACATCAGGGAAAACTATAAATCTCCTGACGATAGAAAATTCGCAGTTACCGATTAGACATGGCGTAAGCGAAGTCGTAGATTTCCATGCATCAAATAGTGACAAGATACCATTAATTTTACCTAATTCATTGATAGATTGTGGCAGACCAGGGACTGAAACTTCGAACAAACGACAGTGTAACTAGCAACAGTCACTGCTCTGCACAGGATTGCATTAACTGCAAGCGAAAGGCTACGTAATTATCAGCCCTCCAATAAGTCAAAACAAGAATTTGATGCCCTCTAAACGACCATTAAAAACTAAGGGTGAATGGAATAACCTTTCGGAATCGTAAGGCTATTTCTTTGGCTGTTTATACCTCACTGTAGACGGAAATAAAAATTCAAAGATCTATTTTTACCCACCAGTAGATACGCCTTTTCACAACAGCTGCTCTGACAATGTGTATACGATTTGATCTATTTGTGGAACAACCTCGAGTGAGAAAAGTGCTTCGGGAATTTGCATTTTGGGAGGGACATGATGTCACAGTGATGTCATTGCACCTTAGAGAGAATTTGCCGTGCGATCTAACGCATCAACCAACAGCACAATGCTTCCCAAAGTCTAGTCTTGCGACGATATTTCTCTTTCAAAATTTATAAACAAAGACTTAAGAGATTGAAATAGCGATGCGTGGGTTAAAACGGAACAAAGAGTCTTATTTTTAAAAACTATCAGAAAAAATTTACAGTTAAGAAACATGAGCGCCAAAATGTAACCGTAGACTCGGCTACCCAAATGGGCACACAGCTGACACTTAATTGTTTATCGGGTCACGATTAGAATATTTGGGAAACAACAGACAAATGTTAACATCAAGCTATTTTCTTACCTGAAAAAATGTGACGAATTTTTGTAAAATAGTGCTTCAGACACCTCGAAATGTCAGAGAAAACTTAACAGCAAGCTGCGCGGTCAAGGATAAAATTCTCCCAGTTCTAATGTTTGGTTACTATAGTTGTCGCTGACGTCATTCTAAAGCTTCCTGTTTTCTTTCCCTTTCCAATTTACATGCGGAACAAAAATCACTTTTTTCCCCAGAAATCGAAGAAGAATGCTTTGCTAATGGGCTCGGCTTCCGTACATTTTAAAGTTCCAATTTGTTAGTGCCACGGTAAAAGGAAAAATTCCCAGAAAGGTTATTAAAAAATAAAACAAAATCGAAATATTTCGCTCTGGTAACCGGAAGAACACGAGTAAGGTTGTCATTCCTTGTAACTTTCGAACTCAAAGCCATTTAATTCTTCCTCTTTCCTCCTTTTCGAAACGCAGGCAAAACCGTCAAATCTATGTTCAGATCTGTCAATAGCATTTCAGTTTCTCCCGCGATCAGTGGTTGATTTTCTTTCCGCCTCTTGCATTTGCCTTCCAAATTTTTTGCCAAATCTTCCGTTGCAATGGGGAAAAAACCCCAACGTGAATTTCAAATGAAACCACCGGCATTTACATAAAATTTCATTTTCTTTCGCAAACCGCCGACATCGTCAGCAGACAGAAACAGTCACGTTCCCAAATTGAAGTTTGTTTCAACCAAACAAAATAATTTTCTGAGGATTTTTCGATTTGAAAAGGTTTATTCAGCTGATGTGCTATTTTAAAATATTTTGTGGTTTTCTATCAGAAAATAAGAAAATTTTCGATATTCCTCAGACTTGCGATCTCTAAATGTAATTTGCCTGACTCGGGTCTGGCTGTTGACGCAGCTTTTGGATCACGTGATTTTGTCAATCAAAAAGAGCATTTCATGCTGACGGCAATTCTCTAATATTTAGAGAGGAATCATTTTTTACTTAGAGGTGCCAAAACTAGGTTCCATGGTTTAAAAAATTCACCTCTTCATTTCAAAGATGTTCCACGTCTATGTCCGTAATCATTTTTTCTCTGAAGGGATCGAAAAACGGCCTTTGGAATATCATATCAGTTGGTTGTTTCAAATTGTTCCTCAATGTTTATATCTTATTATGTTACTATTTAGTATTTTAATGTTTATTGGCGGCTGATTCAATTTCAGGGGAGACAAGAACTCAGTAATCTACGCTCGGAGGAGTTTATGGAAGATTTAATCTAGTATCGACTGGGAAATTTTGAATCACATCTGTGGGTGAAATTTGCCATCATTACACTGTAAAAACACCAATTTTTGCATACGCATGTAGGCAAAAGGAAGCCGATCCAAGCTATAGCGCCTCATTTGTCATTTCGCTGCTAAAACTACAGTAATCTTCAGCACGTATAAGAGAATTATGATCTGGTATGACATCCGGAATCTTCTGATCAGCGCCTCTGAAAGCGCAGTTTCAGAGGCCCTACAAGCAGACTGAATTCCTGTGACCAATAATAAGCTTTAAATAATTCAATGCGTCGTTGTACAAGCTGTCGAACAGCATGTGTGCCTGATTAGTGTTTTTCTTGCGTCTGAAACTTAAGTTTGAACCTTGAGCGCTCTCAGTCGGGAGTCGATTTAGTAAAATGGATCAATGGTAAGAGTAAACTATTTTATCATTTAAATACTGTCTAACTCTGAGACAAGTGAAAGCTTACGATGAATGAACTTTTGAGATCATGCTCCTTCGTTTTTCTCCTCGACGCAACAGGTGTCTTTTTTATGAAATATGCTGGTTGCATTAATCCGACTACAAGGCTGACAGCCTGGGTAAAGATTTTTACTTGTCTTTTTCGTGTCAGTATGAACACTGCATTCTTTAGCACAGTCGAGATTCAATAAAGTTGGCTGCAAGATGCTCGACCGATGGCTCAGTTCAAATACATTACGTTTCTAATTATCTGTGGCTACACAATCCATGACCAAAGGAAAATGTAAGAAATGTAATAATAGCTTCGCTGTTGGATCGAAAGTACTACTAGGGGACCTTTAGTAGTTAGGAAGGCAAAGTCAAGGAAGACGACGACTTAAAAACTGAATACATATGTTAATTCGAATTTTCCCGAATGACTGGATGTGCTTACCATCTCTTATGACGCCGCAAGTTAACCTCAGCATAACGTATGAGAGCGGCGTTGAGTTCCCAATGGAAACTTAAATAATCTGCCGTCGGGCTTTCCTTTCTCGCACCACGCAAATGCTGAAGATTTCACGTTGTTATTTTGCAGAGGACGGCTAAGAAATGTACGCAATTTTAAAACGCACGTGCTGAGCTATTGTTCTGCTCATTAGATCTTTTGCTTTGCCACGTCCTCGTTGCCGTCGCTGTCGTGGTTTGCTAAAGGTCAAGGAGGAACACAGGAATCCCTCCACAGTCTAGCTGATACAAAAGAAGATGAATCCGAATAATGCCAAACTACAATGCATCCTGACTGTTACAGAAATCGGTTAAGCAATGTTGCGCATTCACAAAACGCAAGATTCTGCTTCCTTCAGAAGAAAACGGTTACCCATTGCAAGGGTATGTAAATGGGGCGAGGCTGTTTTGAAATCGCGCATCAGCTGATATTCGCCGAGAGGGTGTGCCCTTGATTTCGTTCACAAGTACGTCAACCAACACAGCAAATAAACAAGCGACATTTTTTACTATTTTCAAAACTTTTATCTGTCAGTTAAGAAGACCATGAACTGTGAAAAGAAATGGGAAGAGAATCAGCCTGATACGGGTCAAAGAACGCACAGTCTAAGAGCTTTCTCGGTAGCTGTAGATTGACATTAAACTAATCTGCGATACGCTTTCAAAAATAGCTTAAAATATACTTCAGGTAGCAACGGGCTAAATTTAGATTTCAACCAAGATGTGCTCAAAATTTTATTATCACTTTTAAAACACAACAAAAAGATTCGGGGGGATTCGAAACTTAAATAAGAAAACTTCTCCCGAGATGAAGTGTTTCTAAGCATTTATATTTCACATAAGTGTCGGGCAAAGTAAACAACGAAGATGCTCTCATTCGCCTTACACCATTGCCATCGTTTTTGGGCTGAAAGAAAGCCAGAGCGAGAGAATTTCTCATCACAGACTTCGGATAAGGTTGTATTTACTACCGAAAATATTCCATGAGAGTTTGTATTCGGAAAAGACATGTTCCCAAGATGACGATCAACTCAAAATGTAACAATGCTGTTTGCTTCAGAAGACGCACCACCGGAAGAAAATGAAATATACTCTGCATATACTCAGAGGCTCTGACTCACAGCTTTCGAGTAAAACTTGAAGTATAACCTTTAAAAGCTTTTATTTCAATGGGCTTTTTTTATTAGATTTAAAAAAGAGCTAACGCGACATTTTCATTGACAAAGATGAAACAGAAAATGTCGTCAACTGCTTATCAAGCAGACAAGTAGTTCCTGCGATTAAGAGGGGGGGAGCCTCGTCTTTCGCAGACACAAGAACCGCAAATTGTCTAGGTGCTCGTGTTGAAATCAATTACTGCTAACGAATTAAACCACAAATTCAAACCCTGAATGAGTTTACGAAGAGCTGCCATGTTTGGATGACCACACTTTAGAAGTTTGATATATTATGGAGGCCACAGCCATCAAGGCTGTAATAGGAGTAAATAACCCGTGAGTCGTAAATTCATCACAGTGAGCTATTCAAGAGTAATTCCTCTCACCTGAAAATCATGTGAATCGTCACGCCTTCAGTCAGTAAATTTCATCATCATGCGAAACTAATTACGGCGTTGGGACAAATTTGTGGTGTGTAATCAGTCAACTTTGGCAATTTCATGGGCGAATGCCAGAAAAATAATTTTATATCTTTTTTCAAATCCCAGTATACCGGCAAGGAAAAATAGCAAACAAACTCCGTCGCAAACTGATATATATATATTTAACCTGAAAGTTCTCTTTGATAAAATTCAAGTTAAATCACTCCTCAAATTATGGATTGAGTCAACAACCTGGAACGCCAGAGAGAGGGGCTACGTAGGAGCTACATTACAACAACTTCCAAATTCTAGCAATGAAGCTCTGCTGTACCTGAGAATGATATAGAATTCTGGGAGATAAGTAAGATTCACGACACATGAAAAGTCGAAGTCGATTTGGTACACTACAGAATACCAAAGGCACATTAACTTAATTTATCACTTGAACCGTCACGGGAGCCTAACCGTGACTGGGCAATTTTTAAGAGCACACAAAGATTGAATGACTATTTTTAACTTTGATGTATTTTACAATTCATCGTAACATACTAACGTTCATCTAAATCTTTTTAGACTTTTGTTTCAGGGCGGTCCGAGATCAGAGCTTTGAAAGAGGGTGTTACCTGCTTTGCAATTCTGAATTATGAAAAGGAGATCAGAGAAAAAAACCAAAAGATTTGTAGTCGAAACAAATGCACTGAATTTTTTCATTAAAAGACGGATGTAATATT